ACCGTGGTCAAGGTGAAGTTGGGATGTTCATTCTCCACGAAATCCCAAGCAGCTTTTTCAGCAAGTTTTTTGGAAATGAGGTAGCCTGCAATTGGGTTTTGAAGAGCATCTTTGGCAGTGCCTGGGTTCCACGAGGCTTCAGTGTTTGTAACTTCAGGATTTCTCTCGGTATTGAGATCCATAATAGCAGCATACGACGAAGTCACCACAACTTTTTTAATTTGCGAACCATGAATCTTGATTGCACGAAGACCACAACAAACATGGTTTGCTCGTTGCTTACTATTTCTTTTACTTCTACTGGGGTCCTTACGTATGTATGACGTCGTTGTCCATGGCCAACACCTCGGGCCATACAAAAAAGACTATCGTCAATACGGTGAATTTTGTGTCTTATTGTGTGTCCAACATCATTGCTCCACAATTCTTTCTCGCCAAACAGGCACCTCATTACCTTACTGGTTATCATGCTATTTTAGGCTTTACCTCCGCAGCTTGTCTTTCAATTTTGGCTTATGGTGCTGGATGCTATATGGAAAATGCTAGGAGAGACAAGCTCTACGGACCACCATCATTGGATTTTGAAGAGGATGCCAAAGATTTGACAGATAAGCAAAAGGCCAAGAATTTTCGATACGTTTGGTAGAAGCTTCTTAAGGAGTTGTAAGGGTTCTCTCAGCCCCACTTGTTCTATAATTACGAATTTGCAGCCGAGTCAACGGGCTTATACACCCGAACCTTGACGAGCTTGGCACGAGTAATTTGGTAGGTGAACTATTCAAGAATGATGAACTAGAATTGATAAAGTATCACGAGTGATAAACTATATAGATAATTGATAATGTGGAGTCGTCTATACACAACTACCCCAGTTTCTCGTCGTTTCTTGTCTTATTTTTCAACCACTCGAATCGCACTCATTACTCATCGCGAATATTCACTCATACTCATTTTCTCATTTCTCATCCATTCCGACTTTGCCCGAAATCATACCACACCAAATATTTTTCAAACACGCATGTGGCTGACTTCCAAACGGTTTCCACGGATATACCAGATGCATAAATACCCAGAATAATCGCACCACCTCCCTCACTTTCATAATGACAAAGGCTGCAAATCAAGTGTACACCATTCAACAGCTTAGTCCAGAACAAGTTAACATTGTCAAGGCTTCAGTTCCAATATTGAAAGCTCTGGGTCAGGAACTCACCAAGAACTTTTATCAGAAAATGCTCTCCAGTTATCCTGAAGTAAAGCCGTTTTTCAATGAATCTGATCAAAAACTGTTACGTCAACCCAAAATTCTTGCATTTGCATTGTTGAAATATGCCGAAAATATTGAAAATTTGGAACCCTTGACTGGGTTTGTTCAGCAAATTGTCACGAAACATGTGGGACTCCAGGTCAAACCAGAACACTATCCAATTGTTGGAACTTGTCTTCTCAACACCATGGAAAATATGTTGGGAGAATTAGCGACACCTGAATTTCTTCAAGCATGGGCAACTGCCTATGGAAACTTGGCTCGGTTGTTGATCAACGCCGAGGATACTTGTTACCAGAAACAACCTTGGAACGGGTTCAAGGAATTCACCATTGAAAAAATACAAAATGAAGCAAGCGATGTGAAATCAGTCTATTTTTCACCAACCGATAAAAGTGCAATTGCAACTCCTCAGAGAGGTCAGTATGTCTGTATTCGTTGGAAACTTCCAGGGCTGGAGTTTGAAAAGAGTAGAGAGTATTCTCTTTTCTGAATTTCCAACAGAAAACCATTATCGAATTTCCGTCCGCAAGCTTGAAGGTGGACAGATTTCCAGCCATATTCATGAACAACTTAAAGTCGGTGACAAAATCAGAGTAGCTTCACCAGGTGGTAGCTTTACTTATCATGAAAATGACCCAAGTGTGGAAATGTTGGTTTACGTTGGAGGCATTGGAATTACACCACTTGTCAGTATTATTGAGCAAGCTCTTCTCCAAGGGTCGCAAAGTGAAAATGTACAATTCAAATAGGTCTGAGAGTCATCGTCCGTTTGGAGAATGGCTCTCTCAATTGGCTGCAAAATACCCAAATTTTACGGTTACTGATTTTTACTCAGATGCTGAAAATTCCAATCGTCTTCAAAGCAGTGACTTTGATTTCATCGTACCAAACCAAAAATACGATGTCTACCTTCTCGGACCAAGCGGCTACATGCATTTTGTCAATGACGAACTCGCAAAAAGAGGAAGTGTAAATTTCAACATCTACTCAGAAACCTTCGGGCCAACCGAAGTATGATGTAAATAGACGAAAGAAAGATTTAGCAATGTCTAGACGAATCAAAATGTACATAGTATACCACAAACTAGTTAAAATATCAATCGAACAGAATCGATGCAAAACCAAGAAATGAATAAATGCTTTGGGATTTTAAGTCTTTTCCTGACATCTAGTTCCTTAACAGATATTAATAAATAGTGCCTTTTCCCCTACTTTTGAAGAATTTGTTTCACAGAGTCCACAACGCTGGTATCAAAATCAATGTATTTTGACCCAAAAATACGTTGGGTTTCAGAAAAATCCAACTTGCACAAGACGGATTTTTCCTGTGCAGATTTCTGAGCGTCTGGTTGAGGAATCGCAGCTTCTGGGAAATGTTCGTGGACAACTCTGGCAATATCGTGGTTGCTGAATCTTCCTTCAGCGAGAGCCAATCGTTTGCCTTTAGCGGTCTCGTTTTCGAAAGCAATCAAGTGTGCCTTGGCCACATCACGAACGTCAATGAAAGCGCCAGTCATCGTTGGAATTTCTTCATTTTGTTTCAACTTTAAAACCTTATTGATGATCTCAGACGATGTGTTGAGCGTATCTTTGACATCAGAATCAAAAGCTTGAGGACCGAATACATAAGCTGGGTTCACCGTGGTCAAGGTGAAGTTGGGATGTTCATTCTCCACGAAATCCCAAGCAGCTTTTTCAGCAAGTTTTTTGGAAATGAGGTAGCCTGCAATTGGGTTTTGAAGAGCATCTTTGGCAGTGCCTGGGTTCCACGAGGCTTCAGTGTTTGTAACTTCAGGATTTCTCTCGGTATTGAGATCCATAATAGCAGCATACGACGAAGTCACCACAACTTTTTTAATTTGCGAACCATGAATCTTGATTGCACGAAGACCACAACAAACATGGTTTGCTCGTTGCTTACTATTTCTTTTACTTCTACTGGGGTCCTTACGTATGTATGACGTCGTTGTCCATGGCCAACACCTCGGGCCATACAAAAAAGACTATCGTCAATACGGTGAATTTTGTGTCTTATTGTGTGTCCAACATCATTGCTCCACAATTCTTTCTCGCCAAACAGGCACCTCATTACCTTACTGGTTATCATGCTATTTTAGGCTTTACCTCCGCAGCTTGTCTTTCAATTTTGGCTTATGGTGCTGGATGCTATATGGAAAATGCTAGGAGAGACAAGCTCTACGGACCACCATCATTGGATTTTGAAGAGGATGCCAAAGATTTGACAGATAAGCAAAAGGCCAAGAATTTTCGATACGTTTTTGGTAGAAGCTTCTTAAGGAGTTGTAAGGGTTCTCTCAGCCCCACTTGTTCTATAATTACGAATTTGCAGCCGAGTCAACGGGCTTATACACCCGAACCTTGACGAGCTTGGCACGAGTAATTTGGTAGGTGAACTATTCAAGAATGATGAACTAGAATTGATAAAGTATCACGAGTGATAAACTATATAGATAATTGATAATGTGGAGTCGTCTATACACAACTACCCCAGTTTCTCGTCGTTTCTTGTCTTATTTTTCAACCACTCGAATCGCACTCATTACTCATCGCGAATATTCACTCATACTCATTTTCTCATTTCTCATCCATTCCGACTTTGCCCGAAATCATACCACACCAAATATTTTTCAAACACGCATGTGGCTGACTTCCAAACGGTTTCCACGGATATACCAGATGCATAAATACCCAGAATAATCGCACCACCTCCCTCACTTTCATAATGACAAAGGCTGCAAATCAAGTGTACACCATTCAACAGCTTAGTCCAGAACAAGTTAACATTGTCAAGGCTTCAGTTCCAATATTGAAAGCTCTGGGGTCAGGAACTCACCAAGAACTTTTATCAGAAAATGCTCTCCAGTTATCCTGAAGTAAAGCCGTTTTTCAATGAATCTGATCAAAAACTGTTACGTCAACCCAAAATTCTTGCATTTGCATTGTTGAAATATGCCGAAAATATTGAAAATTTGGAACCCTTGACTGGGTTTGTTCAGCAAATTGTCACGAAACATGTGGGACTCCAGGTCAAACCAGAACACTATCCAATTGTTGGGAACTTGTCTTCTCAACACCATGGAAAATATGTTGGGAGAATTAGCGACACCTGAATTTCTTCAAGCATGGGCAACTGCCTATGGAAACTTGGCTCGGTTGTTGATCAACGCCGAGGATACTTGTTACCAGAAACAACCTTGGAACGGGTTCAAGGAATTCACCATTGAAAAAATACAAAATGAAGCAAGCGATGTGAAATCAGTCTATTTTTCACCAACCGATAAAAGTGCAATTGCAACTCCTCAGAGAGGTCAGTATGTCTGTATTCGTTGGAAACTTCCAGGGCTGGAGTTTGAAAAGAGTAGAGAGTATTCTCTTTCTGAATTTCCAACAGAAAACCATTATCGAATTTCCGTCCGCAAGCTTGAAGGTGGACAGATTTCCAGCCATATTCATGAACAACTTAAAGTCGGTGACAAAATCAGAGTAGCTTCACCAGGTGGTAGCTTTACTTATCATGAAAATGACCCAAGTGTGGAAATGTTGGTTTACGTTGGAGGCATTGGAATTACACCACTTGTCAGTATTATTGAGCAAGCTCTTTCCAAGGGTCGCAAAGTGAAAATGTACAATTCAAATAGGTCTGAGAGTCATCGTCCGTTTGGAGAATGGCTCTCTCAATTGGCTGCAAAATACCCAAATTTTACGGTTACTGATTTTTACTCAGATGCTGAAAATTCCAATCGTCTTCAAAGCAGTGACTTTGATTTCATCGTACCAAACCAAAAATACGATGTCTACCTTCTCGGACCAAGCGGCTACATGCATTTTGTCAATGACGAACTCGCAAAAAGAGGAAGTGTAAATTTCAACATCTACTCAGAAACCTTCGGGCCAACCGAAGTATGATGTAAATAGACGAAAAGAAAGATTTAGCAATGTCTAGACGAATCAAAATGTACATAGTATACCACAAACTAGTTAAAATATCAATCGAACAGAATCCGATGCAAAACCAAGAAATGAATAAATGCTTTGGGATTTTAAGTCTTTTCCTGACATCTAGTTCCTTAACAGATATTAATAAATAGTGCCTTTCCCCTACTTTTGAAGAATTTGTTTCACAGAGTCCACAACGCTGGTATCAAAATCAATGTATTTTGACCCAAAAATACGTTGGGTTTCAGAAAAATCCAACTTGCACAAGACGGATTTTTCCTGTGCAGATTTCTGAGCGTCTGGTTGAGGAATCGCAGCTTCTGGGAAATGTTCGTGGACAACTCTGGCAATATCGTGGTTGCTGAATCTTCCTTCAGCGAGAGCCAATCGTTTGCCTTTAGCGGTCTCGTTTTCGAAAGCAATCAAGTGTGCCTTGGCCACATCACGAACGTCAATGAAAGCGCCAGTCATCGTTGGAATTTCTTCATTTTGTTTCAACTTTAAAACCTTATTGATGATCTCAGACGATGTGTTGAGCGTATCTTTGACATCAGAATCAAAAGCTTGAGGACCGAATACATAAGCTGGGTTCACCGTGGTCAAGGTGAAGTTGGGATGTTCATTCTCCACGAAATCCCAAGCAGCTTTTTCAGCAAGTTTTTTTGGAAATGAGGTAGCCTGCAATTGGGTTTTGAAGAGCATCTTTTGGCAGTGCCTGGGTTTCCACGAGGCTTCAGTGTTTGTAACTTCAGGATTTCTCTCGGTAATTGAGATCCATAAATAGCAGGCATACCGACGAAGTCACTCACAACTTTTTTAATTTGCGAACCATGAATTCCTTGATTGCACGAAGAGCATTCTCAGTTCCTTGAGTAGCAGGATCTAACAATTCCTTCTGAATGTCAGTGACATCAAAACGGAATGGAGAAGCAGTGTGAAGAAACACAGTCACTTCTGGATGGTTTTCCAACGCTTGGTCAAAGGCACCTTCTGCTGCTACATCAGCAACAACTTCGTATTGAAACGACGATCCAAACTTCTCAGTAAGAGATTCACCTTTTTCCTTTGATCTCACAGAACCAACAACTTTGTAGTTCTTGGCGATTAACTGCTTGATCACATGTTGGGCAATGAAGCCGGTTGCTCCAGAAACAAAAACTGTAGACATTGTTGGGTAATATTTTTTGCGATCATTTTATAGTCGCAGACCCTGTCTCATTACTAATTCGGCACCATACGGTCCAACATCGGTTAGCTCGATGCCTGCACAAGAGACATGAAATGCCGCAGCCCGTTTCACGTCAAATTTACGACAAATTTCACCAGCGGTAAATGCGCATCCGAATATTCGTTGAATCAAGCTGAAATGATTGATTTTCATTGCCTTCAGTTGGTACCGTAACCTGGTGCATCTTTTTATTATCAAGATGGCCCGGCAAATTACCCCTTGTATTTTTGCCCGTCGTGCATGCTCTCAATAATATTCTGAACCTTATTATTAAGAACCAGAAAATACTTGCGCTCAGTAATGAGGGGAATGCAAGTGATATCGATAAATCATTCAAAGAATTGGGGACCCAAAACTTGTGGAAAAGTTGAACAATGCAACCTTTTCAGAACGGCAGTACTCCTCACCGGATCTAGCCAAGATTTAAGCCGATTTCAGCTGATACCTGGTAACAATCTCGGTTACTCAGGTAGTACTTCAAGGTGATGAGTAACCAATAATATCTCTGTACTCAGCTCTAATTTCTCGCTCACTAATGTCAACCACTAAGTCAACAATTGAGTTTATATGCTTCGACTTGGATTCATGAGTATTTTGTTGTAATCAGTCGTTTCTCTCTTGTTCTTGTCTGCACTCCCGCGATTTGTGTATGTGAAAATGGCTGCGAAAAACTACTTCATCCTCATGAAACTGATCCTAATTTTTTCCCTACTTGTTTCTGCAGTCAAGGATATCTATGACTGCCATGAAACCGCGGTGACTCCCTTGGATGATACTGAACTTATTCGGCGATCCATCGAGCAATTACAATTAACCTGTAAGGCCGCCGATGCTTGTACCGCTTGCAAATCAAGGCTTTCTATTGGCAAGGTTCTTTCACTGACCCGGCCCGATATTGTTCCCTATGTGTTCAAGCGGTGGTGTACCGAAGCTATGCATGATGCTGGGCAATGTGAGATGAATTTCAGTCCCTTTTCTGCCGACAAATCTACCCTTGGTTCAGACTTCATTTTGATGCTTCAATCAATGAGTCCTGAAGGATTGGATGGAGATTATTTTTGTTATTACCATGAATCCAAATGCCTCGAAAGGCCAGAAACCCCGGAAATCAATCTTGATACCATGTGGCCACCAAAACCAAAATCTTATTCTGCTCCGGTACAAAGTGGTGAGTCGTTTAATGTGCTCCATCTTGGTCATATTAATCTTCAACCAGATTATGCTGTGGCTTCTGAAGCAAATTGCTCACAAAGTTTGTGCTGTTCTCCTTGTTCTGCCAATTTCAATTGTCCTCCAGAAGGTTATAGTATGCATGTTAGCGACACTAAAACCGGCGTAGCTTCATTTTTCAACAGCAGCTATTCACGGGGAAAGTTCGAAAAGGGAAACTACGTGGATATCTTCAACAAAGATGCATGGTGTCCCGCTCATGAATTTGGCACGTATTTGTGTGATGTGCCACCAGTTTTGTTGAACAACACTCTCCGCAATATTCGAGCCTTTCACGAAAATCTGCTCGATTTCGAATTTGCAATTGTCACTGGTTCGGCAATTGACCATAGAGACCGCCAGTTTCTCACCAAAAATGACCACATGAGCACGCAAGATTTAGCTTATAGTGCAATCCAGTGTCATTTGCATTCCATTCCTATATTTCCCTCGTTTGGCGACACCTATCCAAAGCACCAATTTGCACCCAAAAGTCATCCTCTGTTTTCAAGCCAGCAATAACAGTTTGATTTCCAAGCAGACTTGATGACCAGGTTGGGGTGGATCGACTCCAATGAAGTCAACCAAATCCGTTACAGCCACTTTGGCTACGCCGTTGTAACCGATCGAGGCTTGAAGGTAATTTCGTTGAATTCCAAGGTGTGGAGCACAAAGAATTTGTACAATTTCATCAGCACAGAAAGCCCGGACAGGTTTGGAGTTTGGAGCTTTTTAGTGGAAGAGCTCTTGGATAGTGAGCAGAATAACCAAAGAGTTTGGATCATTGGTGAGCATCCACCAAGTGTGGACTCTATGCCCATTGCGTCTCAGGTATTTCTTACCATTGTTAGAAGATTTTCTCCCAAGGTTATTGCTGCGATTCTCTTTGGACATGAGGACGAATTTTACCAGGTTATCTACGACACCGATTGCAAAGAAACTTCCGAAGGAGCTGTTGCGTTTGCATTAATGGCTCCGCCAATCAGTCCGTTCCAAGGCTCGAATCCAGGTTGGCGGTACTATGCCGTTGACGAAGATACCTTTGATATTGTCAACTCGTTCACATTTTACACCCCTTTGAACGAATCTTATGTGAATTCTGGAGCGGAACCAGCATGGAAATTTGGTTATTCAGCAAGAGAATTGCTTGATCCTTGCGAAACCTGGGCTCCGGAAGAACCATTATGGCCCAGTTTTTGGCATTCTGTGAGTATGGCACTTCTTAATGATTCGTCTATAGCCTCCACTCTTGAAGGTGTGCGTCGAAGATGGTCTCCATACACTGATTGTCAATTAATTGATGATTACCGTGATAACCTCCATTGCTTAACTACCAGCTTTACCCTGGATCAGAAGCACGATTGCATGGGTTCGGGTGAACAAAACGACTTCTTTGAGCCTCAGTGTCTGGCTGAAACTCCTCGCAAGTTACCACCCTATTTACCTCCCCAATACTATGAGGAGTATGTGGAAAGTCTGAAGGCTCGTGCGGTGACGAAACATGGGAAGAAATTTGTTGACTCGGTGACCAATTAGCTAGGAAATGTAACGACTACTATGATCAATGTAGATTGAGTAGACTTAGTTAGCTTGTTTTGTGGGTGATAATATCTTGAAGGGTAATCATGAATAGAGTACTCTGTCTGAAAATCGGCAAGTAGCAATGTGCCAAACAGAATTCAGCTGATTTCAAAATATCAAAAAGTGCCATTGAAGATGAGGCAGTTTATTACGAAGTATCTTGTTAGTTTTATATCATCTAAGACGTTTGGAGATTAACGAAATCTCATTAATGCGTCTATACGATATCATGGAAGCGTGGCTTTTGTCATATGAAAATATTATAAGATTCTATTTTCAGCATAATTGTCGCACTGATAAGACTATATGCAGACCTTGAGATCTCAGAACAGACAATTTTCAGTGCTAGTTATTGAGTTCTAGTATTCAGACTGTTTATAGAGCAAACAAACTCAATCAACAGTGGATCATTGAGAATCATGGTTTCGGAAAATACCATAAAACCAATTAATTTATCAAAACTTATTACATCTATTACACAAATGTCGACGACACATTTCTGTCACGTGCCGGAAAGTTTAGCATCTGATAACTAAGTTGAGGTTGAAGATTACCCTTTATGGAAATAAATCTGTACAGGTGATTTCGTTGGGAATGGATCAAAGTAGCAGAAACGCAATTCAAACAGAGTTTTGAACAGGGATAATTTCAAACATGGATATTTTCAAGTAGTCAAGAGTCTATTTTGACATTTTTCATCAATTCGCAAAATTGCAGAATTCCAAGATATGATACAATTGAGATTTCAACCGATTTGAATTTCTTAATTGAATACGTGAACCTTCTTCGAAAGCCATTTCTCTTGGTATTAACGACGTAAACAACAATAAACTTAAACTATTCAAGACTCAAGTCGTTTGCTAGTAGAAACAAAACCAAGTAGAATTGAAACAATTACGTCACTTGTTCATAGACTATTTCAACATTTGGTGAGATTGTTCAAATTCAAGAAAAGCAAGTTCCACGTTTACTCTTATCGAAGCTTGTCAGCGTTTTTTACTCTACTTTTGGGCAGTTTCATCATTTTCAAAAAGTTGAAAATTCATAAATATCTCTCACATACTTAGCCAACCATTCTTAGCGCACTCCAAAAATACCAAAGAACGTTTTTTGCTTCTGGAAATTCCCAAATTAACGTTAGAAGCTCTTGACCAATGCTAGAAGGTTAAAACACAGTGCGGCGATTTTGCGAGTATTTTTCATGAGGTTGTTCCTTGCATGGAACATGCTTCCCGAACAGGGAATACGCACCCCAGACTATGAAGCTTGAGAGGTTTCCTGTTCAAGAAAGCGAGTAGAGCCTTACCCAACTAGGAAATATGGTCGATATGCACGAAAATGGAACCTGTCCTAATTAGGAAGGTCCTACTGAACACTACAAGAACACTTCAATTTTCTACAAATGAAGAACTGGGTATGATTTATTAGTAGATAATGTACACGGCAATAATTGCCAACAACCAGAAAAGCACAGACCGTAATAAATATGAATAATCGTCAATACGATTCTTCAGTAGGACAACTCCTACTGGACGAAATGGTTGCAAAAGTAAACTGATGCGGAAAACGAGCTTAAGGCACGAAATGCGAAGAGCCAAGGTGAACCAGGGCGGAAGTAAGCCAAAAAAAGGCACGAAACTGAAGCCAAAAAGGCACGAAATTGAAGCCAAAAAGGCAGGAAATTGAAGCCAAAAAGGCACGAATGAAGCCAGAGGGCACGAAAGTAAGCCAAAGGGCACGAAGCCGGAGCACGAATGAAGCCGAAGCACGAATTGTTAAAGCCAAAAGGCACGAAATTGAAGCCGAAAGGCACGAATTGGTTGCAAACCACGAATAAAGCAAGCCGAAAGGCACGAAATAACCACAAAAAAGCACAAAAAGCACGAAAAAAAACACGAAACTGGAGCACCAAAAAAGTCAATTAGAATGTCACAAACGAATTAAAGTCAAATTCCTCGGGTTTATGAGCCATAAACTGGTCATTTGCACATCCTTTAAAGTTTGAAAGTTTAATATTGTCCACTTCAGGAACAAACTCCGATACAGGCGAGTACTCACCAGCATCAGAAGTGTCAGAATCACTCAAAAAAACGGTGATTTGCTCGTTAAGAAGCATGAAATCTTCCAAATTAGAAATGGGTTGCGGCTGCTGCGATTTGATTTGTGGAACCACTGGGGCAGACATGGTGTGTCTATGACTAAGTTGCTTCCTGGGACCAGCCACAGGAGCGTGATACGCCTTGAATTGGATCTCCCCACTTCTTCTTTTGTCTCCGGTACTTTTCGAACGTTTGAGATTTGGTGCTGCACCAGTTGAAATATCACCAACAGTGTATGCACGTTTATGCCCGCGAGGCTGCATGGTGTTGGAAGTATCTTCGCCGCGCGTCGTGCCAAACACAAAGTTGTTGAAATGTGGGGTAGATGAGGTGTCGATGCCATTCATTGAATATGCAAGAGGAGCGAGCTCAGCGGCACCAGACGCAGCCTCCTGAGACTGCCAGCCCATCCCGAAATCAATGTTCATGATACCTAATCCCATCTCTGCTCTAGTATCGGTGGAAAACGTGTCCTGCACATAGGCACCGGTGCCGTCCAACTCGCTCATCATAGTAGCAGAGTCGAGGTTTGAGAAAATTGAGTCGTCATCAGATGTAGGTGAAGGTGGAAGCGATCCAGATGTGGAAGCGGACGCAGAAGTAGGTGCCGACGAAATCGACGCCAAATCGTTCGATCCTGTCATCTCCGCTTCTTGCGTCTTCACCGGCAGCAAATCAACAAAGACAAAATCTTTGGGCATTCCTGGTTTATTTTTGGGTCTTTTAGATGGTGGTCTTCTGGTCAGAAAGCTTGTACCGGCGGCGGAGATTTTCATTGAGTTATTGAAACATTCCATGGAAAAGTTGGAACCCACAGCTTTTTTGGCACTGGCACTAGCCAGTCTCACACGCCATAATTTTCTTCCATTAGCAGGAGGAAGTATTTTGCTGAGTTAGTAGAGAACAAACAGATAACTGACAAAAAGTATCGGTGACATACCTTTTATTTTCCATTGTCACTTCCTTGGGTATTAGCGAGGGAAGTAGGCGATATGCCGGGTATCAATTGATGGAAGCAAGTTAGCTAACAGTGAAGGAAGGGAAATATAAGATTAGGATGATCTTAAAACTTTGTGGCGGGAGAATGGATTTATATAGAAACCCCAACAGAAAGGGGGAACCTGCGGCAAAGGATTAGATGCTCCGGCAAATGCAAGGCAGGCGCCAGAGCCGCTGTGGATGCTGCAAGTCATTAGTAGTAGTTGCAAATACTAAGTATTGGCGATGGGCCCGACTCATGCATGATGCGCGCCGTGTTATGCATCATGCACACTCTAATGCATTCTGCATAAAATGGAAATAAAACTCAATATGCGATTACGAAGTGCCAAGAGTAGACCCTTTGTAACTAATGACTTGATTATTCGATGATAAAGCTCTTAGATGACTCTTTCTCGATCCAAAATACTATCACATTAATTTTGGATCATTCTGTCAACTTACAAGCGAATCCTAATTGGTGATCCATAGACAATGGCACCTCCTTGAAAGGAAGGGTTACATTAATAGTTTGCATGAACGTTCAATGTTATTTTCCTATTCGAGTATATTGTTTGCATATGCAACCTAAACAGGAGTGATTGGTACTCCTCTTTTCCTAAATAGGAAATTTGATTTCAATGCGCATAATTTTAATTGACAATTCGAAATCAATGCCCATTGGTGATGCACATCGGGACATGAGAGAAGCTCTCAAAGAAATTACGAACAAATTTCGGATAGAATCCGATGATAACTTGAATATGAATTGAGGCGATTAACAATATTCGGAGATTATGATTTGATAGTTTGGGGCGTTTTCAAGCGCATGCTTCGTATAGAGCCGAGTAGGCGACCTCGCCTACCTAATTAGGCGATTTTCACGCACTTGCATGCACGTAATATGAGATTGATCTGCATTCTATTATACATTGCTGCGTCTCATTAGGCCTAATTAGGAATGCGGAGAAACAAAATAGCCCGATTAGGAAAGCGGGGAATATGCACCCTGCGGGTTTTTTTTGATGTTGCGCTTCTATGAAATTGCCCGGATGTACTAGCGATAAAATGTGGGGTAAACTGTAATGGCTCTAATATGCGCAAACCGGCATTGGCAACAGATTTTGCCGGAATTAATGTCGGCTTCGGTTTTTTACATGCCCGACAATGTTGGATGAATAGTTGACACATTGAACACAAAGTGCCAAACCGTAACGCAAAAATAATGAAAGTTATTGTTATTTAGCGATTGTCTTTGAGTTGCTTTGAGTCATTCTTATTTGTCAATTGCGAATCATGATGCCATGGATTGTCGTCGTACGGCTCCTAGATTTCATGCCGATGCCTGCACAATCGATCGAGAATTTTTTATGCATGCGGCCTAATTAGGACTAGTTATGTGTAAGCCGCAGAAGGGGTCAACTGCAGGGATGAATACAGGCGGTTTAAAATATTCGGCCTAATTAGGCATGGTAATCACACCTCGATATTAACGCAAATATTTAACATAGAAAATACTACTGAATTATCAGTTACGTCATTGGCATGAATTTCACCCAACTATGTAAGGTGCCTTTAAAAATTTTAAATTATTATATTGAAAACCTTTGAAACTAGAAATTGTAGATAAATCCGATTCCCACATTATGTCCGTCCACCGATGGGGAAACCGATTGGGTTTTCTGCAGTCTGCCGACAGAATAATGAACCCGGGAGTCAGATGGGGCACTTGCGGGGAAAAGTGACGGCGGAAAGGAACCATTGCGAGGGGTGAGAGAGGGGACATGTTAAAGGCGCCGAGGTTCTTTATCAATGAAAGTGGAGATTGTGAAGGTTCGCTAATTTGGCTAATTTTTCGGTTGATGAAAAATTCAACGGATTACAATTTTGCGGGGTGTTACATTTAACGTTTGAATGTGATTTCGGAACGACACAGTTACGACACAGCTACGAAAGCAAGTACCAATCAACTAAACGACCCGAAGTTGCAGGGTAATAGTCGTAGGCAATCGAAGGCAATTGAAGGCAATTGCAAGAGCAATCACAAGAGCATATTGCAGAACAATAGTCACAAGTTGTAAGACAACACTTCTATGCTTTAATTTCTTTTGGTTTTTGGTTTCTGGTTTATTTGGTTCAATTCTTTGTGTTTCTTTGGTTTGTTCCTTTGGTTGTTCTATGCTTCTTTGTCGGTTTTGATTTCTATTCTTGTGGCTGATTCTTTGTTGCGAAACCATTGTGCTTTTGTGTTACTTTGGTATTTTGTTGTATTTTGTTGTATTTTGGTTCTGTGGCTGGTATTTTCTTTTGGTTCAAACTAGACTTGCCCTGGTAACCACAGTGGTTCTAGAACAGTGATTTGGTCATGTTTGATTCATTGTCATTATTTCATTTGTGACCATTGCTCGTAATTGAACTTACTTGTTACTTCTTTCATTTTTCTTACTCGTTACTTCTTTCATTTTTCTCCCTCTCTCTAACCAACTTTTCCAATCGCGCTTTGGCTTCCGGAGTATAGTCAAGTGTACACGTTTCCAAGTGCTTAATCAGCAAACCCTTGTGTTCTCTTTTGCGCTTTTCCACCTCTTCTGGAGTGTGCGGCGTATACTTGATAAATTCAAAGTCTTTTCCTGTGTCCCAGAAAACCCAGGCTCCGGCCACCACGGCCAAAGTACCGACAATAAGACGATTTATAAATGGAGGTGAGGACATAAGCGTGAAGTTTGGTGAGAGAAAAGATTTGAGAGCGCGGCACGTGACCATTTCAATTGGTTATTCAATTTTGTCAATTTGCAATTGGTGCAGCGGCTATCATTACTGCGTTTTTTTTTACGGCAATTTGCATCTCTTACTTTACCGTTTTACATTCACCGTTCCATGCAGAAAGGCGCTAGGAATTGGGCGCTAAGAACGAAAAGAAGTATAATGTGAATCCAAGTAATATATGATGTCTACAGTGTACTGTTACAGTCTATTATAGTTAGTGATTGTAGCACTTAATTAAGTTTCAGCTTACTCAAATTTCAGTTCTGCTTCTTAGTTGTATCTGATGGTCGTTGCTTTGTCAGGGCTTGGTCATTTCTTGGTCACTGGCCATAATTTCGTCATTGCTTTTCTCCATTGTCTTTCATTTTGCAGCTCCTACAGCTTCATTTGCAGCTTTCGAATTCAGTTCGCACTTTCGTAGCGCGCACGCCTGTTTCCCAGCTATTTCCTCCCACTATTCACTAATTCGCAGCGCGCACGCTGCTCATTAGCTCGCGCACGCTCGCTCGCACGCCGCTCGCACGCTCTATATTTGCCAATCTCCCTCCCTATTTCCATGGCTGCACTTCCAAAAAGAATATCCAAGGAAACCCAACGGTTGGTGTCGGATCCCGTGCCCGGCATCACCGCTGTGCCTTCAGAAGACAACTTGAGGTACTTTGAAGTGTGTATTGATGGTCCTTCTTCTTCACCATATGCTGATGGCAAGTTCAAACTAGAACTTTATTTACCTGATGATTATCCCATGTGTGCACCCAAAGTGCGGTTTCTCACCAAAATCTACCATCCCAACATAGATAAATTGGGCCGTATTTGCTTGGATGTATTGAAAGATAATTGGAGTCCGGCGTTGCAAATCAGAACGATTTTGTTGTCTATCCAAGCGTTGTTGGGTGCGCCAAACCCTGATGATCCGTTGGCCAACGACGTTGCAGAGGACTGGAAGAAGGACGAAAAGGCTGCTATCGAGGTGGCGAAGGAGTGGACGCGAAAGTATGCGACGTAGAAAGGGAGAAGAGAAGTGAAGAGGAATTGATCGAGATTTCAGCAATTTCAACAAGACTAAAATTTGAAGCTTGTATTGTGGAAGAATCGTGATACTCAATGCCTTTATTTACATCGCGTTGTGATATCTGGTATTTTGTCACCTACTTTACTCACTTAGTTGACTCGCGTAGGTCACCAGGCTGGAAGCGAAGCGGCAGCCTGGTTTTCTCCTGGTTAGGCTGGTTTCAGGTTTCCTGGTTAGGCTGGTTTCACCAGGCTGTCGCTTCGCTTCCAGCCTGGTTGCTTCAGCCTGGTTAGCTGGTTCATCAGGCTTCGCTTCGCTTCAGCCTGATTATATAATCTCTTTATCGGATCATACGGAACCCGCGCCGATGAGCGCGAATTCCCCCTGAAAAATCTTATACACCCATACACCAGCTTACCTCGGCCATTACCACCCCACGAATTTGCACTAAATCGGCTGCTTTCAACCCAAAATTCACATCTCATACTCAATTCCTACAGTAGACCACGTAAACGCGTCCAGAACCACCGCACCCCACTCAAAACCGCCAAAAATTAGCCCCGGTCCAATTGGTAGATTAGGTCAGCGCTGACAAACGCGACGCATAATCGGTGCCCACGCAGATCTGATTTCAAATTCTTTTCGTCTGATGGCGGCCCAGAATTCCGATGACGACCAGCCGGCGTCAAGTCCGTTTGCGGACCATAGCTACACGTTCGTAGACGGCAACTCAACCACCTCCGACCACTATGAACCACACACCTCCAATAATAATCGGGTTTTTTCTGATCACACGTTCAATTCGGGATTTCTGGATTCATCTATACATCAAACTCGGGCCGATTTCGATCCCCACCAGTCCCCCGAGTCCAGCGCCATGCCCACACCAAAACTCAATGTGGCTAGCTCACCAACGTCGCGTAAACCTTCGCTTAGATTCAATCTTCCCCCCACACGGTCTCCTTCCACCAAAGGTTCGCCTCCTACAAGTTCACTTCCGGCCCTCCCAATGGACCCTGCGAGCTTTGCTTCGCCCGAGACGCGTACCGACACGCGTCTGGCGTCGTCAGGAACCCTCCATCTGGCCCACTCATTGTACAATCTTCCCCACCTGCACGGCATGCAAAACGGCCATCGCGACCACCAAGTAAGTCCTACTGGTTATGGCGGCCGGGCCTCGCCCACGTTTGCCATTGACGAGGACCACGAGGTCAGCTTCCAGAAACCACAGCTGCCGTTCGCGGACTCGGCCGAGGTAACGTTTGAGTCGGCAGATTCCGCGTCCATCATCTCCGGTTCGGAACCACCATTTATGCCGTCGCCGCCGCCTACGATGCAGAGACACCGGTGGGGAACCACCAGAAACAAGAAGGGACGCCCGCAGCGCGAGAACGTAAGCCGGTCCAAAACTCTCAAGGGCATTTTCTCGCAAAATTCCATCTCAAGGTCAAAACTGTCAAACCACCCAAAACGCAAAATATCTATCCGCCCGCCCCGCACAGACGACACCCACATCCACGAGTCCGATACCGGTGACGACGACGATGAAGACCACAACTCAACACCAGAAACCGCCGATCCAAAAGATAGAAGAGCCGAAAAAAGAACAGTGGTGTTTAACCGTCCGCTCCCACAATCAGCCGTCGACCCACAATCCGGCCAACCCATCATCACCTACCCACGTAACAAGATCAGAACCACCAAATACACCCCATTGTCTTTTCTACCGAAAAACATCTTCAAACCAGTTTTTCCACAACGTCGCCAACATCTATTTCCTCGCGATGCTCATCTTGGGAGCGTTCCAGATTTTCGGTGTACCCAGTCCCGTTCTCGCAGCAGTACCATTGATCGTCATTGTACTAATCACGGCGTGTAAAGACGCTATCGAAGACTCCAGGCGAACGGGTTCGGACATGGAGATTAACAACCAATACACTCACATTCTCGTGCACGCGGCCGAAAACTCCGAATACGAAAACCCCAACGTGTCGCAAGAAAAAGTGTCGTACTGGCGTCGGTTCAAAAAGTTGAATTCTCGTCTTCTTTTCCGGTTCATTCGCTTTCTCGAACGCAACGTTACCAAAAAGGGACGCGCTGAAAAGGCCCGTCAAGAGGTGGCAGAACCTCAAAATATCCGTAAATCTTTCGATAGCGATATTATGTCGGATATTCAGTCGCCAAGACCATCAGGAGATATACGCCGATCGATGCAGAGAACCCGCCCTTCGGGTCAATATTCTCGAAGATCGGGGGTACATCGTCAAAAGACACTTCGGTATGCGAGAAAATACTGGAAGGATGTCCGTGTAGGCGACATTGTCCGGGTTCAAAATAACGAAGAAATCCCAGCAGATTTGGTAATTATTTCAACTAGTGACGACGACAACTGTTGCTATGTCGAGACAAAAAATCTTGACGGAGAGACAAACTTAAAGGTCCGTCAAGCCCTTAAATATGGTTCATTGGGCTCCAAAATCCAACGAGCTGATGACCTTCTTCTGCGTGAATTTCAAGTTAACAGTGAGGGTCCTCAGGCCAATCTTTACTCATACCAGGCTAACATAAGCTACAAGCATCCTGTCACATCCGAAGAGGCGACAGAAAGTGTCACTATAAACAATCTTCTCTTGCGTGGATGTTTTTTGAGGAATACAAAATGGGCAATTGGTATTGTTGCATTTACCGGTGAAGATACCAAAATCATGATGAATGCCGGAATCACACCTACAAAGCAATCGAGGCTTTCACGAGAGCTCAACTATTATGTTGTTCTCAATTTCGCTATCCTCTTCATTCTTTGTTTCTCATCGGGTATCATCAATGGATTCTACTATCGAACTCACGATACTTCGAGGGACTATTTCGAATTTGAAACAATTGCTGGGACTCCAGCGAAGAATGGTCTTGTGTCTTTCTTTGTTGCAGTGATTCTTTACCAGTCGTTGGTCCCCATTTCTTTGTACATTACTATTGAGATCATCAAGACCTTACAAGCATTTTTCATCTATTCTGATGTTTCAATGTATTACGAAAGGCTTGATCATCCATGCACACCCAAGAGTTGGAGTATTTCTGACGACTTGGGGCAGATAGAATACATCTTCAGTGATAAAACTGGAACGTTGACACAAAATTTGATGGAATTCAGAAAGTGTACTATTAACGGAATTTCGTACGGAAAGGCATATACCGAAGCATTAGCTGGGTTGCGGAAACGTCAAGGAATTGATGTTGATGCTGAAGGTGCTCATGAGCGTCAACTAATTGCGGAAAATAAGCAAGAAATGCTCAAGATCTTGTCCTCCATTCATGACAATCCTTATATGGACGAGTTGACGTTTGTAAGTAAGGAATTTGCTGAGGATATAACTGGTGCTTCAGGAGAACATCAAAAAGCTTGCAATGAACATTTTGCTTTGGCGCTTGCCTTGTGTCACAATGTTCTTGTTGAGCCAAGAGAAGACGACCCTTCCAAAATGTTGTTGAAGGCACAATCACCAGATGAAGCTGCTCTTGTTGGTACTGTTCGTAGTTTGGGATTCAATTTCAAGGCGAATACGAAAACTGGAGTTGTTGTCGAAGTTCAGGGTGAGACCAAAGAATATCAAGTACTCAACACGCTTGAGTTCAACTCTACAAGAAAGAGAATGAGTGCAATAATCAAGATTCCACCAGAAACTCCCGACGGTGAGCCAAAAGCTCTTCTAATCTGTAAGGGTGCCGACTCGATCATATACTCGCGTTTGTCTCGTACCCAAAACGACAAAACTCTTTTGGATTTGACGTCGAAACATTTGGAGGAATATGCTACAGAGGGTTTGAGAACATTGTGCATTGCACAGAGAGAAATTCCTTGGTCGCAGTACCTTGCGTGGAACGTTCGTCATCAGGAAGCTTCAGCTTCGCTCGATAGGAGAGAGGAAAAGATGGAAGCAGTAGCTGAATCGATCGAACGTGAGCTTGTACTTTTAGGAGGCACAGCTATTGAGGATAGACTCCAGGATGGAGTTCCTGATGCAATTGAAACGCTTGGACGGGCTGGAATCAAGTTGTGGGTTTTGACTGGTGATAAGGTTGAAACTGCCATCAATATTGGATTTTCTTGTAACTTGTTGGGTAACGACATGGAACTCTTGGTTATCAAGACTGAAATGGACGACGAAGAAGCAGCAGAAATTGGAATCGAGAACAGCGACAACCAGGCAACTCTTGTTTCACTGTTACTTTCCAGATACTTGCAAAAGCATTTTGGAATGACGGGTTCGTTTGAAGAAAAAGAAGCTGCTATTGGCGACCACACACCTCCCAACGAAGGCTTTGGAGTAATCATTGATGGTGATGCTTTGAAGGTTGCGTTGGAGAATGAAGATGCCAAACGCAAGTTCCTATTGCTTTGCAAGCAGTGTAAGGCCGTCATGTGCTGTCGAGTCTCTCCAGCTCAAAAGGCAGCTGTAGTCAAGTTGGTCAAGGATACCTTGGATGTGATGACTTTGGCCATTGGTGATGGTTCTAATGATGTTGCTATGATTCAGTCTGCTGATGTTGGAGTTGGAATAGTGGGAGAAGAGGGACGCCAGGCAGCCATGTCGTCGGATTATGCCGTGGGTCAATTCAGGTATTTGACCCGATTGCTTTTGGCTCATGGAAGATGGTCGTACAAGCGATTCAGTGAAATGATTCCTTCTTTCTTCTACAAGAATGTGATTTTCTCTGTTGCCTTATACTGGTATGGAATCTATGATGATTTCGATGGCACCTATTTGTTCGAATTCACCTACTTGATGTTCTACAATTTGGCATTTACATCTTTGGCGGTGATCTTCTTGGGAGTTTTTGACCAAGATGTGTCTGCCAAAGTATCACTTTTGATTCCCGAATTGTACCGTACCGGTATTATGCGTACGGAATTCACTCAGTCAAAATTCTGGTGGTATATGGTTGATGGCATCTATCAATCAGCCATTTCGTTCTTCTTCCCATACCTCATGTATTATCGAGGATTTGCGTCAATGAACGGATTATCCGTGGACCATCGATTCTGGATTGGAATAGTTGTCACATGTATCTCATGTATTTCGTGCAACTTTTACATTTTCCTTCACCAGTACCGGTGGGATTGGTTATCGTCATTGATTGTTGCTATTTCCATCTTGCTCATCTACATCTGGACTGGACTCTGGACCACACCTCTCTACAGTGCCGAGTTCTACAAGGCAGCAGAACAAATGTTTGGATTGACAGCATTTTGGGCATGTTCCTTTATTGGTATCATCGTTTGTTTGATACCTCGGTTTTTCTACGATGTCCTTCAACGCCATTTTTTCCCTCAAGATATCGACCTCATTCGCGAATGCGTCCAAAGAGGAGATTTCGATGCCTATCCCGAGGACTACGATCCCACTGATCCAAACCGGCCCAAGGTCGGCCAGTATAGCAATGCGCAGGTGCTGCGGATGGGATCGGTTCTGAATAATAACTACGAGTCGACTTTGACGTTGAAAACTGAACAAGTTGAAAACTACAACAATTGGAGCAGCGGCAGTGGAAGTGTAAGCGATTTAGAGCAGCAAGCCAAAGTGATGCAAAATAGCACTGCGATTCCAACACCTCCTATCGAGGCAAATAATCACCATCGGGTGAGCAGTCCAACCCCGAAAAACACCGAATCGGTGGTCCGTCGTGGAGGAAACCGCAAGAGTGTCCTCGACCTTTTTAAGAGGAAAAGCCAGGGAGTTTCATACTACGATAACAATTCTTTGATAGATACTTACAATCCACTGGCAGACGACCTCTCCTCGATGCGCACCGAGGAAATTGCCATGGACGACATGAGACATAATAGAGCATGAAAATCAATCATTGGTGTACAATATATATATAAACGATATGCATGAAATAGTGTAGTTTCTGTGCCACAATTGGCGTTAGGCGAAGCCGCGTAAAAAGAAACGTCGGCAGTGATTTCGAGACATTCAGAATCAAATGAATTTTGAACAAAAGTTGAGAATAATCCTTCTTATATTCTTGATCGCATCTACTATGTCCATCGCTGCCAATGTGCCATTGTGCCCCCCACCAACGACGAGAATTTTGCAGCCGTCCATGCATGTGTCGGAAATAGAAACGCGCTTGATCCCGACTGTATGCAGTACGAATAAATTTTCAGAAGCAATCAAAAAACAAGCTATGGAAACTGGGGGTGTTGTTAGTGTATAGATTGAATGCAATTGAATTTAGGGTCTATTTTGCATTAGCTATTTTGTTCAATTGAACAATTTTTCATTCCTCGGCTTTAGTGAACCTGGCACCCGCCCAGCGACGATGGGCGGCTGCGGCGGGTAACCTCTGCGACATCCAATCACGGCGCGTAGTTTCCCGACTTCCCCCGGTAGTGCAGAAGCTATAAATGGGCCCCTGCAACCTCAGAAAAAAACTTTGAAAAATCATTTCCAGTTGATTTAATCTATTCACTACAAACATGGACTCCAATTTCCTTATTGATTTTTTGATGGGTGGTGTTTCCGCTGCAGTCTCCAAGACTGCAGCTGCCCCAATTGAGAGAGTTAAGTTGTTGATCCAAAACCAAGACGAAATGATCAAGCAAGGTCGTTTGGCTAAGAAATACGACGGTATTGCCGAGTGTTTCAGAAGAACTGCTGCTGAGGAGGGTGTGTCTTCTTTCTGGAGAGGTAACACCGCCAATGTGGTGAGATACTTCCCAACTCAAGCTTTGAACTTTGCTTTCAAGGACAAGTTCAAGGCTATGTTCGGATTCAAGAAGGATGAGGGATACTGGAAATGGTTTGCCGGTAACTTGGCTTCCGGTGGTATGGCTGGTGCCACCTCTTTGGCTTTCGTGTACTCTTTGGATTACGCCAGAACCAGATTGGCTAACGATGCCAAGTCTTCCAAGGGTGACGGTGCCAGAGAATTCAACGGTTTGTTGGATGTCTACAAGAAGACCTTGGCTTCCGATGGTATTGCTGGTTTGTACAGAGGTTTCGGACCATCTGTCATCGGTATCGTTGTGTACAGAGGTTTGTACTTTGGTTTGTACGATTCCTTGAAGCCTGTTGTGTTGGTTGGTCCATTGGAAGGTTCTTTCTTGGCTTCCTTCTTGTTGGGTTGGACTGTTACTACCGGTGCTTCCACTGCTTCTTACCCATTGGACACTGTTAGAAGAAGAATGATGATGACCTCTGGTCAAGCCGTCAAGTACGATGGTGCTTTCGACTGTTTCAGAAAGGTTGTTGCTGCTGAAGGTGTCAAGTCCTTGTTCAAGGGTTGCGGTGCTAACATCTTGAGAGGTGTTGCTGGTGCCGGTGTCATCTCCATGTACGACCAGTTGCAAGTCATCTTGTTCGGTAAGAAGTTTTAGGTGATATAGAGGCTCTAGCTGTATATATGTTTTGCTAACTAGTCCTTCTGTACCTTCCTGTACTTTAGTATAAGTATTAAACTCTTCTGTACATCCAATTGTACCTCCTACTGTATTTTTCAGTATATGTATTGAAACTATGTATTTGCATCCGCTTCCCGAGATATTGACCACCCGACAAACACCTCTGGATGGGATTAAGACCACAAATATACCCCAAAGTTCCAATATCACATAACCATAAAAACATCGATAATGTTGTCCTAACATTTCTGGTAGTTCAAGTAGAGAAGCTTATAACCACCTCTCATGTCATAAAAAATCTTGTCCTGTTTCTTGTAACCAAACTTCATTAGTTCAGCACAACACGACGACAACGACTCAAATGGCTTACTAGCCTCACTAGTCTGATCAGCAATCAAAGTTGCTGAGAAACGTCCAGGCAGGAAAACAGAAAGAACTTTAATCAAAACTTCAACCACAGTGGTATTTGCAGTAGCATCATTGAATGGATAATTTGTTTCAAACGACGCATACGACCATCCACTTTCCGGTGTGATGTGAAGCGTGTAGTAGTAACCTCCCAATTGAGACGAGATCGAGTTCGAAGAAAATCCACAAGGACTAAATGAAAACGCATCATGGACAAATTCGAGTCGATTAAACGAATCCTTTTCAACTTCCTCAAATGGACTGTCGTCGACACTCTCCAACTCCATGCTATCCGATAACGAAGGAGAAGGAAGATGGGACTCCGATAACAATCTCCGTCTCGATTCGAAAATAGAATCAAGTTCTGTATCTCTCATGGTTTCCATGCCAAAATCATGGCCCAAATCATGGTACTCGTCGCTTTCTTCAACCAAAGATTCCGATCCTGGTTTTCTCGAAGTAACAAACTCGTTGGCCTTCAATGGGTCCAATTTGGTCATAAGAACTTCAAAAGTGATATCCTTGGAAGCACTGGCTTCATCGGACTCGCAATTAGTTCCTCCCAGGTACAAGTACCAGTGGTCGTCGCTGGTAAAGTCTCCAACCACATAGCTTTTTCCATGGTCAAAGTGTTTGTTCAAGAGACTCACCTCAGATTTCCAGTCTCGGTGAACATGTTTCTGCTTTTCAGGAAACATGAAACTCCGACGAGAGTAGAATATCTTCTCCACATTCTTCGACGCAAATGATCCGTTTTTTGTAACATACTTTTCAACCGTAGCAAACAAAGTATCAAGACAGGCAAGTGTGGTTGTAGTGCCACAAGTCTTCAAGATCATCTTGTGGGGAAAGACAAAGAGAGACGATTCAGACAAAAGGTAGGCATCCATATAATCAGACGACTTCATAGACAAGATTTTGCAGCTAACCAAGTCCAAAATTTCCTGCCATTTCTTTAGAGGAATGGCCCGCAAGCCTTCACTATCGCAATGACTGGGAATGTCATTTTCAGACTGGAAAAACCAAATCTCCAACAACTTTTCTGGACCTTCGAATGCAAAAGTCGAGTCTAAATTGGCAGATAATTCATGATCAACGTAAGTGGGTTCCGCGTAAGCAGGAGCAACCATAACTTATAAGTTCTTTTTGGTGGATTGAAACTTACTCTTTTGTGGGAACAAAAAGGGACGAATTACCTGTAATGAAACGAAGAGAGAAGTAGCAAGAAACGTTTCAATATCAAATAATTCGAAATTCACCGGTCGATGGGGGTGTCAACAACCAAGTGAATTGATTTTTATATGCTTTTTGTGATTTTTAGTCGTTTTTTTAGAAGTTAATACTTCTCGATTGTACACTGGTTTCCAATGTTATCCGGGTTCAATAGGTTGATTTAAAAGCTCTCGATGTCGTGCTTGCTTCTTAGGCATAAACCACCTTAATAGAAGATACCAACTTTTTATAAGCTGGAAAGTAAATCTGATTGGTGCTTAAACAATCAGAAGACAAGACAATCTCTTGGAATTGGTCCTCAAACTTCAGACTTATGAGATTTCTGAGGACTCTAGAATAATGTCTCGCTTGGGTTTACTCGATAAAAGTTTTTGAAAACCGCAAAAGTAGTCAAAATGGTTGTTGAAAATTGAAGCAACAAGTAGGTCACTACAATTATTGCTCATACATTATGTGAAAATTTTCCAGGAGGGTCACGTGCGCGACTTGGCGGTTATGTTTCAAACACTATACATCTTATTCCTAGTAAGCTGCTCTAACTGATAAACATTAGCTCTCTATATGTAGGCGCCTTCAAAGTCATGACATCAAACACTGGACACGATCTCACTCGCACTGCGCAAAACTTCCACCATATTCAAGCACTCCTTTCTCCTTTGCACCGTTAATTCGTTCTCAAGCACGAGCTTGTCCAAATCAGGGGCATTGTATAATCTCTCTAACAACTCCTTCTGGATTTCCTCCTTGGACTTAATGATTAACTTTAACATGATGGCCTTGGGCACTATGTCTGCCACTGTTCTTTGGACAATGTTGTAGTACGACAGAATAAGCAATTTGATCACTTCGGTCTCCATCGTTTCACGTTCAGTCATGGTTCCGGTCGCTCTCAAGATAGGTGGAGGAGCTTCCATGGCTTGGAGTCTCTTCTTATTCTTCGACGAGAAGAATCCTCCAAAGAATCCATTGGCATCATCTCCCTTCTGTTGTGGTTGTGCTGGTGGTTGCTGGCTAGGAGGCAATGGCTTTCCGGACTTGGGGTCCACAGCAACCTGAGGCTTAGGATGGAACTTCTCTTCGACTATAGCCATGGCTTGAGAGCCCTTCAAGAGATCAGGATGCGCCGTGTTCACATAAGTTTCTTCAGACTTGATGATATCAGTGACGAATTCAATTGTTGGAGTCAATTTATCACGCAAGTACTGGATGAAGCACTGCGACAATCTTTCTTTCAATTGAGGATAGCGAGAGTATTGAGGCAGAGAGATGATTTGAGACAAAATCCGCACCAACTCGTCAAAGATCAAGTTGATACAACGAACGGATGGATCCTCCATACGGTGGATTTGTTGCTTGACCAACACCTCAAATGCTTGAGTTCCCACGAAAAGAGAAGGCGCAGATCCAGAAGTATTGTGCATAATAGTTCTGATGTCTGCATCCTTGATTTGATCAAATGGATCCAACGCACTTATACCATTCTTGAAAATCTCATGGAACACAAAAGAGATACGGGCACCACCAGTCAACTCTTGTGATGTGAGTTCCTTCGCCTCACCGCTAAGAATACCGTTGTAATCCTTGGTAAAGTTGGTGATGACATTAAGGGCAATGGAGGTGGGACTCTCATCCAATTGTGGACCCAACAACGCCAATTCGCTCTGGTATTTCTTCAACGAGTGTTCGATTCTCATTTTGATGTCTGGCAACGTGCTTCTGATGTGGTGTAACAAAATACCGTTTAAACGCTTAGCCAAATACGGCGTACCGCAATAATGGGCCTTAATCTTGTACGATGGGTGGTTCTCAAAGAATCTTCTTTCGTCGTCCAATGCCTGGCGAATCGTCTTCTTTTGCTCAATATCCTTCTGACCCCTATTAATCACTGGCACGTAACCAAACTTCAACGGAATCACTCTGCCGAGCAAGATATCAATGACATCGGTGCCTTCGTCCATCAAATCGACCTTGGTCAACACACCGATGGTTCTAGAGCCTTCGGGATCCACTTCACGTGCGAGCTTCAAACCGTCGGAATTGGCCAAATCGGTGTTGGCAGCATTCACCGACAAAATGATGGCATTCGGTTTGGAAATGAACTTCATGATCATTTCCCGGATTTGCTTCTCAATATCCTTAGGCTGGTCACCGACTGGCACCTTGGTGAGACCGGGCAAATCTACCAATGTCAACGTCAAAACGTGAGGTGAATAGATTCTCAAGTTGATGGGCATGGGGGAGATTCCCAAATTCTTACCGGTTTTCGCATCAGTTTCCCTCACAATCTCGTTTCTGATCTCCTCGAAATTGTAGAACCGCTTATTGGGCAAATGCAAAAACTCTCCCCATTCTTCTGCGTTGTTTTCAGACTGTTCTCCCTTATCATTTTTGGTGTTGATGTCCAACAAATCGGCCGATTCGGCCGCTGGAGTGCCACTCTTGGACACATTGCTTCTTCTATTGATCAACTGTAAAACCAAAGGTCTTCTGGTGACAATTCCAGTACCACGAGGCAAAAAATCCCGGCCTACAATATTCTCTAAAACCGACGATTTTCCACTAGACTGACTTCCCACTACAGTAATCTGTGGTAAATCTACAGGCGACAGCGAACCGCCCCCAAGAGGCGCCAACGCATCCTGAAGCTTGTTGATGGTTGCAATAAGTGTCTCATCCATGGTGGCGTAGTAAGTTGAGTGTGTGAGTTGGCGTTGCGATAATAGCCAGTGACGAGCTGGTGGTTGGAGGTGAAGCGTACAACATCCACACACCAGATATACCGACTAGCAACGGTATATATTGAAGGTTTTAGGGTCAGCTGTAGTTTCTATGGCTCCAAATCCGGCAGAGTCATTCCCCAGCGCTCCACAAAGCTGGTGCTCGCGGCATAGCTGAAACCAGCAAATGTAGCGGTAGAATCGGTGGGGTGTGGTGCGGCTATGTCTATACTGGTGGCTGCAACTAAAGAAGATTTTCCCATTCCACTGATCTTCATGGATGTGAATTCGGACAGAAAGTTCTCGGCTAGTATGGGATCTGTGATCACAGGCTGGATAGGTGGATTTGCTGTTTGCAGTTCGAGGGCTTTCCAGTCGATTTTTCTGAAAAACCGATGCTGTTGGAATTGGGTCCATTTTTCATCCACGGCAAACCGCTTAGTGGGATTCTTGTTCAAGAGCTTGTTGACTAAATCCCTGGCATCCATTGAGAAGTAGAAGGGAATATTGAGTTTGTTTTTGACAATTTTGTCTTGGATATTCTTGTGAGAGTTACCAGTAAACGGTGGTTTTCCTGACATCATGTCATATATTACACATCCAAGCGACCACCAGTCCACGGCATAGTCGTAGCTTTCACCCTTGAGGACTTCTGGTGCCATATATTCGGGAGTACCAATGATAGAAGTACATTTGTCGTTGGGGTCGATGTCTTTGGAAAGCCCAAAATCAGTGAGTACCAAGTGTCCATTGGTGTTGAGAAGACAATTTTCCGGCTTTAGGTCTCGATACACAATGCCTAGTTGGTGTAAGTGCCGCATACCAAGAGCCATTTGTGCTGCGTAGAACGCTACGTCGTCTTCCTTGAAAACGTTTTTTCCATTTGAACTCAAATGATGAAACAATTCTCCTCCAGGGATGTATTCCAATATCAAGTAGAACTTCTCCTGATCATGTAGGGCATAGAACAATTTGACAATATTGGGATGATGGGTGATATTAGTCAATATCTGCCGTTCCGAAAGTGTTCTATCAATATGCTTTCTTATTTCATTCCCGTCACTCATATTGATGGCAGGTTTCCGAACCTGTTTCTGGGCAAATAGCTTGTTGGTAACCTTGTGTTTCACTAGATAGACTTTTCCGTAAGCTCCCTGACCAAGAACCGTCAATGGCTCGAAATCTTCAAGTCGTACGCTAGCATTTCCTTCTTCCTCGTTCTTGTAGTCCGCCGGGATTTTGATTTCTGAACTCTTAACGGACGAAGAAATGGACATTCTCCCGTAAATGCTGCTCCTTCGACGGAAAGAATGGGCTCCCAGAGGATGAAGGTTACTTTGTCGACGTCTCTGTGGACTACGACCAAGCATGGATTCTGTGAGTTCTTTGGGATTGAGGTCATCGTTGTCGTCGGCTATGGCACACCCTAAGCGGAAATCCGCTGAAAGTGCCTCTTCGTCAAAAGAAAAGAGATTCGTCATATGTGATTACCCCGGATTTCGATGAGATTTTTCAGCGCGATGAGCAAACGTGGGAAAGTAGAAGAAAGTGAAGAAAAGCGAAGAAAAGCGAAGAATAGTGAAGAAAAGAAGACAAAAGCAAGCGATTCATAACTAGAGGAAATACCAGTTTGATGGCTAATAGCTTAATTCGTATTTTTCATTAAATAACATACACATTGATCAAAACTTGGTGCTTCTTCAACACCGCTTCGGTCTCTTCCCATGGAACATTGAAAAGACCTGCATTGATTTTCGGCATATTGACCACATTGACACCATCCTGCTGCTCAATTGGTTCAGTCTTGGCCAATTCTGCTAACTGGGACTCGAGATGGAGCATCGATTTGTCGGTATTTTCCACTATATCGTCAGCGCTATTCTTTCTTCTGCCGAATGCATCACTGGTGAACATGCACGCTACATATGCCACATTCTCTCTTCCTGAATTTCCAGGATCACTGGACTCTGATTTGATGAGATAAGTGGAACCCAAGAGCCCACTCGGATTACTAGCATGTTTCTTACAGTGCTCCACATACAATTTGTAAGTCGATGGAAACTGCTTTTTGAAAATTGCAGCCACTCCAGCTCCCCATGAGCCACGGCAATTACAAGCGTGGGCTAGAATAGACGAGGCCAGTGATTTGTGGGAGAAAAGGTCGCCTTTTATGTAATTTAGTTTCGACATGAAATTTAAATTGCGAACAATCAACGATAAGCTTTAACCGGTATTTTAGGTCACTTGCTATAAAATCTACAGTAGTCGTTCTTATGCAGTATTCAGGAGATTGCAAATCCGGCCTGTTTTAAACAAGTTTGATCATAGAGACGAAAAATATATGATATAGTAGTTAAGATAGCCAAAAGATGGTATACCATGTATAGTCAAATGGCCATAGCAAAGAACTTTTACCAAGCAAAAATGTCTCGAACTCTCAAGGCAAAATGGTACTAGTTACATATACAATCGTCAGGATTATTCCCTCAGCTAAGAGGAACTACACATTCTCACATCCCTTTTTATTCTTCCCTACCTCTGTTCCTCCATTTTTCATTTATGCGCGCTGAATTAAATTTGTTTTATGGAACCACGACAAAAAGGTGCTCTTCGAGGCCACAAAAATCCCATAACATGTACTATAGTATTCAAGGACCACAAGCGCAATTGTAACACCCTAGTGACTTCAGATAACGAAGGATGGGTTGCGTGGTGGGATATAAGCACCAAGAGACCTCTTGGAGTATGGAGAGCGCATTCTAATTCTATTCTATCGGTGGTTCAAATCGACCATAATTTACTTTTAACTCACGGAAAAGACTCTTGCGTACGAATATGGGCTATAACCCAATATGAAGGCTTTTCCAAGACTTTTCCAGCCGAAAATCATACAGAATCAGGATCTCATCGATGGCCAGAATACGTTGAAATACCGGTCAACACACTAAACTTCTGCAATGTATGTTATCTAAATGGGAAATTGATAACTCCCGCAACACAGGATAGTAACAATTTCGACATATACTCGATTTTCCCTGCCAGTGCTGCTCATTTTCCAGACATCGAACTGCGCTTGTCGCTCAGACGAATAGTTGCAAATGCAGATCCATTGGCCCTCCATAAGAAAGCCAAAAGCAAAGAAAATCTAACCATGGGCATTGATTTTGAAATAAGTGACGAAAACTCAAAACGAGATGGTTTTGGAATCATGATGAAAGTGGTTTTTGTCTCACCAACCTTGTTCTACATAGGCTATGAGTCTGGGCACATTATAGGGTTCAGTCTCACAGAATACAAGCCAAATGTGAATGTAAAGAGCAAAGAAGGAACTACAAAGGCTTTTGATGCTTCGTTCATCAACAAAGAGCCTACACTCGAAATAATCTATATCTCGGCATTTCACTGTCCCCACCCTATAACTGCACTTTTCTTCCACGACAAGTTGTATGCGGGCTCTGCTGGTAAGACATTATCAATTCACACGAAACAATCCTCAATTGCTGAAGAACCAGAGATAGAAAGCTACAACCTAAAAATTGCTGGAGTTCAAGATATCGCAGTTTTACCAGAACTAGCTATTGTTGCATTTTGGAACGGAGTGGTCAAAGGCTACGAAAAACAAAGCACAGAAGCTGAAAGCGACCAAAGAGAACTCACTACTGACTTTAGCACCGAACCCAATACTATCTCCCAATTCAAACCTGCCTGGAAAATGTCTAGAGACGTACCTCGTATCGGCACTCTAGAGTCTAATAACGGACAAAAAGAAGCACAAGAACTTCCTAGTAAGGTCAAGGCAAACACTCTATGTATCTTGAAAAGTTCTGCTATTACTCATTCGAGCTACAGAGATCTCGTACGTGCACGCCAAGTTAGTCCACGATTACTTACTGTTGGTTATGCCGACGGAGTAACTATTATGTACGAAATTTGAGTTAATACATTCTATCCATCGTCTATTTGGCTAAGCATTAAACGATTGCTCACTTAGATTATCGGATGCTTGTCGACTACTGCTCTTTCTAGGTGCCCCATACATGGATCTTCTCTTTCCCTTATTATTCTTGCCGGTGGACTTGGTTGAGTTTTGGCGTGTGAGTTTGTTCTCGGTGTCCAGAGTCCCTCCATATGGAGGAGTTGGATTTCTCGAGCGTGGAGTGTTCGAATTTATACGACTTGATTGTTGAAGCGGTGTTGGTTTGTGTGCCGGCTTTTGCGCTTGAAGCTGTACATCTAGACTCTCAAAGTCTGAGCTGGTATTTTTGTGTTCAAATCTGATTGAATTTCGATTATTTCTCTTCCTTTTGGTCATAGTGTTGGTTCGAGTTACCGAAGGTTTTGAGGAATCTGCAGAGTCGTCCTCAAATGAAATATTAGCAGCTGTTTCGGTCGTTTCTCCCAATAACTCCTCAAGGTTCACCTGACAGTCTTCGTGTTCGTTGAGCCTGAGTTGCAAGTCAGGGTACTTGCTTATGAGCTTTTGGATGGTGTCAGTATTTTCCAGCAAAAGTTGTTTCGAGTCCTCGCCGTGCACCTTGGCCACCACTGCCAACCGACGCAAATGCTCAATGACAGTTTTGTTCTTGGATACGTATAAGTTGTCCATAGTCTTACGCTTGTTAGCAAGACCGTCAAGGAGGGCATCGATGTCTTTGTCGTTCTTCTCTAAAGTCGACGACAACGTAGTGTAATGATCTTTGGTATCAGCCTTGTAAGCTTCGAATTGAGACACGAGCGATGTGATCTCCTGCTGGTAATGCTTCTTATACTCCACTTGGGACGCTATAAGTGCATCATATGCAATTTTCAACCGTTCATATTCTGCGGTTGAAGAGGCTGACGATTCTTGGAGATTTTCGCATCGAATTTTCAAGTTTTTCGTGGTCAACTGAAGCGATTCATTGTTGGAGCTAAGATCGTTATATTGGCTTTCAAGATCATTGATTCTACGTTCTTTTCGCTTCAAAAGTGCATTGATCATGTCATTTTCATGTTTTGCATTGGCCAACTGGTCGACAAACAGGTCATTTTTCTTGGCCAAAATCGCACATTTTTTCTTGTAGTCTTCAGAAGTCTGTTTGACGTTCTCTAGCTCCGTTTTTAAGTCATCAATTTCGCCGTGAAGTGAATCTATCACTCTGGAGGTTTGCTTATTTTTTACTGGAGACTCATCCATGATTATAGGACAGACTTCTGGTAACTTGTGGTTCTTTGAACGAATGTACTCTACTCAAGGTATCACACCAGTCGACAAGACGGTTAGAAAATAGCTTGTTTGTAGTTGTTCACAAAAGGTAAACAGTGCGACTTGTCCTGTGAGAACAATGTCGTAGACGAGAAGTTGGTGTGCAGGAGATCGAGATCGGAGGACTGTAGATAAGCAGTATGGAAAACCTACAATTGAGTGGAGATGTTAAGTTGAAAGTGTGAAGTGAAATCAAATTGATAACATGTAAGGGCGTCTCATGCCTGGCGTGAATGATGATAGTTGTTGATTCACGTAAGTATTACATTCGTTATTAGAAGTCAGCTCACCAGTTTATTTCATCTACTTTTCCGATACGAAACGTAGATAAGACTTGTGAAAAACTACTTAAAACACCTTCAAGAATATTATTCGAGAAACTAGTTTACAAAATGTCAAGAGACTAGCTTTGAAGAAATTTAAAAAGAAATCATCTGGTATGTGGATGTTATCTCGAGTTGTATAGTTGAGAAGATTCCTGAATCCAATTGGTATCTACCTAGAAGACTTTTCGTTGCGAGTCTTGCCTATGCTTTTACTCACAGATCTGGCACTGAATCTGTAAGCAATTGAGGAGAACCGGATAATTTTTTCATCAATCCTAACGTTCAGTCAGCCATATCCGAGGACTGCCAGTTCTGAACCACCTCTGATAATGGAAGCGAAATCATTGTGTAAAAAGAATACCCGACAGAAAGAACAATTGTAAGTTCTACCTTTTGAATCTGCCTTCCTATAAAAGTATCTCTCTTATTTTTCAACTTTACCTATTTTTGCTTTCTTGCTATATTTGTAAATTTCGCAATCTTCGCATAGCCGCATCTCTTCATATCTACATGAACTCAACACCGCTTAAAAGCTTTGACCATTTAGACTCCGGGGACTTGGTTGCCGAAAGCAAACAGATCATTGACTCTGTAACCACATGGAAGAAGAGTAAGCTATACAATTACGATTTAGTTTCTGGCAAAAAAGTTGCGGTACAAACCTATACGAAGACAATCAATAATGACTATTGGTGTGCTAGAAATTCGTCGTTGGAGGAATTGAAAGACGAGAAGAAACAGGTGTATCAGAACCTTCTCAAGTATATTGTGGGGTCGAGTGTGGATCAGAACAAGACTCATACCGAGTACGAAACCAAGTATGTCGATGAGATTTACGACTATAAACTCGAAACTGTATCTTTGAAAAATTCTGATGAAAATGCAATAACTTACAAAGGTCAGATGTATTACAAGTTCCAGTTTCCTTTACAACGGCGTATATTCCACGAACTTGTGCACATTGTAAAAGCCAAAGATGATTCAGAAGCATATGTCATTACCCTTGCTTTGGATCCTAGTCTCTTCGCCAACAAGGAACCTTCGTTTGTTCCTGCTCGTTACACTTCTATCGAAAAGATAGCATACGACGAAGACACAAACAAGTTGGTATGGTCCATGGCAACTTGCTCTAGTCCTGGCGGATCGGTTCCAGACTGGATGACAAAGATGGGCTTACCCCCAGCAGTAGCCAAAGATGTGCCCCATTTTTTGAACTGGGTAGCTTCAGGCAACGTCTGATGTGGTCAACTTCTCAAGCCACACCTTAATATCGTCGCCGAGATTGTCCAAAAATCCTAATGGTGCATAATCGTATACACCGTTGGTGATCTGTGCCAATAACGACGGAGGAATATCGGGTATGTTCTGTTGCTTTCTCTTTTTCGCTAGTTTGGAATGATTCTTGATGATTATAATATACTTCTCTTGATACTTCAAATAGTAGAGCATCCAATCATTATGCTTGTTGGCACTGAACTTGTGAAAATATTCGGTGGATGCTTGGGTGAAAAAATCACCCTCTCTTCTCGCTAACAAGATGTCTATTAGTTGATTGTGCAAATGGTGCATGACGATTTTGAATTTGGTGCCAATGGATGTGGGCGATATGCTTGGAAGGTACGGTAATGATGACTTGAAGGATCCATTTTCCATGTCGTAGGTGACGAAAAAAAAGTTCGAGTCAACATCTACCGACTGAGCTTTTTGACAAGCTGGATTTATACCGTTAATAGATTGTGGAAGCGAACTGAGGCTATTTCCAAGTGCATTGGTGCCTGTAATAATACTTTCAATGTCTTCCATTGCAAGCTCGAGAACTTCCGAAGACAATTGTTGGTAAAACGAGTCTTTATCGAGCTCAGAAAACGTTGCATCAAACACTAATGTTATGCTCACACCACTTTTACTGCTTTGATATGTCACCAATCGGAATTGTTGGAAACCATCCAGCGTGTCCAAGAAAAGTATCACACTCGAATTGGGGCCCGTCAAGTAAACGTTCTGATCAACCTCATCTTCTTCGTTTTCCTCAGATAAAGTGGATTCGACTTGAGACAGCCCACCCATCCATCGAGGCAACCAACCCTCTTGGCTAAACGTATTTTTCATTCCACTCACAGTGTAATTGACGGGCAGAACAACCAAATTATTGGCTAGATGAATAGGATTCAATAAATCTAGCGCTGCCAGAGTGAGCCCCGCTGCTTCGGTACTGGTTTCCGTTTCTTCTTGTGTGATTTCGGCCGTAGAAAATACCGTTTTATTCGTGATTTTTGACACTTCGCTCATTCGATCGGAATAGTCGAGATCTTCAAGATAGTTGTACAAACAAAGTAATGAATCTCGAGAAATAGTGCTGGATTTCACAGTGTCCATGTATAAGGAGCCATACCTTTTAGGAAGTGAGCGGTCAAAGCAAGATACAAGCACCGCAGAAGGCTCGACTTCTTTTAAGCATACACTCTCACCTAGAAGCCTTACAATTTCCAGAGCTGCTGGTCCGAGTGAGGCAGTTGATCTCTTGAAAACAGGTTTTGAACTGGGCAAAAGTCCTAGGAGCCCTTTGCGGTTCAACGCTTCACAGCCATTTGCATTGTATGACTCGACATAATTGCTCCAAAACTCCCGAAGCGTCAGCTCCAAAACTTCGTTATTATATTCCTTTGCCAAGTTCGACATGGTGGAATTGAGGAGTGTGAAATAGCCATAAGCCTGGGTAATATTGCTGGCAATACGTAGTGTTGTAACCTCCATTTTGTTGGTTTCCTTGTGAGAATCTGGAAATGCAACACAACAAGCAAAATAGTACTCGTTTTCCATCCTTTGAACAATAACTCTCGAATCGAGCGAGTTGAACGACCACGAATTCTGTGGGTTCGTTTCACTTATGGACTGCGAAAGTGACTCGAGCCCTTGGATTAAACCAACTATGTTTGTCTGTAACTCAAGCTTCCACTTGGTTGAGCCATTGGGAGATATACAGCACACAATTTGCTTCGATAACTCTTCAAATGATTCGGAATTTGCACTGACAAGCGAAGGATTGTAAACCAAAAAAAGCTCTATGCGTGGATCTCGAAACTCTACTTTCGTGCCCAGGCTATCGTCTCCTCCCCCATTACCCCTGTCCAGCAGTGGAAGTAACTGGGTGAAGTACTCAGCCATTGGTGTTCATGTTGATATCGAAAACGTCTCAACCCTCGCGGACTGCACACAAACAATATGGGGAAGCTACTTCATGAAGGGTTCATGAAGCACCAGCTCTCCAAAAGTCTGTCCATCCAATGTTCTTGCGAACCGCATTTGAGAAGCCCTCATTATACTTGACCCAGATTCGAGTCAACTCATGCGTTGCTGATTTTGTTGGACCGGTCTCTCTGGGTCTCAGTGACTGGAAGAACTCATCGATTTTTTCCAGTTTCGATCTCTTTTTCTCCGACTCTTTTTGACCATATAGATGTCTCTTCGTTGTGTTTTTCACAATCTTGTCTTTTTCGAGCTGTAACGCAATAAGCGGAAACAGAACTTTCCGTCTCATTTGCTTGGCTGCAAATTTTCCCTGACTATGGTTCTGAAAGTGCACTATTGAATCCCAATCTGGGTTCATTTTAAGTAGTACCTGATTGGAGTCCATGGCCTTATGCGACTCGAGACGAAGATCCAAGTCCTTGACTATTGCTGAAACTTTTTCAAGACAATTGCGTTCTGGAGCTGAAAGAGTCAGCATTGATTTAGATCCAGTGCATATTGGGTCTGCCATTATCATTTTGTCCAAGTAAGGAAGCAACGATCCCGCAAGGGTTTCTTTTCCACCTTTCGATACCCCAAGTGCATTCACAAGAGACGGCGGAAGATTTCCAACAACATGTTCAAGTATTTGTTCGTTAGATTTGAGTGCTTCGTAAGACTCGAAATCGATAGACCGACCGTTGGGAATAAGTTCGTTTGTAGGGTTAAGATTAGGATCAGGACAACTGAATAAAGACCATATTTTCAAGCAAATAAGTGAGGGCATATAATCTGCCTCGAGTCGATGCGAACCTCTTCGATCATAAAGACTCACCCAGTCGCTCAATTCAGCAGGTCCAAATAAGGTATCGCTTTGAAAGTGGATTACGTCCAAGTAACGACTGAAGCATCCTGTCAACACTTTGTCAAATGTGCCGCTGGAGCTCAGAGAGGAGACTCCTCCACCATTTAACAATAAATCGAAAAGTTGTTGAAAGTTTTCCTCTTTGGAAAAGTTGGAGTTACGCTTAAAGAGCAAGTTCACAAGAGCAAACCACGATATGTCCGAGTCCTTATTAGGACCACCTCCTGGTTTTGTTTCCATGATGGGTACGTTAAGCTTCTGGGAGTTGAATTGAATATAGTTCAAGCATGCTCTCATATCTCCTTCACAGATTTCTACTATCTCTCCTATAGCCCTGTAGTCCAAATTGAGATCCTCCTTCTTGGCGATGTGTATCAAATGCTCTTTGAAGTTTTTGAGAGCATTCCCATTGGACTTTTTAGACCCGGACGAGATATTTGGTTTTTTAAATGCCACTGATTCAGAAATCGACCTGAGAACGTCCATGTTATTTCCTTGCCGAGTCAGATAATTGCTGTTAGCTATGCAAATGATGGGCCTCTGCATTAGAAACGGCTTTTTCGATGACTTGTTGGAACGACCATCCAGACGAACTATGTCTGATAGTACCCTGATAATTTCGTTCGAATTGGGACTGGTGTCTATTTCGTCAATTATAATGCACGTAGGCTTACCCTTTCCAACCACCGAATTGCTGGTGAGAGCGTTCGTTATTTTGAGCTTGAGGGAAGCGTAGGCCCCTCTCGAGCCTTTCTTGTCGCTTTCAGCAATCAGCTGGTTTATATCCATACTGTTGGCAGCGTTAATTTCCTGAACGTTGTATTTCATCTGGCGAGCAAATACATGAGCAGCAGCCGTTTTTCCAATTCCAGGCGGGCCATGTATCAACATTATTTTTTTGTGTGGTCTTCCGTACGGATCTTCGAAATCCCTATTGTAAGTGGTTTTGGATTCTGGAGCAGGAATTGGCTCACCAAATACCATGGGGGACCATTTCTTGAGCCATTGCAAAACCATACGATACTGCTTATCGTTGCCCAATGAGCACAAATCCACAAACGATGCTGGTTTATACTTCTCTGTCAAGAGAGGAACATTCTTGCTTTGGGAAGGTTGTTTTGAAGCCTTTATCGAAGATTTTAAAGAATTTCGAAGTTCCACCGTTTTGAAGAGTTTATCCATATCGATGAAATTCTCCATTTCAGAGACGCCCAAACTATCAGTCGACTCGCTGGCCTTGGGAGCTCGTTTTCGGAGCTTTACGACTTTTCCGCTAGCCGAGAAATATTGCTTTTCACCGTTATTAGAAGTGCGAGAGGTGTCATTCGAGCCCGAATCATCACCAGGGAGCTCAAAAGTTGTCCTAAACTGCTCTAACTGAGTCCTATTACTGCCAGAGCCCACCAGATCGTTTTTCTCGGACGAAACATCGCCAAGAATGGCAGATGTGCCAAAGTCTAAACTGGTAAAGTCCATACTATTACTAGACGTGTAGTACTGTACATATGGCCAAAGACGATCTACGTGCTGCATATAGGCTGGCATAGTTACATTATATGGTATCTGAAATTATACTCCAATATCTATCTAATCCATACTGAATGCTCTTGGAGCTTCGCCCTCAGGTCCAATATACTTGGGGTCTCTCCAGGGACCGTAATCATTCAAGTAAAGTTCCTGGTCAGAAACTTGCGACTTACCACCAAATTTGACGGGCAAGTTCTCAGCAGGAATTTGCTTCAAAAGTTCCTTCTGGTAGCTGGCTCCTAATATGTGGATCTTGGACACAGTAACGGGGTCTAAAAATGGCTTGAAAAGCTTGAAAGCAGTCGAAAATCCAAATGGAGCGTTGATCAAGTAAAATTTACCCATTCTTTCAGGATAGTAGTTTTGTCCAATGTAAGAAGCTTCTCTAACGTAGGACAATACTTGCGACGCCGTGGAAATCGATATACCCTTCAAATCCATGATGGTGCACGATGTCTCCACCAAGTATCCGGCCTCTCTCGAACAAGCCGGCAACCGTTTGTTGGCGAAAGATTCGTACTCCCAAACCAAATTACGCAACATTCTTTCCTGAGTGGTAATTTTCAACATCTCCGTCAAGTTCACTCTACCCAATTCTTCAAAGTAAACCGGGCGTCCTTCCTTATCAGTCTTGTGATAATATTGCGGGTACATGCTAGCAACCAAGGGTTTTTCATGGTATTGGAAGTCCTCCAAAATGGTATCAGTTCCATACTTTTTACGCCATTCTTCACACTCCACAAACATCTGCTTCGCCTTCGCAAGATCGAACTTTCTGGCCCGCAAAAAACGCAACAACGAGGCATTATCGAGTCTTTTGGTATACCCGAGTGCCTTCAACTGGTCTCTAAGTTTATCTTTTATCTCCTCCTGTTCAGGAGTGATATTAGAGGTGTACCCGGTTTGCTCAGTAGGCGCACTTATCTGAGGATAGGAAGCCAAAATTTCCTCTTCCGTTGGTTTGTCTGTCATTGTAAGTGCAACGGCAACGATTTGTTGTTGCGATGGAAACACCCACCACGTGTATGCAGGCCCGAGGAACACCGACTAGCGAAATGCAGGACCGACGACGCCGGCTATAAAGTATATTAACTATGTTTTCTTCAAAATCCGCTTGAAGATGTTCTTTTTCTCCGGCTTGTAGGCGCTGGACAAAGACGTATTGCTGGAAGATGTTGCGATATTTGCGACGTCATTTTCAGGAAATCGCAATTTGAGATAGCTGAGGGCTTTGTAGATGAAACTCTTGTAGCTGGACGGCACGAAAACTCCACCTTGTATAAATACAATTGCGTTGCGGTTGATGTCCAAGTAGGTGTGTGACATGATCTCGTTAGTTAGAGCCTCCCACATTTGGCTGTCACCTTGATAATTAGACGGTACCTCTTGGGTTTCCAAGAATTGCTCCAAGTCGTTGATAGTATTGCAAAGAGTGTAGCTTCGCTTTTGCAAGTCTTTCAATGTGATACTGCTGGCAATGAACGAGAAGATATCCTCGTTGCTGCGGCACAACGATTTGATAAAACCTTCCGTTTCGTCGTCGCCAGCAAGATCAAGAAACTCGGATTTTTCAAATTCCAACGATCCAATTTGGTAAACATTCCGCTGACCGTTTAGTTGTATTTCACCAGAACCACCTCCAAGATCATAAGAATCTTTACTTTGTCGGTACGGACTGGGTCCTCGAGGCAGCTGCGAAACCGAAGGTGTGCCCGAGGTTGCAATTGAGCCCGTAACACTATCATGTCCATTGGCAGTGTACTTACCCAAGTCGAGCAACTGTACCAATTCTGTTAGCCGATGATACTTGTCGATCAAGTAAGGGTTGGTAGGAAGCTCCAGCGACGTGGAGGTATCTGAGAGACCGAGGTCGAACCTCTTCATATCATGAGAGAGCTCCAATATCTTCTCGTTGAAGTCATTCTTCCGGCCCGTTATTTTGTCGTAATAGTCAAAAAGATTTTCTTCTTGTCGTTTCAAAAATTCATTCATACGAACCAAATGTGGCTCTTTGTGAGGTGAAAATTCTTGTCGATTGGCCAAATTTAACAACACCTTTGCAAGAAGAGTGAGAGTTCTTTGCGAGTCTCCAGTCTGGTGATCCTTAGTAAGATAGAACAACTTTGGATTGAGAATTGCAGGACAAAAAAACCTCAAGAATATAAACGCACTCAAACAGTTCAAAGCAGTGACTTTATCCTCAGGGTCACATGCCAACTCTACCTTGGTCCTAAAGTTCTTGAGTTGCTTCTTAATCTGTTCTGGTAAGTCTTTACTTGTTTTGCAGATCTTGTCCCATATCTCTTCGCAATATCCTAGCAAGTTTTGAAAGTTGGAATCCACCTGCTTGCGAACCGCATCATCAGTCTCCTTTTCTTCATCGCTATCGTAGTCGTCAGAGTCGTCATAATCCGAACCAGCATCGCCCTTTCTTGCAGCCACAATAGCAGCTCTAACATACCGTGGATCCACTTCACAGTTCTTTTTGTCTGTGGAAATTTTAGAGAAAAAATCACCAAAAACTTTTTCCAAATACTCTTGCCCTATTCGCAAATTGTAGTTCTCTAGCGATTTGGAGAAAATTGATGAGCCACGGAAAAGGGTGTTGAATACGTTGTTTGACGAGCTTTTTGAGCCGGATTTTTTAGCGTAATTCTTACGGGTAGCCATATCAACATTGACAAGTTCCATTTCCATCAATGCTTTGAACCAGTCGTCTTCGACGCCTAGCGTTTGGAAGACATCCAAGAGAAGCATACTTACGCTCTCTATCTCGGATGTGGGTATGGTATCATTGCAGTACTTGATGAGATCTTTCATTGGAGCGTGGGCCAACATATTCTCAAAAGATTTGAAGTGAGTTGGGCTCAATATATGGAACTCTTTAAGATTGGCGGTAAGAACAAGTTTTCCAATCACAATGTTGGACAGGTCGTAAATGGAGAGCCGAACGATGTCGTTGGTAATGCTGTTGAGCGGTGCCTCTGAGGTATCATGGCCACGTATTTTGGTTCCATTTGCATCTTGAATTAATGTAGAATTTGGCCGGCCCTGCTTATTTAATATATCTGGCGTTAAGTAAACCGTTCCCACCAATTCATCGTTGGGACTATACCTTTTGGCCAGAGTACCTTTCTTGATCAATATGTGTACTATCTGAGTCAGTATTGGCAAGTCAGTGGAAAATTCTTCCTTCCAGAATGGATTATTAGCATGTTTCACTGGAGCTGTTCTCGACCACGGGTATCCCCACATGTAAACTTCTGCGTAAATACCTCCCTCGCCTGGTAGATCTTTGTCAAACTTTGCTTCAATGAGGTCGATTTTGAGTTTCTTGGTAACTCGAAAGCTTTCTCTTTTATACTCCAGTAGACTCGTTTTGGTCTTTAGCGTCTCGCTTCCAGTCATAGTACTAGCAAATGACTCATCGATGGTGGTATCTTGGATACCGCTCACATCTTCTTCACTTTGAATGTCGGGCGAGTTGGGTTTCTGATTGGATTTGATTTTGGGGCTAAACGAGCCGATATATTCACGGCGAGCAAAGTAGTTTAATCCAACAAACCAATCTTCTAGATCAATATGGAGTGGAAACTGGATCATCAAGCGGCCGTTATTCGGAGTGGGCTTACCGTCTTTTGTTAAGAATGGAGGAAGTAGTTGGTCTGAGGGAGAAACGGTTTTGATGGTGTTGTTCAACCGAAGCATTCTGAGCTGGCCAAGAAAAAGAGTATTGGAATTGTCGAAGATTGAGTGATGAACTTGGCGGATTTCGGACGAGAAAATGGTGGTCATGTCCACGGAGTAGAGGAGGGTGCCGTCAAGTTCGGTGATAAAGTTGAGAATGCCGTCTGATTTGAGCACACCCATGGCGTAGAACCATCCCTCGCTAACATTGTCCGTGCCTCCATGTTGGTTTTGCAATTGAGCGAGCAGCGAGTCCAGGTGCTCAAACAGACTATTAGGGTTGAACATTGGAGCTTTTGGACCATTGACAATGGTGATATTCTTATTTCTGGATGGAATGGGGCCGTATACTTTACAGCGACACACCAAAACGGATATAGATTGCAGGTGAGATCTACTCTCTTCCACCACCTGTTGCGAACCACTTTCCCAGTACCATTTCTTCACAAGACCCTGGGGTTTCATAAATTGCCAGACCATCAAGGCGGCAATCAAGTTGGTGAAGTATGTCTTGGAAGTGACTTTGATATAAAGTTTTTCGTTGTCAAATGTTTTGATGAAAATCACCGGTGGGTCATCAGCGCTGGTTCCACTGGCTGGAGAAGCAGCTCCCTTCTTGAGACGATGAAGAGTGGGAAGCTGGCTCGTCGTGGAAGCCGACGACATGTTGGGGAACACCTGAACGTGGCACGATTGCAAAGACTGAAGAAGGAGGTAGTGGTTTTCATTTTCCTCCGACGAGAATAACTGGCCCTCGGGAGTAATAAAAAGGGAATACACGTGAATCCACGTCACTGAGTCTGTGGATATGGAAAAATTTCGACCGTGGAAAATCCCCTTGTCTCGTTTTATAATTTTATGGAACACTGTGCTTTTCATGGTTTAAATTGGGTGGTCGTTATTCAATACAGTTGACGAACTAAAGACGCCTTGAAAGAGAGATGGCGTTGAGAATCGGTTGGGAAACGCGTACACAAAGCGGAAACAGACTGGAATTTTTAGTGGAGAGTGGTTGATTTAGAGTTTAATCTTGTTCGTGTTTCCAATGGTGGTGGGGTTATTGTGCAGGAAGTGCCCGCGAGACGAGTAGCGATTGCCGAGCACATACAGGAAACCCCGAGCACGCGGCTGCGCGGCGAGAGGAGAGTGAGAGGAGTTGAGTGAGGAAATGGAGTATGGATTGGGTTTAGAGAGTATTCTGAAAAAAGGAGGTATGAGAATGGAGGTATAATGAAAAAATGGAGAAGAAAGTATTGAAAGAGAGCCACAGAATGAGTATGCTTCAAAAGAAGTAGCTATTAAATAGTTAAATTGTATTGAGTAATTTTTTTGGCGAGGTGCTTAGGCAGATTTTAGTATCGGGTATCTCTACAGTCTACAGTGTCCGCTCACTTTTTAGCGGTTTGGTGCGACTTTCCACTCACTCGCGCTGCCACCTGTTGTGTGCACGACCTCGACTTCTTCATTTGAATTTTCAGTCGCAGCTTAAAAGACATGGACTTTGAAGATGACGACGATAAGCTCCTCCGCGAGTCCACAGAACAGCATAATTCGCTCCAAGAACCGTCTCACGACGAACACCCACTAACTGAACGTATTCCTCATGCTTGTGCCTATTGCGGAATTCACGCCACAAATTGTGTGGTCAAGTGTAACACTTGCAATAAATGGTTTTGCAATTCCAAGTCAGGAGACAAAGGTTCACATATTGTGTCGCACTTGATTCTCTCTCGCCATCGTATAGTCTCGTTGCACGAAGAATCAGACCTTGGGGACACCGTTCTCGAATGTTACAATTGTGGTAACAAAAACGTCTTCATCTTAGGATACGTTAGCGCAAAGCAAGAGTCTGTCGTGGTGATACTATGTCGTCTTCCTTGTGCCCAGCAGAAGGATATCAATTGGGACACAAACCAATGGCAGCCGTTGATTGAAGAAAGGCAATTTTTACCATGGATCGCTGGAAACCCGGAGGAACATGATCAAATCGAAGCAATTCCGATCACCCACGCTCAAATATCAAAGCTTGAAGCTCAGTGGAGGCTCAACCGCGATGCTACGATCGAGGATATTGACCAGAAAGGTGAAGAAGAGGAAGAAGTGCTTCCTATTTTGATGCGCTACAACGATGCATTCCAGTACCAGCGTGCATTTGGTCCACTTTTGCACTTGGAAGCAGAGTATGATAAAGGCATGAAGGAGTCCCAGGCTCTCGAACACATAACCATTCGCTGGGCGATGGGGCTTAACAAGAGACATCTTGCCTCGTTCATTCTTTCCACCTTCGAAACCTCATCTTTAAAGGTGGCTGTGGGCGATGAGATCATTCTCCATTACAACGGCGGTGACCGCGAGCCATGGCAAGGTTCAGGATTTATTGTGAGGTTGCCCAATGCCTATCACAATGAATTTACTCTCGAACTCAACCCACAGAAAAATGCTCCTCCAACTCATCTCACTACTAATTTCACCGCCGAATTTGTATGGAAAGGAACCTCTTACAACCGGATGCAACATGCCCTCAAATCTTTTGCTGTGGACGAAAAGTCTGTTTCTGGCTATATCTACCATCGCATATTAGGACATAATGTCGAACCGGTGGAGTTTTCGTTTAATTTACCGGAAAAGCTATCAATACCAAACTTGACGGCATTGAACGAATCACAGGAAAATGCGGTTAGAACCGTGTTACAGCGACCACTCTCGTTGATTCAAGGTCCTCCAGGAACCGGCAAAACGTTCACATCGGCAACAATAATCTACCATCTTCGAAACATGATCAACAAAAAACCATCAGGAAAGAAATCCTCAAAGAGCAAAAAGAAGCAAACAGCAGAGAAGATTTTGGTTTGTGCACCATCAAATGTGGCTGTAGACCACCTCGCTGAAAAGATTGCAAACCTCGGTGTAAAGGTGATGAGACTTACTGCCAAATCTCGGGAAGATGCAGAGAGTCTGGTATCGCACTTGTCATTGCACAACTTGATAGTTCAAACCAACAAACGTCTTCAGAAACTTCAAGATAAAAAAAATGCCGAGGGAGAGTTACTGGCGAAGGAAGCTGTGGAATTCCACAAGTTGACCAGAAAGGCAGAAAAATCGGTTATGGAAGATTGTGAAGTTATCTGCTCCACATGCGTAGGAGCAGGAGATCATAGATTGGACTCGATGGTTTTCCGAGCCGTATTAATCGATGAAAGCACCCAGGCTTCAGAACCAGAAATCATGATCCCGATAGTGAAGGGTGCGAAGCAGGTTATACTTGTTGGAGATCACCAGCAATTGGGCCCAGTTATTCTTCACAAAAAAGCAGGCGATGCTGGATTGAAACAGTCGCTTTTTGAAAGACTTGTGGTGTTGGGACATGTACCCATTCGTCTTGAAGTGCAATATAGAATGCACCCATGTCTTTCTGAATTTCCATCAAATATGTTCTACGAAGGCTCATTGCAAAACGGAGTTTCAAGCGAAAGCAGAACATTTAAAAACGAAACTTTCCCATGGCCAGTTTTGGATTTCCCTATGATGTTCTGGGCCAATTATGGTCGGGAAGAGATTTCGGCGAGCGGATATTCGTATCTTAATAGAGTCGAGGCGATGAATGTGGAGAAAATCATTACAAGATTGTTCAAGCAAGGCGTAAAAGCCGAGCAGATTGGCGTGGTGACACCCTACGAGGGCCAGCGAGCATATATTCTTCAACATATGCTGTTAACTGGTTCTTTGGTGGATAAAAGAGAGCAGTATTCCGAAGTTGAAGTTGCCAGTGTCGATGCATTTCAAGGTAGGGAGAAAGACTATATTATCTTGAGTTGTGTTAGAGCCAATGAAACCCACGGAATCGGATTTTTAAGTGATTCTCGACGCTTAAATGTTGCACTCACCCGAGCTAAGTATGGGTTGGTCATCGTTGGTAACCCAAGGTGCTTGTCCAAGAACAAGCTCTGGAACCACCTTCTTATTCATTTCAGAGAAAAGGGATGTCTTGTTGAAGGACCATTGGATAACCTTCAACTTTCAATGGTGCAATTGAGACAGACTCCAGCAAGTATAATGCCCATGCAAACGAGAAACTTTATGGACGACGACACCGCCAGTGTGATGTCGTATGTTGCTGCACCAAGACAAGACCACAGCAACGAGGAAGCTCAATGGCCTCGTTTGCGCAAGGAACAAAATGGCAATGATAACGTTTATGGATCAGTTTCGCACCCATTGTCATCCAACCATTATTCCAGAATACAAGATTCGCCGCCAGTGTATGACAACGAGCGAAACTCTACACTTGAGCAAGACTTGAAGAGCTTAACCAATGCTTTTGTTTCTGGTTTTTCTTTTGACTAAAAACACTACATAATATTCCTGTAATATACTATGTCGGATTTTCGCGACACAAACTGCGACAACTACCCCATACTTTTGTAGCAGCATTCAAAGCTATGAAACTGGCTCATAGCACCCACGCCGGTTCGGGCTCTGTTTCCCGGGTTTCCAAACCAGAAACGGTCAAAGGTTTGAGAAAATTGACCTTTCAGCATCGAGAAAGTGTCGTTAATAAAAAATCTGAAACCACTGATAATAATTCTGGTAATAATTCTTTCATTGGAACCAACCTAAAAGCCCAGAAAGTCATTGAGGAGCTCGATGCCTTCAACAGAACGCTCAGCAAAACGAAACTTAATGGGAATGATATTCAATTGATACTTTACTTGATTGTACAAATCAAGCCGTTCAAATACGTAGGAGATCGTTCGGTGAGCCAGACATATAAATGGGAATTGGTGCAACGAAAGTATGTGGAAATTAAGACCAAAGAGTATCAGAGACAAACCAAGGTAGTGGCTCCTACAGTACGGACGTTACAGCGACAATTGGCTTCTGCTATAAAGAGAGCATCAGTAAGAATGAAGAACAAAGAAAATTCAATTGACAATATCACTCAAGTTCTCTGTCAAATCACCCGAGATACAAGTGTCGAGGAGCTAGAAAATGCTACTTTTCAGCTCAATATATTCAGCGAGAACCTCAAAGCAGGAAGAGAGGTTCCTGTGGAATCTTTGGTTTCCAGCGAAGAATTCGAGATTGTTTCAGAACTGGTTTTTAGTCTTCCAAGATTGTCGCTGATGTCCAGTCTGACCTCCCAAGACAAGATAGTACCCACCTTCCACGAAAGTAAGCGACTACTCGAAACTACTCGAAATCAGGTGGAAAGTGCTCTCAAGGCTGAAGACCCAAAGTCACTAAAATCACTACTAAAAACGATAGAAAGACTAACCAGCGAATGCGAGCAAACGAGCTTGACGGAGAACGAAAGAATCATGAAACAAACCCGACTTTTCGTGGAACAAAAATTGGAAGAATGCACAAAAACCATTGAGCTGTCCATGAGAGAATTGGTCGAACAGCAACAGAAAAATAAGGCATTAATGGAAAGAGTAATTGCCCACATAGGTCTGGAGTAATAGGTCTGAGTACTTATTGAGCCTCTTGTCAATTCAGCTTCTGCTCTATTTCTAATTTCTAAGATCCTCCAAGTCGTTGTACTTTAAAAGTTGCAGAACAGAGTCATAGACATCGTCTTCAAGACTGATGAACTTGAATCCCAAAATCTTCTTTGTTTTCGAATTGTCCACAATAAGGTCACTGAGCCCTTCATGGGCCCTTTCAGGTTCACCTACTGCAAGACTGTCACGGAGTTCAGGGAATTTTTCACGTACAATGTTCAAAATCATTTGGAAGGTAAATCGATGCTCGGTCAAAAGCAACCTTTTTCCTTGAATTTCGTCGGTTTGGGCAGCAACTATATGTGCCTTGGCTACATCTCGCACATCAATAAAGCCTCCTTTGAACTCCTTGACGGTATCTCCTGGCTTGAAAGAAAGAACAGACTTGAGCAAATCCGAAGAAAATCCCAACTCACCTTTCACTGTTTCATCGAAAGCCTGAGGACCAAAAACATAGGTAGGGTTAACTACCGAAAGGGTAAACTGGGGCTTCTCTTTCTCCACAAATTCCCACGCAGCCTTCTCAGCAAACGTCTTTGAACCAGCATAGGCAGCCAGCTCATTGCTGAGAGCCTGTTCCCAGGTAATTGGGTTCCAGCTTTCCTCAGTAATAACCGTACCTTTAGGAGGAGTTTCCAACGTATTTCCCACAGCAGCATAGGAAGATGTGAGCCCAACCCTCTTGACGTTGTGACCGTGTTTCTGAATTGCTCTCAACCCATTTTTTGTGCCTTCAATGGCAGGAAGCAAGAAATCCTTCTCGGGGTCCTTTCCTCCAAACAGCACTGGTGATGCGGTATGAAGAAATATCGAAGTCTCTGGATGCTTCTCCAATGCCTCGTCAAATGCATTTGGAGCTGTCAAGTCTGGAACAATCTCAAGATGAAGCTTATCATTGTTGAATAGTTTCAGCAATTTATCGGCCTTTTGTTGCGATCTGACAGTTCCCACGACCGTGAAATTTTCAGCAAGCAATTGCTTCACAATGTGCTGAGCAATGAAGCCGGTGGCTCCAGACACAAAAGCGGTGGTCATAATGATTTGGATTCGAGGGTGGGTAGCTCTATATATACAGTAGACCGCTTATTCAAACTATCGTTGAGTGGCTCCATGGTAAATGCAGGACATTTATTAATTCAAGCTGTCATAAATATGGGATCCCGGTGTACATGCAGGACAAAATGTGGGGCAAGATTTTTCAGGTGTGGTTTTTCAACCAATCGACAATTGCCTCGCCCACCTTATGGGGATCTTCACGATGAAGAAAATGGCCCAAACCTGCCATGGTCTGAACCTTGACATTGGGATTTCCCGCCAACTTGTTTCTTTGAATATCTAGTAACTGGCTCGACATGCACCCGTCAACTTCTCCACCGAGAATCAAAGTGGGAACTTTTTCGAAATCCACCAACCATTTTCTGTCCTGGATATTGAGCACACGGAACAAGCACCGATAGTAGGCAGTAGCAGCATCGAGAACTTCAGGTTGAGCCAAAGTTTCATGAACAGGTCCTATATCATCCTCGGTGAATTTCCAAGTGGGCGACCAGTAACGCCAGAGTTGGTCGAGATAGTCGCCGTGGAACTTGGGTCCGTAAAGAAACCGGTATTGCATGGTGAAAAAGTAACTCGACAAGTAGAGCTGCTGGGGACATTTTACAGCGAGTTCCCATGGTTTGATGTTGGACATGAGAGGAATAGCCAAAGTCACCATCGATGTCAAGAGCTCAGGAAACATGGTGGCGGTTTTGTATGCGGCAATTGCACCCCAATCGTGGCCCACAAGGTGTACAGGAACTCCTTGTAAGTCTCCTAGTTGTTCAATCCAGGCCTTGACGTCCTTGGCAAGATCCGAGGTTCGATAATCCGTGTCTTTTCCTACACTTGAAGGCTCGTACCCACGCAAAGCTGGTGCCAACAAAAGCGCCAGAGGAAATGTCTCGGCAAGAATTGGCCAAACACCGTTATAGGAGGTATTATTATCGGGGAAGCCATGAATCAAGATGATCACTTTCAGCCAAGGACGACTTTGACGTCTTGCGAACACTTGCTGATGTTTGTGGGAGCTGATAGCGGAGAACTCACGCCCGTCGTGATGGAGCTTGATAGAATAAGTCATGATGACGAGATGAAAAATGAAAAACCATGTGAATATGAACTATGGGGTAGCGGCATTGTGCAGGAACCAGTATTAGAACATTGTGCAGAATACTTGGCTAACTGAAAATCAGAATTGAGTCTTCAGGAGCAGTTTCTGGTGCGGCTTCATCGTCCTCCTCCTCCTCATTCATGTTCACCTTCTGGCCCAAAAGCGACGCAAAAAATTCGTCAATCTGGTCGTCGTTCCAGGCCCATCCTCCTCGAGGCGCATCGAAATTTGCAATCGGGTCCTGTACATGATACCGAAGCTTACGGCCCTTAGAGGCTCTAGTATCGACCTGGTTTTTGAGCTTGGCGGATCTCAGAGCAAGAGCAACGTTGAGACCAGATGTTGGGTTAGAAGTTTGTATTTTTTTATCAACCAAATCGTTCAACAAAATTCTGTAGAAATCACCATCGTCGAAAATTTGGTTCATTTCCCCACGAGATCTCGTTTTAGGAACTTCAGAGTCATCATTGGTTTCTGATTCCGGTTCTTCTTCATAGCCTAAAGGCGTGATTTGACTTCGGTTGATTTTCGTACGCTTGATCAATCTTTCTTTGTCCAATAAATGATTTGCAACTTGCTGTTCCGCTGACTGATTGATGGCCTTGAACTTACTGTCATTTAAAGCCCGCGAGCCAGACGAGTTCTGGATCTTATTGGACCACTTGTTCAACACCACTTCTCTGTATTTGGCAAGAATAGCATCTTGCTTGGTAGAAGCTTTGACGTACTCGTCCAATTTGCGTTTCTTGGGATTTTTCACTTTTTCCGTTGATATTTGGTCCTGTTTCACAAGCTTGGTCCGGAGAGTGAGAATGCTATCGAGGAGACTGTAACAAGCATTTTCTGCCATTTTATACTTGGAAGACGAATACTCAAATTCAGGAAGGTTTTTGCTGGGAAGAGTGTTCGAGTTTGTCAATGATTTCTGGATTTTCATGCGTACTTCGATGATGGAATCAAAGAGCCTTTGCTGTTTATCAATCGAGTAGCCTTTAAGAGCGTCAGAAGTGGTCGATTGAGACAATCTTTGGATGACATGCTTACGCTCGGTGGCTAGAAGTGCAGCAATATTGGCAGAATCGCGTCCAGAATTCTGGTTGGTTTCTGATCCAGTATCCTCCAGATCCTCTTCACTTTCACTAGCCTCCAGCTCGTTCTCACTACCATTTTCACTTTCACTACCATTTTCCTCTTCAATGCCATCAATTTCGTTTTCGATTTCTTCACTATCGTCTTCATTTTCCTCTTCATTTTCCTCTTCACTATCCTCTTCACTTTCCTCCTCACTATCGCTGTTTTCCAACTGCTCCCGAGACACTACACTTCCCTTATACTTTCCGTTCATAGGAGCTGCATTTCTGAGTTTAGACCGCGCAGTAGGAACGTAATGCTCACGAGCCTCCTGGACATCTTCCGACTCTGAACCTGAACCAGAGTCAGATCCGAACTCGTGGAACTCGTTGTTTTCAATGTCAAAGTCCTCTGGGGCGTCTAGGTCCCCCAACTTCTCTCCTAACGTCCTAGCCATGTCGATGAGATGAGATGAGATGAGATTCGTGAATTTTCGCGGTGCGAAATATATGCGAAAATGAGAAAGACAAGATGGGGTAAAGAAATAAGAGAGTTGGCTCGAACTATAGGTGGCGATCACAAATATGTTGAAGTCGAGTAGGTATAAAGCAAATTTGGCCGTTTGAGTCAACCAGCTGAAATTGTTTGTGCCTGCATATAAACGTACAAACACAAACATTTTGCAGCTTATAACCACCCAGAACCAACTCCAATACCACCCAAATCCAAAGGATCACGCTAGCGCCAATTTTAGGAGATTCTGGCCCACCAACTATTCCCTTACCAACTCTTTGTTCTCACTTGTGTTCGCAACCCACCCGTGCACCATGGCTGTGTTGCGCGATATCAACATTTCTCTTTCTACAATCCACCATCATGTATTTCCATCGCTTTCTAGCCATTTTGACGCTCGTTTCCACCATATACGCTCTCGCAGACCAGAATAATGGACAGAACGACCAGGGTAAAACGCTTACAAAGACGACTGTTTGGGTGACCAAAACAGCAAATGGAAAACTCACAACACTGCCGCTGGTTTACCAGCAATCTTTTAAAACAACCTACACAGAAGCCGGTAATAGTGATGTCAAGTCGGGCGGCGTAGGACTAGGCTCCCAGACCGGAAATGTTGGCGAAGTCCGTAGCTATGAGCGCACCACTATTCTGAATACCAACGCGGGTAACGAAATAACACCTAATATTTACTCAGGATTTGCTGGAGCATTGTTGGCGTTGGTGGCTGCGGTTGTATAGTCTTACTGGTTGAGACTAGTAGTTTTGGTGGAGAAATATCAGCCATTGGTAGTATGTAGAGTATGAAATATACACGGGGCCCGCGCGGAACGCGTGCCTGGATTTACCCAGCCCTCCGCACCGAATTTTTTCTCATTTGTGCTCAAGTCACCAATGTCGGAAGAATTAAGTAAACAGACAGAATCGTTGTCGTTGGACAAGGAAACCGTATTGACTAACAAGTCGGAGTTCACCGCCAAGCACCCCTTGAACAACAAGTGGACTTTATGGTACACAAAGCCCCAGGTCAACAAAAGTGAAAACTGGCACGATTTGTTGAAACCCGTCATCACATTTTCGTCCGTAGAAGAGTTCTGGGGCATCTATAATTCGATTCCTCCAGCTAACCAGCTCCCCTTGAAGTCCGATTACCATTTGTTTAAGGAGGGAATCAAGCCTGAATGGGAAGATGAACAAAATGCCAAAGGAGGAAAATGGCAATATTCATTTTCTAACAAGATTGGACCAGCTATCAATGATTTGTGGTTGCGTGGATTATTGTCGGTGATTGGTGAGACCATTGAAGATGAAGAAGACGAAGTAAATGGAATTGTTTTGAACGTAAGAAGACAAGCAATCAGAATTGGAGTGTGGACCAAAGACTGTGACAATGCCAAGTTACGAACGGTTGGCGAGCGGTTGAAGAAGGTTTTGAAGTTGTCAGACGACCAGAAGATCGATTTCATGTCGCACGACGATTCTGGAAAGAAGGGGGCCGAGCCTCAGTTAGTGTTGTAGATGCAATAAAGAGTAGGACGATGCGGTGTAGACAAAGAAAGAGACAAGAGATTGAAAAGGAAAAAGAGGACAAAAACAAGAAGAACTGAAATGTATGAGGAGGATTTATAAATTACTAAGAGTGAAACTTGGACTGCCTTGGTATACTTTGATCACACGACATTAACTTCTCAATAACTTTTCTCATCTTTTCGGCCATTACAACCTTTACACTTTAGTCATTTACTACAGTTTTCATTACTTTCCTTCCATTAACACACTGTTTCATTACTTCCATTCAACAAACTGTTTCGTTACTTTCCATTCATTTAGTAAATTTCATTTGTCCTCTTCTTCTTTCATTTAACCCTCTCCTTCTTTCATTTAACCCTCTCCTTCTTTCATTTAATCCTCTTCCTTTATTCCCAGCCTCTCCATTTTTATCCTATGCGCTCCAAAAACTCCTCAATGTGGTCCCAGTATCCCGCCTGAATCACAGTGTCGTTATGCAGCGAATCAAACTTGTACATCAGTTTGTTATCACTTCTTAGTAAAGAGAAAATCCGGTCCATATGAGGCGGGGGGACGATTTCGTCGTTGCGGGCACTAAGCAAGAGCGCTGGGACTGATGCGGGAATCTTGGGCACTAGCTTTTCCAGGTCCCATTTCTGGTGAACAAAGTTGGCGAATATCTTGAGAAAGGGAAAAATATGAGGCACAGTTTTTCGGATAGACAAGAATGTGTTTTCCAAAATCATCCCAGAGATATAGTAGCCGTAGCGGGATGCAATATAGATGGCCACAGCACCACCAAGCGAACGTCCGTAGAGAACGATATGCGACGAACTGTACTGAGAATCACTACGCAAATAATCCACCACTCTATCGGCGTCTAGTTTGAGACCCACTTCCGACGGCTTTCCAGTAGACTTGCCGTAGCCTCGGTAAGAGTAAATGAACACATTGCAGTTCAAATTTTTGTAGAACATGGCTACAAGTGGAAGCGCATGGCCAATATTTCCAGCATTTGGCGAGAGCATCACCACGGTTTTGTTTGTGTAGTCACGCTGGTTGCGGTCATGTTTGAGCAGATAACAGTGAAGAGTTTCGCCATCTTTGGTTTTCAAATGAAGTGTTTCAAAATCCATATCGTATTCATCTGGAGTAGCACAATGTCCATGGCCATCATTGAGAGATGCTGGGTAGATGAGACTGCTCTGGTAGGTGTAGAGACCATAGAGCACCAACGCACCAACCGCCAAACCCACCTGGGCCATAGTTTTAAAGACGGTGGTGATTCTCACGATTAGTTTCATCAACAAAACTTTCGCGCGAAATTTGACTGTGAATTTGGTTATGCTTCGCTACCACTGCGAGCGGGAAACCCTGTGTCTTTCCCAACTCAATTTTGGTGTCCAGGGGGGAAACCACCATGTTGTACTAGGCGGCAAGAACACCCTTAAACTTCTTGTGTTGTCTCAAGACCAGCGCCAGATACTAAGAGATATCAACTTATTGGACTCTCGGTCCAAGCTTAACAACATAAATACCATAAAAACAAACGAAAACAAAATTGCTTGTGGACTCACCTCGGGCAGTATAGCCCTCTACGGTACCAGAAACAACGGCAAAACGTATCCTTTACAACGACTAAATGATCATAAAAGATGTATCAACAGCCTTGATTTCCCAGATACAAACCTGTTGATCTCGGGTTCTCAAGACGGTACCATAAAACTCTGGGATCTCCGTCTGCCTGCTGGTCATGCTTCGGTCACCCTTGTTTCCGGTCCTCATGCCGATCCCGTACGTGCTTGCCAACATTCACCACATGCTCCAGCTCGCAATAAATTGACAATTCTTTCGGTTCACGATTCAGGAACTCTCCACAAATATGACCTCAGAATGTCCAACCAGCCGTGTCGCCGCTGGAACTTCCACACGGGACCAGCACTCTCGCTTAGCATCCACCCAACTGCCGAATATGTGCTCACAGGAAGTCGAGATCACAAGATTTGTGTTTGCAGTTACAACGAAACTTCCACCATGCCTGAAGTCACCGTGAATACTTTTGGACCAGTGATGAAGGTGCGGTGGAGCCCTTATGAATCGGACGCCGATTTTAACACCCCAGACCTCTACCGCTATGATTTTGCATGCTCCTACCTTAACGAGGTACCCACTATTGCCGTATACAATCTCCGCCGAAAATTTATTGCAAGAGAACTCGTTTCTACATCTTCCGATCGTCCGTTCCAAAACTTTTTGTGGGCGCAAAACCCAGAAGGACGCCGTAAACTTTGGACCATTACAAAGTCCAACTTGTTCATGGCCCATGACCTCGACGACTCTGCCAATGTTTCCAAGCCTTTAGAGCAAATGCCGTCCACGGCTGTATCGTTGTCAGCCAACAATCTCTCGTTTGTATCCAATTCCAAGCTGGATTTCGAGGCTCCAGACGTCCACACATCACCTTCAGTCCATCCCGTCACCCTTCCTATCCACGATAACCACTCGGTTGTTGCTGAAAATTACCTTTATAATGTTCCAGACGGTTTTGACATCCCCACCGTTTGCGAGTTCAATTCCAACGTTGCACAGAATGCCGGTCGTCTTCGAGACGCTCACACTTGGCGCATCATTGGTGCTGGGTTTGGCATCGAAACCTCGTATGTGGAACCCGAGCCCGTGGACCCGGTAGCAGACGAGTCGCAGTCTTCAGAATCAGAATTGAACTTTGGTAATTCTTCGCTGACACTGACTACTCATTATGGAGGTCTGCTGGGTCGCAGCCGCAGTGATCTTGGAATCCTGAAAAGCACGTCGCTGAGCAATCTTATCGACCTTATAAAACAGCATCGAAACAGTTCGATGTCGCTCTCTGAAAGTCCGGCAAAACGAGAAAGTTTCACCAAAAATATCCGCCCACTTTCTGAGAGCTTTGCATCGGAAACAACCGACCCCCCGTCACTCCGAAAGCAGTCGTCAATGCCGCTCATCGCAAACGACCCAGATACAAAATTACCACTCCGCCGAGCGTCTTCGGTGAGACCGCTTTCCACCGTTGAAGAATCGCAGCTTTCCAAAGTGCTCTCCAATCTTCCGTTGCAAAATCGCCTGGAACCATGGCAATCAAAACTGCTTGTTACGGCGGCACTAGACTACTCGACATCCCAGGGAGATCTCGTGCTTGCGTGTGCGTTAACCCTTTTATTCTACGACCGCTACAAATACCTGAAAGGGTTCGAGCCGTGGGCTTGTAAAGAACGCATCGCTCAGTACATCGACGTTCTTCACCAGTGGAGGCTCTTTTCCGTGGCCCTGGCGGTGATCAATCTGGTGCCTAAAGACTTGGAGGAACTAAGAGCTTTGAAGGAAGTGGACCTCAGATTTTTCTGTTGTTTCTGTGACAAAGTCATACTCAATGAAAATAAGAACAAACACGATTTTGGATACTGGTACTGTGACCTGTGCTCAAGGCAACAACCAAACTGCGTTTATTGTCACGAGCCGTGTCATGGCTTAAATGTGGTTCGAAGTCTCAAATGCGGCCATCGGGGCCACTTTGGCTGCTTGAAACAATGGTTCGTGGAAGAGGGAAATAGCGAGTGTCCCGGTGGATGTGTCATGCAATTGGAGTAGTTTTGAAAAAATTCATATCAAATCAATATCTCCCAGTTGGATGTACCGCTCAATCAAGCTGTAGCGAACAACGTAGATTCCACCCGCTACCAATTCAAAATCTTCTTCCAGCGTGGAAACAGTTAGATCTCGTCCTCCTATGCGTACAAACACAAGCTCATTAGTATCTGGGGCCGTAATCATTGACTGTCCTCCACTGGTATCATCCAACAAGGTGAGAAACTCGGGCATTTTTTTCAAAAAACTATTATTGTAAAGTTTCGTCAAAATCTTGAAATGGCTCCGCAAGTACTCGAGCTCGGCCTGGGATAGTATTTTGTTGTCGGCATCCAGAGTCAAATTGATGTAATACAAATTATAATCGTCGAGTTTGGCGAGTCGAGCTCGAAGATATACTCGTACAAGAAAGTTGAGTCTTTCGATATCTGTCTCGATTATCATTAGTTGGAGCTTGAAGTCACCGCTTACAAGCCCCAGGTCGGCATTGGAGTCGCCGTACTCGTGGCAATCCAATAAATATTGTTGTTGGTTCTCGATCTGAGTCAAAGTTTCTTGCATTAATTCATGTTCATATGGTAAGATTTCCGGAGCCATTCTTTCATTAAGCATTGCCTGGGTGAGACGGGCACTTATATTGGCCTTGGCGGGCTTGGCACTGCTAGCCTCAAAGTCTCGAAGAATATCATCAACCTCCATACTAAAGAAGATGAAGAAGCGCGCGCGCTTGTCTTTTTCAGTATGGACAGGCACCAATTATTGGAGCAAAAAAGACAGCGACTTGAAGAGCTACGGAGTCGGAAAAAAGCTGAAAATGACCACAAGCCTGCGAAAAACGATTTTGCTATCCAAAAAGACTGGGAAGTGCCTCCAGTGGTCACTTTAAAGGAGCGTATAACCATCGATAAGGCTGTACAAATCGGACCAGAAAATGAAAAGAAAGAAGAAAGTGAGAAAAAAGATGAAGAACAAGGTGAAGAGATAAAACTGGACGTTTCTGGGAACATTAATGTTGGACCTTCTCCCCTCCATGACTGGACCATAATCAATGCCACACTCCGAGACGCCATTCGTGATCTTGGCAAACTATCCATCCCCCAGCCTCCTCGAGACTACATCAGTACTCCAAAAACAATGTCAACTCCTACAAATAAACTTCAAAAATTGTCAACTTCTTTTCATGGAACCCCAACTGCGATGGCTAAATCCTCCATAAATGGCCTTCTAGCTGTTGCTTACTCTTGCAAGGCAGTCGTTTACAGCATAGAGCCTCAATTGTTTCCTGAGTATTACTTGGAAAGCGTGTCGCCAATAACCGCTATACTATTTGATTCTGAATCTCCGTCTCGAATAATAGGTGGTTTGAAATCCGGTTCTGTCGTTGTATGGGATTTGAATAACCAAATATCAAAAACGGTGTCATATCTACCATCTATACGATCTCCAATGTTCCCAATTGCTCCCAGCATCAAACATAAGCATACTTTTTTGCATCACAAGTCAGCTATATGCGGTCTCGTTCACCGCCATGGCTCTGAATTTGCCTCGATTTCTCACGACGGGGTGGTCAATGCATGGTCGAGTCATATATTGGCGGCTCCACACCGAGATTCAATTCAACTAAATAACCCTGTTCAAAAAGTGTTTCCTCGAAATGGCCTAAAATCGTCTGATGCTTTCATCAACGACTGGGTGATTTTACATGAAAATGGAACTGTAATTCTCAACGATACCAAGTTCCAAGACTCCAGCTCGTGTCGAATGACTGACGCTTTCATTTCCAATAACTTATTTATCGCATCTGGTCTCGATTGGACCATCCATATATGGCATTTAAACCTGGGAAAAATCTTCAAGGTGGTCAATTCAGATATTTTAATCTACTCCATGAGTCAGAGACCGGAATACCAGCACCAATTCATAGCCATTGGAGTTTCAATTACAGGTGAGATTATTCTTCAACTATGGGACCTAGACGAGTCCAAACCAATACTTCAAATGTTGGTCGATAAAGACGAAGATTTGCCCCGGTTACCCACTTTTCAAACGTCAGAATTGCAGGTTCTCTTCATGACCGAAAAGGATATAGTTGTGGGAAGTAAGAACTTGTGTCTATGGCGTTTATATAATGTCTAATTTACAAAAACTTGGTGTATATGCTCTCTTTCTTGGTGATTGTCAAGTCTGAGTTGACAGAAATGCAGTTGTTAGTAGCAAGCACCAAAACCTCAAAGAAACATTTACTCGCTTCTCGGCGCTTGTTGATCTTATTTTCTTCCTTCATTCCAAGTGGTTTTTGAGATTTCATATCCTCATGGACAACATCGGAAAACTCTACAGTGTCCTTTTCATCAAATTTTTCTCTCAAAAGATTTGCAATTTGCATCGACGATTGGGCATTGCTAGATATGGGTTCTTGTGGGAACTCTATCTCAGGAAGCGATAAGTCCAAGTCCAAATTACCAAACTCAAAGTTAGGCTCCTCCTCTTCCTGCTGCTCTTTATGCTGTTCCTCTTGCATGGCAAGCTCCTCGCAAACCTCTTGCAATTGAGAGTCAAGAGCAAAACGCCGGCGCTTATTCGTAGAGAGCTCTTGAATTAAGTTAAGCTTGTCCTGCTCCGATAAATGGAAGTCGAAAGAGTGGACGGTGAGGTCACGTAATCGGAGCTGCAGCAACCGCTTCAATTCATGTATCGAGATTCCTCGTTCCAATTCTTGTGGAGAATCGATGACTAGTTTCCTCTTGAGCTTTCTTTGGTTCTTTGGAGCACGTTGGACTGGAGTTTTAGGAGGCGGTACCTCTTCATGAATCGATTCTGCGTCCAAAGTCTGTAAAGGTTCACCTATATCAAAGTTGAGGTCATCGTGCAAGTCCATGAGCGACATATCTCCTGCCGCATTGACGCCAGGCGCGTTTCTACCCATTTCGATCGACTGATCCAAATTAAAATCCAATTCCAAATCGACATCGTTATTATCGGGTTCATGAATGTCTGCATTTCTTCCATATTCTATAGATGTGTCCATTGTATCATCGGGTAATGCCAGATTGAGGTTGCGGAAGAGAGTTGTGGGCACTTCGTCATCGAGTCGTAAGTCTTCTTGGTACAACAAGTTGAGGTCAGTAACCTGATCCTGAAGCGTTATGGACGAGATGTTGGTGATAACTTGGTTTTGTGGAGCTGCCGTGACTTGAATCGCATCGGAAGACACGCCGGTGGCGTAACGGAACGAATTTTTGAGTTTAAACAAGATATCATTGACATCATCAAGCAAGTATTTCGTCTTTCTGGAGTAGATACGCACAATTCCAAGCAATAATTGGCCAGATAAACGAAGGTTGATGGTCCCTGGGGTTTCATTGTGTGTTATTAATGACGAAGAATGGACAATATTTGCAGATAAAAGTTGGTGTTTTGTGAGTTTTTTATCGTAGTTTGCTGCCAACCATACGGGAGCCAATGGGCTCTGGCGAGAAACAATGTCAGTCATGAGTGCTTTAGTCTAAGTTTCCACACGAAATTTGGTAAAAATTTGGAAAATAGTTGCGGTTTAGCTGGGTTCTAAAGACTCTTTGTACAAACCGCGTCGCGTAAACATTGATGGTGTTGTTCCTGCATGCACTCTAGGTGCTTCTAGTCAAAAGTGCGACATCGGTGCACCTGCTTCTCCACTCTTTCTGATGAACTTGGAGGAAAAGCTACGCCTGTCTCTCGACGATGTTCTCTGTACTTCTGGATACATATTTGAGATCATAGGCAACAACAGAAAGCAGAGCAATCTTTTGACTGGAACAAACAATCTGTTAATTACTCCTGCTGTTACAAACTCACTTGCTCGGAGTCTAGCCAAATTCGATGAGGTTCTAGATGATACCATATCCAAGTTCAATGACACTCGATGGTGTGTGGAGCAGATAGTGGAGAATAAGCAGCGGCAGAAGGAACAAAAAGCGAGAGAAGAAGAGGAGCGGAAACGACTAGATGATGAAAAACGGAAGGAAGACGAACGGAAACAAGAAGAAAAAGTGAAGCAAGAGAAACAACGCCAAGAAGATGAACGTAGGCTGCGTGAGAGCCAGATTGAAGTTGGGGGAGGTCGGAATGTCGGCGGCACGGAAAGCCAGGGTGTTTCACCGGTGTTTGATTTCAACTTTAATGAGCTTCCAGAAGAACCAAGTAATGAAAACAAAGCGCAAGATATTCCCGACCCGGCAGACATTCTTCAGAGTATACAGTACGGCGAAGGGCAGAAGAAGGACGCTATGGATCTCGACATGAATAATATATTGGGTAATGACGAGCTGCTACTTGGTGGCTTGAATATGGACTTTTTGGACCCGGGACTTGACCAGCCCCAGCAAGATGCAAATGATGATGACTTTGACGTCGACAGTTTCTTGAACCAGTTTGCGGGCGGAGCATAGAAATCGGAAACCATTTCACAGCCATTTGCATCGGTATGTATTTCGTCACGTGACCTATCCCATTTACTAGTCCATTTCACAAATGATGGTCACCACCTCACATTCAGCCCACTCCTACTCTCATCACCCCATACCATCCACACCAGCCTTATAATCTCCACTCGATCTCACGCCATACTAGTCTTTCATCACGTTGTGTGTACTGCACACAGCCTATCCAATCACAGTGTGCGCGCACACGGAAACCGGAATTTTCATTTCGACAATCATCACCATGTTCAGACAATCCATTCGTCAAGTGGCCAGACAGTCGTCCAACATTGTCAGAAGAGGCTATGCCACCGAGACTACTACTGGCTCGGATGCCTTGAAGTTGTCGTTGGCTTTGCCTCATCAAACTTTGTATTCGGAGTCAGAAGTGCAACAGGTGAATCTTCCATCCATCAATGGAGATTTGGGTATTTTGGCTAACCATATTCCAATTGTGGAGCAGTTGAGACCAGGATTGTTGGAGATCATTTCCAAGGGTGGAGAGACAGAACAATACTTTGTTAGTGGAGGTATTGCTACTGTGCAACCTGGTAACAAATTGACCATCAGTGCTATTGAGGCATTCAAGCCCGATCAATTCGATGCTCTGGCTGTCAAGCAATTGATTGCCGACGCCCAGAAGAGAGCTGGATCATCAGACGAAGTGGTTGTTGCCGAAGCTAACATTGAGCTTGAAGTGTTGGAGGCATTGCAGGGTGTAGCAAAGTAGCATAATGAACAGATAAGTGGATGCTGTAGGAAAGGATACTGAAGACAAAGTAAGAGCAGAATCAGCAGTTGCAATACTCTGTAACTGCTGTAGAGTCAGCAGTGCAATGGGAACTCTGTACTTGCCGTAGTAATAGCTGTAGGAACTCTGTTCATGTCTTGTAATTTTACTTCAAGCAACAAGTTCTTTAATTTCAATTCTTTGTTACCATTCCTCTATACCTCTTCCCGCCTCTCCTCCACCTCTTCCTCCACAGGTTCTCTCGGAACCTTAATCGGGCCCGGCTCCATCTCCATATTCGGAAGAATAACCGGATTTTTTCAGTGCGATTGTGGGGCAATTGCGGTATATAAAGTGGGGGTTCTTCATCCAACTTTCTTCACCATTATGACTCCCAACCCATCTTTAGTGCTCAACAAGGTCAATGACATTACCTTCGAGACCCTCGAAGCTCCTACGCTTCTGGAACCCAATGAGGTGATGGTCGAGGTGAAAAAAACCGGTATTTGTGGAAGTGATATCCACTACTATTCCCATGGAAAAATCGGCGATTTTGTTCTTACCCAGCCAATGGTTTTGGGTCACGAGTCCGCAGGTGTGGTTACGGCGGTGGGCCTGAACGTGAAGTCGTTGAAGGTTGGAGATAGGGTGGCTATTGAGCCCGGAGTGCCTTCGCGGTTTTCCGAAGAGTACAAAAGTGGGCACTATCAATTGTGTCCCAACATTGTATTTGCGGCAACTCCAGACCCCAAGCACGGGTCTCCTAGTCCTCCTGGTACCCTCTGTAAGTATTACAAGTCGCCAGAAGATTTTCTTGTGAAACTTCCAGACTGCGTTTCCTTGGAGTTGGGTGCGATGGTTGAACCACTTAGTGTCGGTGTCCATGGGTGTAAACAGGCCAAAGTCACGTTTGGCGACGTGGTAGTGGTCTTTGGAGGAGGTCCGGTTGGTCTTTTGGCGGCAGCAGCTGCAACCAAGTTTGGTGCTGCCAAAGTCATGGTGGTCGACGTCATTGACGACAAGTTAAAAATGGCTTTGGAAGTTGGTGTGGCCACCCATACGTTCAATTCCAAGTCTGGAGGTGCTGACGAGCTTGTCAAGGAGCTTGGCGAACACCCAGATGTTGTAATTGAGTGTACCGGTGCTGAAGTGTGTATCAATTTGGGCATTGAGAGCTTGAAAATGGGTGGTCGTTTTGCTCAAGTAGGCAATGCCACTCGTCCCGTGAGCTTCCCAATCGTTGCATTTTCGTCGCGTGAGTTGACTTTGTACGGCTCGTTCCGTTACGGATACAATGACTACAAAACCAGTGTTGCAATCTTGGAACACAACTACCGTAATGGTCGTGAAAACGCAGCCATAGACTTTGAAAAGTTGATCACCCATCGATTCAAGTTTGAGGATGCAAAGAAGGCATACGACTACATTCGTGACGGAAACGTGGCAGTAAAAGTTATTATAGATGGTCCCGAGTAAGTAGTATAAGATGTTTTCGCACCCATTTTCTTCAGGCTGCTGAATTTTTTTTCCTGCACGTGGACCACTGAAAAATCTCAACTCGATTTTTGGTTCACTTCACCATCATGTCGAAGGACGCTTTCAAGCATCTTCCCCAGAAGTTGCACAACTTTTTCGTCCGGTATCCGCCCCGGCCATTTGCACAGTATTCCTCCAGCCCCTCAACGTTGGATAAACCTGAAATGAACCCTTTTTTACCAAATAAAAATGCACAAACCGGAAGATGGCACGGACCAAAATACTCTTTGAGGCGATCGGCAGACTTGTACAAGATGGCATACAAGTTCGGTATAGCAGACTTGCTTCCTCCTATTCCCCACAAGCGATTCTACGCCGATAAATACGAAAACAAGAACTGGATGAGAGGAGTGCTCTTCCAGAAGAAGCATAAATGGGAAAGACAGTTGCCTGAAAAACTTGCCCAGCGGGCTGAGGCCATTGAGAAAATGGACGATATTATTGTTGAGGCAAGACCTACGTATAAGAAGCAGTTGAAGAAGAGGGAACAGAAGAAGAGAACCTGGTGGTGATGTAAATAGAAGAAAATGTAGAACAATAGTTTACTACAGAATGGAAATAACCCAATTATAAGCTCCTATTACGCTTATCGTGATATCATAGATTTCTGATACCCATCTCGTTACTGTAAAGTATATTCGTTAGTTTTCAACGTCTCCTCTGCTATACCTGAAAAATTTAGTATTACCTCTACCACTCACCTTCTCCTTACGTTACCTCTTCACTTTACCACTTTTCTTCCTCATCTCTTTGCTTTTTCATCTCTTCTCAATTCTTACAAATTGCGTCTTCTTCCCCTCGTTGCCGCTTTGAATGGCCTCCTGGGCTCAGCCTCTATATCTTTATTTCCTGGTCCAGCACCCTGTCCCTTGATCTTAACCTGACTCTTGCTCAAAACGCTTTCTATATTCAAGTCATCTGGCAAGATAATTTGTCGTATTTGGTTTCCTCTAATATTCATGAATTGAAGAAGCTGAGGATCCTGGTGTGGTTGTACAAGCTTGATGTTCTTCAAGGAAAGGTTCATGGACGGTGTGCAAGACAAGAGAGTGCCACTAACACTGGTGCCATTTTTAAGCTCGACGGTGATGGGCTGACCCGTTGAAGAGGGCATGTTCATCAAAAAACGAACCAACTTCATTGTTTGTAGAGTGGATAAAGATGGATTATGGTTTGTAGCTGAGTAGATCTTGTTGTTTGGAGTCCTTTGAGTGGTGGTTTGCGATGGTTTTTGCTTGGCTTTAGGGTGATTGCTCGGCTTCTTTCTTGGCTCAGTTTCGCGATAATTTTCAATTTTCAGTCAAATTTCTGAACTTTAATAAAGTGCGAACTCGAAACACTCACATCTTACCCCTTCAATTCTTCTCACATTATGGCATACTCCATTGCTGACAATGTTCGAAACATACCTCCTGTGACCCGTTTCTTCACCATAAGCTCAATCCTTTGCTGTTTTGTCATCGCGTTGGGAAGAGGCAGTGGCGTGTTCGTTTTGAACAACTCGATCATTTTTGCCATCTTGGCCAATCTTCGCATAGCCATTCATTCCCATAAACTCACATACATTGTGGCAGCGGTGGCACAGACCATCTTCCAATGTTACAGGTTTTTGACCACTTTTTTGACCCCATCTGGAATGTTCACTGATAGTCCATATCTGGCCCTTTTGGACATATACGGGTTCTACACATTTGCATGCGATTTAGAGTCATCTCTGGGTAAGTTTAAGGGCAATTTCCCTGATTGCTTGTGGTTTACATTGATCACAGGAACCATGATTGTCATCAGCACTTTCACATTTGAACTATTCTATCCTGCTCACCATTCGTTCCATCACCTGATGATGCTTTCTTGTGTCACCTACTTGTGGTCACGGTACCTGAAGAACGCAACCATCAACTTCATGGGCCTTGTACCCATCAAAGGCTACTTTTTACCGCTTTTCAACTTGTTTCTCAAGCTCCTTTTTGAAGGTGGAGGAGCCGTTGTTAACTCCATCATCGGCATTTTGGGTGGCTATTTGTACCAGTGCATCCAGTCAGATACGTTGCCACTATACAACCTCTTGCCTGGCGCTTATTCGAAATTTGTCACTGGAAACCGTGGAGGTCATAGAGTAGGAATGAGTGAACAAGCTCATATTCAAAGTACAGGAGGATACCAATCAGACTACATAGAAGATTCTGTCTACGATAAGGGTTACCTCAAGGCTCCACTTTGGCTTTACAAACTACTCAAATACCCTTCCAACAATACCAAGTCGTGGACAGCATTTACCGGTCCAAAGAACCCATCCTCAATAGCGGTTCCCGCAACCACAGGTTCAAGAAGTAGCGGAATGTTTTCCTCCGACGGCCCTGCATTCCGAGGCAAGGGCTACCGCTTGGGAGACTGAAGAATCAAAAATCTAAAGAATCAAAGAATCTAAAGAATCTTGCACATATGTTAAGGGCTATTTTAATGGCCTAACGGCTACGGCCCAATGTCATGTCCTGCATAATACATAGCCATCTATCCGTAGATTATAATTAGTTCACGGTATTGTTTATTACAAGTTCCCATGCCCGACGACACCGAGCCAGCACCGGAAGACGTGCGAGAGTCGCGCCAGGGCAGTTCCGTTCAATCTCCCTCGGTGCGCTCGGGTTCCAATACAAGGTTGAAAAAACTTCGTTCTAGACCCCATCTTCGGAAGCGTCAATCGCTTCAGTCCAGTAAAAAATTGGTGTTTTCTGTTGACGATGCCATCAATGATGCGGTGGAAGAGGACACCGATACACTCACGAAGGCTGACCGTGAGTACTTGGAGGGTTATAGTGATGCCTTGAGGTCGTTTTATATCAAAAAACGTGGTGGTCAACAACAGCATTCAGGCTACTTTCCGCCGGTTTCGGAAAGCCATGGCGACGATGAAGCTACTAATATGTCGCTGCCTGAGGCTGGTCGTCAAGAGAGATCTCCAGAGGCTGCTCAAACCGAGATTCTTAACAAGTTGAGGTCCGCCGAACAGGAGCTCGCCATGATAGATTCTGTGGGTCGGGACAATGACGAAATCAACGACGATACCGGAATCACATACGACGATGACGATGGTGAGTCTATGGTATCCAATTCATCGGGAGCATCTTCGTCGACGGTGGGTTCGTTAGACCTCAAAAAGAGACAGGATGCCATTAATTCCACTCATCCGTTCGGTATCAAGATCTGGAAACCATCATTGTACAAGAAAAAACGTTCTGTGGCTACAAGGGCCGAAGAAGATATTCATCAACCGCATAAACCCATCATCAATTGGGGTGTTCATTTGACCAACTTTATATGGTCCATGACGTTTGGCTTGTTGTTATACTTGGTATGTGTTCTTGGCGGCATCATTGTATTTGTTCTCTCATTCTTCGCCATTCACAGACAACTGCGTGGATACGTCAAGCTTCTTTTCAGCTTGGGACGCTACTTGTTCTCTCCGTTTGGAAAGTTCGTGCTTCTCAACAAAGATAGTAATTATATTGACGAGGACGAATTGGACGGAAGATCCATTTCAGAATTTCATCGCTGGCGTGAACAGGAAGAGGGCCGTCTTTTCTTTGCCCCACCACGACGGTTAACCAATTCCCATGAGCGACGCCCATTGTTGAAAGACCATAAAGGCAGACCACTCGGCGATGCTTATTCATCGTTGGAGGGGACGTCGCAATCTCAACAGGAGAACAACGAGGCAGTGGATACTGCAGATCATGCAAACGAGGGCGATGATGAAAGAGCTGAACTTGACATTAAAGTGCGTTTCTTTGGACGTGGAAGTTGGTCTTCGGGTCGGTTTGTATTCTATCTTTTCTTCTATGGAATATTGCAGCCTGCTATTTGGGTGATTGGAGCGATTTGCTGGTTATTTGTCTTCACTATCCCAATGTTCAATCTTGCTGGTATCTTGTGTGATCATTTGAGACGTCATCCTCTTGCACTCCATTTTGAGTCAGAAAAGGAATACTACCGCAAATCTAGTGCCGATACAACGAAGAGGGGCCGTCAGCTGATTATACTCAGTACCTACAGGTGCTGTGGGTTACATTATTACAAGTTCACCATTGACGGAACCAATGTCTTTTTCATCAATCTAATTGCCTTGGTGATATTTGTCATTGTCGATTATTTCATCCTTTTCGAACAGTTTGGTTGGAAATCATGGATCACAGACTCTTCGGTAATTTTTTGCATGTGTTTGCTTGCTATTATTCCTTTGGCCTACTTTATTGGTCAAGCCGTTGCATCTATTTCGGCGCAATCTTCCATGGGTGTGGGTGCGGTGATCAATGCTTTTTTCTCCACGGTGGTAGAGATTTTTTTATACTGCGTTGCGCTCAATCAAAAGAAGGGAAAGCTTGTGGAAGGCTCAATGATAGGTTCCATTTTGGGTGGTGTTTTACTTCTTCCTGGTCTCTCGATGTGTGGTGGTGCTCTTAAACGTAAGACACAAAGATACAATCCTCGCTCGGCTGGCGTTTCTTCTACCATGTTGCTTTACGCTATGGTTATAATGTTTGCACCTTCGCTATTCTATCAGATTTATGGCGCCTACGAAATCCGTTGCAGAAGCTGTGATCTCACCAAGTTTGAAGACGATTGTACCCAGTGTCGTTTTATTCAGCCTTCGTTCTCACTCGACTCACTTTACTATTCCATCATTGAACCGTTCTCACTCACCGTGGCAGTGGCACTTTTTTTGGCCTACGTTTGCGGTTTGTTCTTCACCTTAAGAACCCATGCATCTCTCATCTGGGCTACAAACTCACATGAACAACAAGCCATGAACAAGAGAGACGAAAACTATCTCAGAACTCCCAGCGTTATCAGTCTCAACAACCAACCCAAAGGGAAACAAAAATTGCCGGAGGGAGTTTCATCAGTCCAGAGTCCTTCAGTACGGAAACCCGCAAAACCACCACTTCCTTCACCACAAGTTGATGTACCTCGGAAACGGCACAGTCAACCAACAAATAGAGAAGTCGATGTTGAAGAGGAAGAAGGTGGTGGCCACGATGCTCCAAATTGGTCCCGAAACAAGTCCACTGTGATATTGTTAGGTGCCACATTACTCTACGCTGTGATTGCTGAGATCTTGGTCGACACAGTTGACGCGGTATTGGTGAATTTTTCAATAGACCCCAAGTTTCTTGGACTCACAGTGTTCGCTTTGGTGCCCAATACAACCGAGTTTCTCAATGCCATCTCGTTTGCTGTTGGTGGTAACGTTGCCCTTTCAATGGAGATTGGTAGTGCGTACGCCTTGCAAGTTGTGTTGATTCAAATTCCAAGTCTTGTGCTCTTTTCAGTGTACCGAGGATTTGACGATGTGAATCTGATTTTCTCGTTGGTTTTTCCTAGATGGGACATTATTGCAACGTTGATTTCTATCTATCTCTTCACCTATATTTATGCAGAGGGCAAATCCAACTACTTCAAGGGAGTTATCTTAATATTGATCTACGTGGTGGTGATGATTGGATTCTGGTTTAATGGTATGATCGAAAGTTTGGATGATGGATACACTGGTGGCCCGCCATCTATACTCTAATTGGCAATATACACCCGTCCCTCGTATGGTCCCAAAGTAGCCTCGTCAAAGGAGTCAGCATTGGTGTACAACAACTTGAGCTTACCGTCAACTGGTTGTTCGTATGGCACATTTTCGGCGGTGAAGTTGGTGACAACCACAGCTTTTTGCGAACCCTTTTCCTTTGTGAATGTGAAAGTCTTCTGGTTATCGATATCCTTGACATTAAATGAACCGTAGATGAAAAGATCTTTGAATTCTTTTCTGTATTCCAAAGCTTTTTTCCAAAATGAGAACAACGAATTGGGGTCGTTGACTTGGGATGCAACATTGATTTCCTTATAGTTATCATTAACTCTGGTCCAAGGCTTGCCAGTAGAAAAGCCAGCGTACTCGGAGTCGTCCCATTGAACAGGAGACCGGGCATGGTCTCTCGCTACCAAATTAATGGTTTTCATCAATTTGTCCATTTTGGCCTTATCGTTACCAAACTTTTCCTTGTACAACTTGTAGTAGTTGATAGTGTTGATATCAAGATACTCATCAATAGACCAATCAGCAGGTAAATTAGTCATACCAATTTCTTGACCCTGGTAGATGAACAAGGTTCCACTCATGGAAGCCATCAAAAGAGCTAAAAGTTTACCAGATTTGACTCTAAACTTTGGAGAATCGTTTGCAAATCTAGTAATGGCTCTAGGTTGATCGTGGTTTTCTGTAAACACAGTTGACCAGGCATCGGTGCCTTCAATGAATTCACTTTGACTGATAAAGGCCTTCTTGAAATCCACAAGAGTGAACCCTTTATAGTCGAACCTATCGGCTGGATTCGAACCAAGATCAACCACGTCAAACAAGAACATCATGTTCATTTCCTTGCGAGCTTCTCCAACGTATTTGAGCGATTCTTCACGAGGAGAATGGCCCACTTCACCCACTGTCATGGCATCGTATTTGGAGGTAATCTTTGCAAACATCTCCTTGTGGAACTCGTGAATTCTGGGTCCGTTCTGATGGTACAACTTACAAGGCTGGTGTTCAAAATCAGGAATGACAATTGGAGCATCTGGGAACGTTTGAACCTTGGAGTACATTCCGGCGGTGTCGATTCTAAAACCATCGATACCTCTATCGAACCAGAATTGCACCGCAGACTTGTAGATGGCATTTCTGCATTCCTCGTTTTCCCAGTTCAAGTCTGGTTGGGTTTTGGCGAAAAGGTGCAAATAGTATTCTCCGGTAGTTTCGTCGTATTCCCAAGCGCTGCCTGAGAAGTAAGAGCCCCAATTGTTAGGAGGTTTTCTGTTCCCATCTTTGTCATAAACTGGCTTCTTCCAGATGTACCAGTCCCGCTTGGGATTATCCAAAGAAGAACGGGACTCCTTAAACCAGTCGTGTTCAGTGGAAGTATGGTTGATAACCAAATCCAAAATCAACTTCATTCCACGATCATGAGCACCTTTGATCAACTTGTCCATATCCTCCAAAGTTCCATACTTTGGGTACACCTTCTCATAGTCAGAAATATCGTACCCCATATCGTCTTGGGGAGAGTCGTACATAGGCGAAAGCCAAATTACATCGGTTCCGAGCGACTTGACGTAGTCCAATTCGGAAACGATTCCAGGGATGTCACCGACTCCATCTCCATTAGAATCTTTGTAGGATGCGGGCCAGATCTGGTAAACTGTTGCGTCTTTCCACCACTTGTATGTAACGGTCATTTTGGATTCAATTGAAGCGTAAAGGTGGAATATTTATAGCGTGAGATTTTACGAGCGACATTTTGATTTTTTGCGGAGTGTGGGGTAAAAATTGCGATGAGTTTTTGCGATGCTGCATTGATTATTCCGAAACAATGACAACTAAACTAAATTTTTTCCGATCCTTATCGATCTTTCTGGGGTAATAAAATAACGGGAAAACGCTCGGAAATAACCTAAATGACGCTAGATGACGTTGTTTCACATAAGATTTATTGAGACCCAAATTTTTTGGTTTTGGTAAAAGTCGACAATTTCACAAACAACCACTAGAATGCACCTTTCACATCAAGCTATGCTCACTATTGTATTCCTCGCCAATATTCACCTCCCCGCATAAACTTGGGGTAGTTCCTGCATGTGTGGAGGAGTCCGAGCCGAGAAATCACCGTTTTCGGTCCTTCAGGCATTGCAACGTTTCCGCCATCAATGACGGGCTATGAGTCCCTGTGGAGGGTAACAAAGACCCCACAAGCGGGGAACAACAGCCAAAAAGGTTCCAAGCCCAGATCTGAGTCGTGGCCGAATCTTCAAAATAATCCTCAACATCCAGCAAAACGTCGGGGAAGTGAAAAGTCGGCAAAGCCGTATACTACGTTCAAGTTCCTCCGAGCGTGCGACAATTGCCGGCTGAGAAAGATCAAATGTGTGATGAAACAGTCGAAATGTGACCATTGTCGTCTCCATAGTCTCGAATGCTCATTTGAGAATCGAATAAAAGATGGCATTGAAGTTCCAAAAAAGAAGAAGCTCATAGAAGATATTCCACTAAACCATGAGACTGTCGTTCCGAGTCTCCCTACGCCTATGTCGTATACGAATGTTTTATCGATTCGTGGTTCGGAAATGCAAACAGACGTACCACCAAATATCCCCACAAACATGAGACAGTTGCTCGATATAACTCCATCAGACAAATTGCCATACCCACAAGAATTGGGTGAGCTGCCGAAAACTGAAAGTAGCCCAACTGACACAAATCTAAATTCTGAACATTCCTCAGATTTTTCCTACATTGTTCTGCTCTACAAACGCCATGTGGAACCATACACACCCTATGTCCATGTCGACTCTATCTATGAAGAGCAAGACCCATTTTCCTCGTGTTGCATCAAGTTGGCTGCAAGCTACTCGTTGAACTCGTGTAGTGACTCGTTTGATACGCCGGGGTTGATAAGCGAATTGAACGCCAGTTTTCATGGACTCTCTGAATGGACCATCGGACGATTGTCGTGTTTCTTTCTCCTTCCTACTTTGATTCCCATATCGGTTGAGATTATAACTGGCGCTCTTGACCGCTTTCTTGAGCTTTACAACGCCAATTCAGAGATACCCATAAATTTGGCAATTGGGGCTTTGAGTGTAGACGCCTGGAATTCGTTATTGACCCCATCAAAATTGCAACTTCCTTCGCATATGTTTTCTTATTACGAAGAATTCTTGAGGTTTGCCGACGACGCGGTTCTTCACTACCACTTGGCGGAATTGAACTTCCACTTGAGTCGGTTTCTTAGTCTCACCGAAGACCAGCCCCTTGACTATAACTCAACGAGACGTGAATTGCTTCAATTGGAATACGATATTTTACTTCTCCCTGTCAAATTGCCCAAGCAATTTCTAGTCGTGAAAGACAGGCTTACCTCCTCCAGAGAAGCTTTGTTCTATCATGTTTTGCATAATGCCTTTTTAACCTTTGTATATACCAAGGCTCTCACCAGCAAGCTCTATGGGAAAATGCTTTCTGTGTATCCCATTGCTGGACTTTATCATTTTCTTTCCGGGTTGATCGAAAGTACTCTCGAAATCGGTGTGGAAAAAGCAGGGCCATGGTCCATCGTTGGAGATTGTATGGTGCACTCAATCAAATGTGGACTCGAATTGTTGGACATAATGGACTTTGACGATCTTCTTTTTGTCATGTCTACCTATAAAGAACGTCTGGATGTAAGGAATCCACTTCTCCAACAACAATTAGTACGCAAAGTGTATACTCTTCGAGAGCAGTCTTCGTACTATCGCGATTTTGATAGGGTAGACGGATCTTTGGTCTTCTGGGTGTTTCGTGATGTGCGGAGCATGACGTTGTCTGCTTATTTGCGAGAGAACAACTTTTAAATTTTAGTCGAGACGGAAAACCAGCCTTTGGATGTTGTCACCGTCAACGTCCCTCCATTCCCTGAGTTTCCGCTGAAGAGCCTCCGACTTCATTTCAGGATAGTTACTACTAATGCAGTTAATGATCTCATTGTACAATACCCTGTAAGCTGCGGGAGAAAAATGGATCCCATCAGGAAGAAACTCCTCACAGGAGACCGAATTATCTAGTATCTTTTCCTCTTCAAATCCACCTTCGCGGACAAAAGCGCTCCACAAGTCAATAAAAGGAACATTTAACTCTTGAGCTACCAGTTCCACTGCCTGAGAGTACTTTCTATTCTTGGCGGAACTTGCAATTGTGCCATCTTGAAACACCCTTTTGTTCGCAGCTTGGTCGTGTAGAGTAGGGCCAATGAGAATCACCTTAATACCCTTTTCAAGAGCCATTGATGTCATAGCCTTGATATTGGCCCGATATTTGTCCAAGGAAACTGCTTGGATGGTATCCAAGGCGTCATTTGTGCCAATGAAAATGGTCAAAAGTTTCACCACGGATTTTCCAGGAACATGCTCGGCAGCTAGCACTTCTGGGAGCACGTACAGCAAGTTGTTGGAATTGTAGCCGCTGACTCCCCGATTTAAAACATCTAATTTGAGGGTGTAATCTGCGTTAGAAATGGATCGATTTTTACGAGATGAAAGTACTTACCACTGGCCAATTGCAGTCCAAACCCAAACCCCTTGCTGCTGTTGAAGGAGAATTCAGTGATTGAATCGCCAAAAAGAACAATCTTGTCGTAGTTTAACATTCCTTTACTCCTTGAACTTTATCAACCAAAAGTTGTATCGAGGTGTAACATGCAGGAAGTAATAATTTTTTTCCTGCATAATACATGTCGCATTTGGATTAAATGGTAAAAAATATGTATTTTGTAAAATTCCAACTGGTTGCAAAATTTCAAAATATGATTCTTATGGGAAATCGCCTGTAAAAGCCCCATGTAGTTCAATCGTTGCCAAATGACTATCAGAACGAGGAATTCTTCCAGATATTTTAAAGCCGAATACTATCAAGCAGGAACTAGACGTCAACAAGAATAATGGTATTGGCTCAAGTTCAGAGAGTGTGGCTATAGTGGACCACATCCCAGTTTTGCATGGCAGAGGGTTTAGTGGCGCTCGCCTATTTTCAACGATAATATGCAAATTGTGCATCCTAGAGTTATCCACCCCGTTCGGATTCGACGGTTGAATACCTCAGGCTCCTATGGGTGAACCGCTTGCAAATGAGCTCGGACAAGTGAGTCAAACAGGAACTTTCATTGACTTAATTAACGACCGAGATCAAGTCATTCGGTGAAAAAAAGGAATCGGTCGGAGGTCGAAAGACAAACGCTTCGATCTGACAAGCAGGGACAAGGTCAAATCGTCCAGGTACGGTTTGAAGTTGGGTTTGAGGGCAAGTAAACGTCCTTGCATCAGAAATCTGGAGTAAAGCGATTCTTCCATTGAAATATTTGGCTGCATAAAAATCAGTAAAATTTCAAGTGTATCTAGCAGATTAGTAGTATTTCTCTGTACGGTGTACAATGTTCCGTGGTGTATATGGACTAGTGTACTGGTGTACATCTGCTGGTGTTTCTCAGGTCGAAATCACTTATGCTCTTGTTGTAAAGGTCTCAATGAAATCTCACTACTTGCTTGTTTCTCAATATTTTAGATATTTACTAAAAGTCGTTCTTCGTTTGAAACCTCAAACTCAAACCCCCGTCCTCTTTTTGCAATTTGGTCCCATAACCAAAAAAATCTTAAAGTCTCAAAATTCATCACCACGCGCACTTTTAACATCTTTGACAGTTGCACATCCTAAAACGAAAGGCCAACGGACTGCACGAGTGCGAACCTGGCTGCGAAGATGCCTGCAGACAGCGGCCCACCCTACGACTTCCGCCTCTTCACATTCCTACACCCATTGCTCGCAACCGTTACCCGCCCGCGCACCGAGCCTGAATCTCTGCTGGGGTATCTTTGAGGAACAGACCCATTGTCACAAAACACGTTTCGAAATCACTTTGTCGCAAATCACGGCTCCGCCAGTGTCCTACAAGCCCATACATTGCTTCTGCTTCACTGGAATCCTGCCTCACTTTGCGTGTGTTTTCCAGCCACGTTTTGACCAATCCCGTTGATTGTGACAAGAACATTTTGAAAATGAGTGGACAGCAAGAAAGCTGGACCAACCAGCAGCGTCCATTGGGACAGCAATTCAAGTAAGTAATGTGTTTTGGCTATGCTTTTTGGAACACGGTTCATGAACCTGTGCAAATAGATTGCCGATGGTGGTGCCGACGGTGAGATTTTCATCGAGATGGCATTGGACAGTGGGCACGGAACCCGTTGTCAAAGTCACGATAACGACACCAAATGGCAACGGGATGCTCCAGCAACCCAATACAATCCTCGTGGATTGTTTTTGGCATTTTTTTCTTGTTTATCTTTGTTATACTAACCCAGCCGCCCTCACCCGCCAGTACTTCCCCCTCCAGCAGCATTGGAGATGGGTGCCCATCCCTTCTACTCGCTCCCAAGTCTCTCGAACTTGGGGTCAGGAACCGGAGGACCCCAGCAACGTGTTTCCGGTTTCAATATCCCATCGATAAACGCCGGAAACGAGTCGAGTCACAACGTGACAAAAACCGAAACGGGCCCCGAACTTCGCCGACTCTCGTCGGTGGGAATGAACCACAACCCTTCGCAGCTCCCACCTCCTACGCCAATGAACAACGAACAACCCTCGGCACTGGCTCCTCCTGGAATGCCAGCCGGCGTTCCCAATCGCACTGCTACAACCAACGTTTACAGGACATTGAACGTCAGAGATGCATTGTCGTATTTGGACCAGGTGAAGATCCAGTTCTACAGTCAGGCAGATGTCTACAATAACTTTTTGGATATCATGAAAGATTTCAAGTCACAAAATATCGACACTTCCGAAGTCATCGATCGAGTGTCTACTTTGTTCAAGGGTCACCCCAACTTGATTCAGGGCTTCAACACATTCTTACCTGCTGGCTACAAAATTGAGTGCTCGCTCGACCCATCGGACCCCAATCCAATCCGGGTTACCACTCCTACTGGTACCACCAAGCGCCCCAATATGAATGCAACGTATGGCCAATGGAGCTCAACCACAGGAGAGACCAATGGTCAACAGGACTCCCAAGCCAACCAGCAAGCGTTGTCCAGCGCTCACCAGGCAGCACATCAATTGCAAGCACTGCAACAACCACCTTTTGGAAATGATCCTAATGGGGGCCAGATTGAGTTCAACCATGCCATTTCCTATGTCAACAAGATCAAAACGAGATTCGCCAACCAGCCAGATATTTACAAGCATTTTTTGGAAATTCTTCAGACATACCAGCGCGAACAGAAACCCATCAGTGAAGTGTACGAACAAGTGACGGTTTTGTTTGCAAACTCTCCCGATTTATTGGACGATTTCAAACAATTTCTTCCAGACACTTCGAACCAGGCAACTACACAACCGGCTTACTTGCCTCCTGATAGTGCCAATGGATCCAATGGTTCGCAATTGCCGCCTGTAGGTAATTTCCACCAACCTTCTGCCCCAGGAATGAGCCCGGGAGAAGTAGGGTCGTTTCACCAGCCCATGTTCCAAGACGAATTCCGCAAAAGAAAGTCCATTGACCAACGCAATGACCCAAGAGCGCAATACGAAGCCGGACCATACGAAAACCATTATAATGCTGAAGCTCAATACTCGAGTCTTCGATCAAAACCTCTGCCAGTCCAAAACAAGAATGGTGCAATGATACCGAAGGCAGTCAATCCGGCATTAGTCCCTGGTGTTCCGGAACCAGTACCTCCTTCGCACACTTCCAAGTCGTCGTCATTGCTGGAGGAGTTGAGCTTTTTTCGACAAGGTGAAAAAGGCAATTGGTAACAAGCAGACTTACAATGAATTTCTCAAGATCCTTAACTTATTCTCGCAAGACATTATTGACAAGGAAACATTAGTGGAGAGAGTCGACTCGTTTATTGGAGAGAATCATCCCGACCTTTTCAACTGGTTTAAAATGTTTGTGGGCTATGAAGATAAGCCCCAGCGCATCGAGAATATAACCTTCAAGAAACATCAATTGGAACTCTCTCTCTGCAAGGCTTTTGGACCCTCATACAGACAGCTTCCCAAGTCCGAAACTTTCATGCCATGTTCAGGACGCGATGAGATGTGCTGGGAGGTTTTGAACGATGAATGGGTCGGACATCCAACGTGGGCTTCGGAAGATTCAGGCTTCATTGCACACAGAAAGAACCAATACGAGGAGATTCTTTTCAAGATTGAAGAAGAACGTTTAGAATTTGACTATCACATGGAAGCCAACTTGAGAACCATACAGACTTTAGAAACAATTGCGAACCGTATTGCCAACATGACCCCCGAGCAAAAGGCAAGTTTCAAGCTCCCTGAGGATTTGGGTCATACTTCAAGCACCATCTATAAAAAGGTGATAAGAAAGATCTACGACAAGGATAGAGGGTTTGAAGTCATTGATGCGTTGCATGAAAACCCTGCTATTGCCGTACCGGTGGTGTTGAAGAGATTGAAGCAAAAGGATGAAGAATGGAAGAGAAGTCATCGTGAATGGAACAAGGTTTGGAGAGAAATGGAGCAGAAGGTGTTTTACAAATCTTTGGACCACTTGGGCTTGACATTCAAGCAGGCGGATAAAAAATTGTTGACTGCAAAGCAGCTTGTCAGCGAAATCAGTACCGTCAAGGTCGAACAACAGAACAAAAGATTGCATCCGTTGACGCCAAAACCCCAAGAACAACTTCAGTACAAGTTTGACGAACCCATAGTTCTTTTGGATATATTGAAATTGGTGACTGTTTTCATCAAATCGTCGAATTATTCCGTCAATGATCGTGAAAAATTGAGCTATTTCTTCCAGTCGTTTTTGACTTTATTCTTCAAATTGCCGAAAGAGACCATAGCAGCAGCAGCGAGTGAAAAGTCTGACGGAAAGGCAGAAGAGGATTCCGAGTCACTTACCGAGAGTCAGGGTGATCAATTGGGACCCAATCCTAAGAAGCGTCATCGTGACACGGACTTGTTGCGCGATGTTTTAAAGAAACAGTCAAGAGCCAAGAAGGATGATACTACAGAGTCTCCTTCACCAGTGGTAAGCGATTCTGATGAACCAGATGTTTCTCATGAGGCCGACAAGTCGAGCGAATTGTGGATTAAGACTTTACCGCGCGGCGAAGAACCTTCCTCTTCGGAGCAGCAAGGTCCTGAAAAGCGTGACAAGTTCAACTTGTTCTGTAATACCACCATTTACGTTTTCTTCCGTCACTTGAGAACACTTTACGAGCGTTTAGTCGAAATCAAAGCAATGAATAAGGCGGTTGGAGAGGAGATCAGATCTCGGAAACTACCTCAATTTGCTAAAGACTTGAATTTGTCGTCGCATCAACTTGAAGATATGGGTGTGGAAATCAAGGGCGACAAAGATTGCTACAAGCAAGTGCTCGATCTCGCTGAGAGGCTCATCGAAGGAGAAGTGGAGCACCAGTGGTATGAAGAATCATTGAGACAAGCATACAGGAACCGTGCTTACAAGATGTATACCGTCGACAAGTTGGTGCAATCCATGGTAAAGCACATGCACACTATTGTGTCCGACAGCAGAACTTCGGAAATGATTGTCCTTTTCGAAGCAGATAGAGCACAAACCACTTCAACTGCCAAGGACCAAATACTTTACCGTATCAAAGTGAGATCATTAATGTCCACCGACGAGAACATGTTCAAGATAGCTCTTCGAGAAAGTGACTCATCTGTTTCCATTCAGTTTGTTAGCCTTGATGACCTCACCATCAACGACCAACAAAGTGCGGAGGAGAAGTATAACTACTATGTCACAAGTTACGTTATGTCTTACCCTACAGAAGGAGTACCTGCTTCCAAGCTTAACTTACCATTTTCGAAGTCTTTCATCGAAAACATAGAGGAAGAAGATTGTGATGGACTTGCACGTTCAGGCTTGAAAGTTTCTGTCTGCGAGAACTCATTTAGGTTGTTCTTTGAGGCTGATTCTCACGACGAGTACACTGCTAATACGGTGTTCAACAAGAAACCGGAGGAGACTCTGAAGAAAGACCGTCTTGAAGGGTTGAAGGCATTGCTTGACAACGAAGAGATTGGGTGGAAGTCATCATTAGACAAACGTACGGATCCCAAAGTATTGGAAGAACGTGCTAACATTCTTATCTCCAAGGGTGCAAGTGCCTATTTGGAGAGCGAGAACCTCATCACTACAAAATCAGTACAAGAATCAGCACCAGATGTTGATATGGAAGATGTTGCTGTGCCCGCCAGTGGTGAAGAGACTTCTCTGGAACCAAAGCACCCCGCTACCACTACTGATGGAGAAGCAGATGCTACAATCTTGCACGAGCAAAACGACACCACCGTGCAGCAAGACGCCAATGATACGACCACCGAAGACACGACCATACATCAAGAAGACCATACCATGATTGCTAACCAAGACGAATAATAGTTGATATTGAAAGGAGTATTTCGAACCGAAAAATGTATTTTTACTCAGTTACTGTAAGCTAACCAAGACGTCCTTCAGCAGCGGCTCTCGCTAGACGCTCCGTAGCTATACTATGCGCCAACCTCTCTCTCTGGTCGAGTCTGCGAGCAACATATGCTTTCTCTCCTTTAACCAACAAAAGACGAAGAATTATGTCTTCTGTGAGCACCTGCGCTGCCATAGGGTCAGACCTTGCTTCTTGAGCTTCACGGTCAGCTCTTTCTCTCGCCTTAGCAGTGGCATGTGCATTGATAGTCTTGCTTCTTGCCAAGCTGCCTGCACGAGAAAGCGCTCTCTGCCTGGAAAGGTTCTGAGACTTGATCTGTTTAGCTTCTTTCTCTCTTGTGTCTTTCGTCTCAAATCCCGTAAAGTTGTTTCTTTCACGTAAAACTTTGACATAGGCTGGCGACAACCGATCTACTTCCAGAAACAAAAACTCAATATCACGATCATAGTAGACGGGAACTAGCAAGAGCGATTGGTAATGCTCATTCTTAAGGTCTGCTATGGGAGGGCCATTGCCATTATTGTGGAAAAAGTCAAAACATAAAAATGTTAACCAGGCAAATACCGTCTCAAGCTCGTTGTTGGTGAGCAGTCTACCAAAGCCACTTATACCAATTGAATTCGACACACTTGCTACTGCAGTGGATACAGCAGATTGCCATCCAGAAGTGCCCGTGCTTGTCAGTGAAAGCTTAGACCCAATGGTAGACAACTGAAAAGTTTTGGCACTAGCAAGCTTTGGTAAGAGAAGCTCATCTGCACTTGAAACCACCACGTTCCACGCCGCTACCATCACTTTCATGAGCATTTCCTGGGTTAAATATTGGGCAAGAACTTCAAGATTTTGATTCAAGTAATTGTACAATGGCATCATAGCTTCGTCCATTTGTTCCTGTGATGGTTTTACTGTTCCCATGCTCCCACAAATTGACCGCAAATTGCTCCTCGAAAAGCAGTAATGTATGAACCGAGAAAACTTGGCAACGATCAAATTAACACATCTTTCCTGGGACCGTTTGAGACATCTGTACGCTCTTCCAGTGACAAATATGGCATCAAGTCGTTCACTTTCGACAGCAACTTCAAGCAAAATTCTACCTTGCGAGTCTAAATCAAGATAAATTTCTTGCGGTATACCATCGTGTTTAAATCGATGTGGATCCAATTGCAACAACGCTCGTCCACAGATAGAATGTGATCCAATAGTTTTTCTCGTCCCATGCCGTAACAGATATGGTTAGAGACGAGTTAGCAGCCAAAGTGATTTCAAACTCTTCATCCCACTCTGGCAATGGAGTATTGTGAAGTGTTCTTGTCTTTCCAATGGTTTTTCTTGCCTTGGTATCGATAAGTGTAACATATGGGCTCAAACTAGAAGCAGCCGAACCAGATGTGCATTGCAAATTCTCTGCTTTAACCAAGCGCAAGGAGAAAACGTGGCTTGTATATTCCTTCTTCAGTGAAGGCTCGTACGCGGAGACCACATTTGAAATGTTTTCTGGATCGAGTATATCCTCTAGCTTGCTCAATTGGTACATCATAGCCTGAAGGTTGTTAAGCGCAACACATGTTTGTGGCTTGAAGTTATAGGCACTTTCAGCTTCGAGCTTTGGGGCTCCTCCACTCTGGATATTATTGACCACGCTCTTCATTTCATCGAACCAGTTTCCACTCTTCCGCTTGTCTGTCGTGGATTCTGCCAATTCAAGAAGCTTCTTCTGTTCCTCTTCATCAAGCTCGCCAATTATCTTGTCAGTAACAGTATTGGCGTATAATAAGATTGCATCTGAGATACTCTTTAAAAGTGTAGTCTGTACTTTGGCTAGTTGGTATTCGTTGGACCAATTTAAAGACTTCAAAATTCTCAAATACTCCTTGACCAACGTGAAAATATCGAGAACAGACGAGCTATGTTTCTTGTCGTCGTGCTCGAGGTTGATTGCATTGTATTTGTCGGAAGTGAGTGCCTGCTCCACAATTGATTTCAATTTCTCACCACTTTCAATCACCCATTCTTGGAGAAATTCATAAAAAAACGATTCCAAATCAAAAGAGAAAACCGACTTTGAAGTGGAAACTTGATTGTAGATATTGCGGATCTCATAAAGTGATTTGTACGCTTCTAGTGCGTCACCAAATGGAAGCTCTTCATTTCGTGATTTGCAATATGCTGCAATATGCTTCAAGATATTCTTGGAATCAGCTGCAAACATCCCAGTAATTACGGCGGCAGCGACATGGGGAACCATCAAAAAACCAAGAAGAGGGTTCTTGTATCTCTTTTGCAATCGCCTGACATCCTCAACTATTTTGTCACTAATGTCAATGATATGAACTATGTTAAGGGTATCGTCACGAGGCAAATTACTCAAGTACTGAGCATATCGAGACTCTGAGGTCCGCATGAGGGTCTTTGACAATTTTTTCTCCCACTTTTTCGTCAAGCCAGATTCCGCTATCAGTGGGAAGAGACAATCTGATTCGAGAAAGTCTCCGAGTAGCATCAAGAATGGACCAAATTTGGGTTTGGCGTGTGGGTTGAATATCTGTTCCAACGACTGTTTTATACCATACATGGATTCATTATAAGAAAACGTCAAGTTTTTGGTCCATTCTTCTTGATCTTTGATGGCCCACATGTGTTTATCTTCCCAGTCTAGTTTACCAATCTCTTCAACAAGTCGCTTGCATTGTAAGAAGATTAGTTTAGTAGCGTCCATGTTAACCGGTCCGAGAGTATGAGGACCCTCATTGTCATCCTTCAAGATGCCCGATAGATGAGCAGCAGTATAGAGGCATACTGCCCTGGTAGAATAGTCTTGGAGCCAAATGTTTGCGCAGGTGGATATGATGGACAACATTGGTTTTGAGAAGAGTGCGGTTTCGGTGTCCTGAATGATTGTATTCTTATGCTGGTGTTGCAAGCATAGCAACATTAATATGACGAGATATGAGCGGCCATGAGATTTGGATGGTATCATGTAGTAGTCCAGTCCATTTGGGAGCGGAGGAGCGGCAAGAAGTTTCATGGAAGGTGGGACTTTATACTTGTTGGAAATGGACGAGGAAAGGTCCAAAAATCGCTTTTTCCATGCATTGTAAGCTTTCATAGTTTGAAAGTTTCTGGGATTTAGCAAACCGAGGTCTTTCTCTGTATAAAAGTTGATTTGTTCAATGTCTTTGATGAGAGTCTTTTCCAGAACGTAATCTTTGAGCTTGAATACATCCTGTTGCAATTTGACCAGATCCACATTGAAAAGCTCCTGAAGAAGGGCGAGCTTGGTCTGGTCCATATCTGCCACCCGGAAGGAAGGTTTTCTATAGCGTGCGTTTGTCGGGTCCAAGGTGGAGGAGGAAGAGTGGCCCGAAGGTTTGAAAGATTGCTGAGCATCTCGAAGGGTCAGAATCACTGCTTCTGCTCTCTTGTCGTCTTTGGTCACGAGAGACTCGAGTATGTTTACAAACTTGGTAGCTTGAACAAATACCACCCCGCTGATATCTGTAGGAGCAACGGTACCTACCTTTGCAACTTCTTTACTAGCACAAGAAACAAACTTCATTAGCAAGTATTGAAAAGTTCCATTTTTGGAGACTTCGTTTCGAAACCGGAGGTCTAGTAATTCACTGTAGAAACTGAGGAAAGATCTTCGAGTGGTTTCGTCCAATTCTGGACCAACATTCTTCTTCAATGCGATGGCTTTCAATCGAGACTCCAAGCTCGCTATCAAGTAGGATGGGATCTTTTCGTTTGCACGAGTCGGCGATCGGCTCTTGGTAAGCTCTAAGTCTTCTATCGGAGTCCGGAATCGGGCTTCTGTCACATAATCGAGAATCATTATTTTAAGTACCAGTTCATAGAGTGCTACACGATCAACCAGATCGTAGGAATTATCGTCTGCGAGCATCATTCCCGACGCCAAACTGTGGGTCCGGCTAGAGGCACTAGCCGAAGTGTCGTGCCGGAGAATGCGGTCCTTCTGGGATGCCAGCATCATGGTGAAACGAGACGTTGCGACGAAGCAAAACAGTGAGAGTGCATTTGAAATCGCGCATTGTGGAGAAGACAATGTGATGGGGAGGGAGGGAGGAGGAAGTGAAGAAGAGAAGAAGTGGGAAAAGTGGGAAGGAGAGAGAAGAAGTGAGGAGAGTAAGGAAGAGGAATTGGTTCAAATAGCTTACTCTTTTGTTTCTTTGTGCTTGTATTGTACACTATATCACATCTACGACAAGGCCGTATGTCTATCACATTTTTCTCGTTAGTCTCTGGCGTTCTCTATTCTTCTTCAGAAACGTCACTCACCACCTCATTGTCCTTCAGCCCTTTATCATCTAATGGAAATATGTGTTTCGTAAGAATCTTGTTCATCTCGAACGCTCCCACGGTTTCTATGTTAGTACTGAAAACTCAATGTCTCAAGATAACTTACTCTTTTTGAACAATGCTGTCAACTTTTCATCGCAGTTGATCTGCCGTTTATCCTGTGGGTTCTGAAGATCCCTATCCTTGATATACGCCCACAATAACTTCACCACTCGTGGCCGAGAGCACTTTTCTTCTCCTATCACTTCTTGAAGTTGACTCGAAAGTGCCATTTCTCGGTTGAAACCCGTCTTAGAAGGCGGTTTCGTGGCACCTGAGTTGTTTGTGGTGGAATTCTTTCGTTTTGGAGCAGCTTTTCGCCGCCCTGGAGTCCGTGACAGCATTTCACCTTGAAGCTTTTGCGCCATTATTTCATCTTGTTTTATGATTTCTGCCTTTCTATCCTCCTCACTATCATTCTCCTGGGACCTCCTGCTGACAAGATCGTAATACCTGTTCAATATAACGTCATTGATGGCCTTTTTGTTTGGCTGTAAATCTACCGAAAACAATTCTTGAAGCGCATGTCGAATTTTCTTGACGGTGATCTTTTCAAGATCAGCTACGCTTAGTATGGCCTGTGTTAGCAAGAGAGTAACAATGGACCTCATTGCTTACTTACATCTATGGTAGGTAGATATTCTTTGGGATTGTAATTGTTGTCCATATCTTAGAGAGTAAGGCTGAAAGATTTGGGATAATATATGCAGAACTACTATACAGGCCCTATTAACTCCAGGGCTGGTTTTCCAGTACTCATCTTCCCTGAAGATTTCTCTTGTGCTGCAACTCATTCTTCTTGACGAGCTTCTTTCTCTCAGCACGATTCAACGTACGTGGATCAATGAGTTCATCGCCTTGATTTTTGGGCTCGTCTTCAACCTCCACAAGCCATTGGTCGTCCAACTCCTTGTTCTTTCCCTTGTATCCCCACTTGGGCACCCATTGGCCCGTGGCTTCATCGTACACCATCTTTCCGTCCTTGGCCTTGGCCTTAATGCCCTTCTTGGCTGCAAATTGTTCCCATTTCGTAGGTGGTTTTGGTTTGGGAATTGGCTTTTCTCGAGGAAGCATCGTTGTAGGTTCTGGAAGCTGTGCAAGCGTCATGGTTGAGTCTTGGCCAGTAGACGAGCCATGTGTGTCGGTAGTGGTCTTCATAGGAAGCGAGAGAATCTGGTTCACGAGAAGCTGAACATTGTCTCTAGTGACGGACTGCAAATACTGTTCCTTGTTCGTTTTCAATTGCTCATTATCAAGGGGATTGGGGTCGAACGCAGCAAGGTTTCCGAGGTCAAATGTGGTCGGGATAGGCTGGTCCACATGCACAGGCTTATATTCGGGCTCAGACATGATTTTGTATTCGATGCGATGAGATGAAAAATCCCAGTCGCATCTTGTACGGGAAGACATCCATCACACCCACACATAAGACCTACTCCTCCATCACCCACTCGGAGCCTACTTCTGACTTTGCACCGAGCTTCTCCAGATCCATACCGATACCAACGTCATCACACTGATAGCTGAACCGGCCATTACGATATGTTTAAAATTTTCCATGTCCGGGCGATCGGGTTCTTTGACGAGCATCGGCGTTGCCGTAGATGGCATTTTCGCAGCATCCACCAACTGGATGAATAACTCATGTAATGACGACGGCCACGACGACGATATATGTAGCGGAGAACTGAGTAGCAAATCTCGAGTGTAGGTCTCGGGCTGTATATCGGAGCGCTGTTGTTGCTTATCGAGATCCGCTTTTAGAGCAGCAAATACTGATGGGATACCGTTGAGCATAGCGGCATGTTTCTGACGAAGATCCAACAAGTATTGAAATGATTCTGGATCAGAAGAGTCGTAGGTATAGCAAATAACATCACATTGATCAAGTCGGCTCTGGTTCAGAAGAATAGCCGGTTCGAGTTCTCCGAGCTCCTCCAAAATTAAGTAGCATTGTTTTCCACCTCGAAGCTCGATGTCTTTGACTCCCATTTTGGGCGTTATAGTTGGCGAGTAGACATCGCTGTATGTTCCTCTCAAGAACAGGTGCAAAAGCGAGGTCTTGCCTGATTTGGGAGCACCAACCACAAAGCAGTTGAAGACATTGCGATCGGTAACCGGCTGCCGGTAATAAAGTCCTTGCTTCTGTCGCTTCTTACGTGCTCTGGTAATCTTTATGGCCTTCATAGAGCTATCGTCGTCGAATCCCAAGTACGCCAAGTACTCCAAAGTGGTTTTGTAGTCCAAGAAAGTTGTCAAATTCCACTGGGCAAGCCAACCTTGTAACGTTACATAGCCTGCCTCGTTACACACAACGCACGAAGGAAACAGCCATTCCTGCCACTGTTTTGGTATACCTGGGGTGGGAGAAAACAAGCTTTTCAACTCATCGTCATTCAATCCTCCGTCATTATCTTTGTCAAATTTCAAAAACAAATCAACCAAAAATTTGTATCCTGTAGGACTGAGTTCGACGCTAGAATTTTGGTTGACTTCAAGAATGGGATACAAGAACTTGTCATTCAAAGAAAGCGAGTCCGTATAGTGGAACTTGCGAAGAATGTTCCACGTAGTCTCATGGCGTCCTCTTTCGGCGTAAATCTTGTTCAAGATTATAAAGCCGTCTTCGGAAATGAGCTGTGGTATTTCACCACTGGAGTCAACTTCTGGGTATATCACTTTACTTATAGTTTTGACAATAACACTGAACTCATCTTCAGGCGGAGCAAAACCGAAGCATTTGGTGTGTAGATCATTGTACTCTTGAGCATTCAAGTACCCATCCTGGTCCTTGTCACACAAAAAGAATACTCTTTTCAACGCTGCAACCGCTGCTGGTTTGAGATTTCCCTCCTTAGAATCAAATATAGGAGACATAGGAAACACCACGGCACGAAGACACAAATAAAACGACTCAACAACGTTAAGTCCAGTCTTTGCACTGCATCGGATACACGCTTCTATTTCTTTAAACTCACTCAAAAGTGGCATGAATTCCTCTGCGTTCTGGGCCTTGGTGGTACTCCCTGGATCCAAATCAGCTTTGTTAGCAGCAACAACAACCGGCAAGTTGACCCCCATCGACCGAAACATCGGCATCCAATGTAACAAGATCCGTTCGTATGTATAATGGTCAGAATAAACGATCCAGATGACATCGGCCCGTTTCAATTCCCGCTGTAATCGAGTTATATCTGACGACGACGTATCAATGATGACCGTAGTGGGTGGGATGCTGTCCAGGATATCGTTCCCACCACTTTTATCATGTCTCCGGTTCCTGGAGCCCCAAGAACGTATTTTGGTGGAGTGTTTCGGTTCGTTATCTTCTGAAAAAAAGTCACTTTTTGATATGGTCACCGGAGCTAGAACCTTCTGTAGGTTTGGTGCAGCTTTGCCTTTCACAAATGAGGCAATTAAAGACGATTTTCCAACATTGTCGTCGCCACAAACCACTATTCGAACACTATCATACATGGCAAATGAGATAAATTCGCAGCCTGTTCGCAGCCTGGTATTTGGTCGCACCCGAACACCCGTTTCTTTGAAGCAAGTAGTTTGAAATTTCATTGAAACGAAGTTTCTTTGGTTAGTAGCGAGCTGCATTGACATCCCGTGTCAGTAATTTGATCGCCTTGCTTCCTACGTTACATTTCGACTATATTTTTCTCCGGTACCACTTTCACACCCGTGCACCAGCCACTAGGATTGTCCTAGTTATTAAGCGAAGAATTCCATTCAAGACATATCAACTAAACAATTATGTGGAGAGGTGTGGTCCGTAGCATACCGAATTCTGCTCTTTTGCCGTCCAGGAGCAGAGGAATAACCTTTAGAATGTATAGTTCTGCTCCACCAATGGATGACTACGAGAAGAAGATATTTGAAATTTTAAGCGAAGAATTGAGTCCCAAAAATCTTCTGGTTAGAGACGTTTCGGGAGGGTGTGGATCCATGTTTGCTATTGAGGTGGAGAGCTCCAAGTTCAAGGGTATTCCCATGATCAAACAGCATCGTATAGTCAACGAGGTGCTCAAAGATGAGATTGCAAAATGGCATGGTCTACAATTAAAGACGAAAGGTGTGTAAATAGTGATACTTAGCAAGCCAAAAAATTAAGCTACAAATTACTCCACGATTTCCTCCTTCTCCTCGATGATCTCCTCTTTGATTTCCTCGATAACAGTCATCTTGTCTTCCTTCTTTTGGTGTCCTGCAGAGGCATGCTTGGCTCTGTAAGCTCTCCATTCTTCTAATTGCTTTCTTCTCGTCAAAATGAGTTGTCTGGTGGCAGCATCGGCCTCCATAGCATCGGCTTCTTCGAATTGAGCACTATAAGTACGCAAGTTCTTTCTCACCTTCTTTCTATCAGCAGCATTCAACATCGAAGGAGGTCTTGGTCTCCACAAGAATTCGTTAAAGTTGTCGATTGACTCATCTCTCAACATATTACCGGTAAATTCGAACATCTTGTAACCGTTTTCGATGGTGTGGATCCATGAAGATGACCATGCAGCCACAAATCTTCCTGAAGGATCCCAGGCGAGGTTGGTCATACCAGAAAACTTCTCAGACTTCAACAACTTGACGTTGTTCTTAGATGTAGTCCTAACATTTTCTTCCTCATAAGTGCAGTCATAAAACTCCAATTCTCCATTAGATCTTGCCAAAGTTGCAATGACCACAAATCTTCCCTTGGGCGACCAGTACACTGTATTGGAATGCTTATCAACAACAGTCTCGAATGCCTTGTATTTGGATGAGGTGATGGCACCTCCCTTTGTCTTGGAAGTTTCTGGAGCGTAGAACGCAATGGTGTTTTTGGGGATAGCAGGATTGAGTGCACCGTCGTCCAATCTAGAAATAGTGACGAATCTATCGGATCTTGGTTCCCATGCAAAATTAATAACCACTTCTTTCAACTCCAATTTTTCCACAGGAATATCTCTCTCGGTAACTTTAAAGAACTCCAAATTGGAGAATATGGTCTTTCCAGACTTGGTATGACGATCAACCTTCACACACAAATATTTAGCTTCATCTTGCCAGTGCATCTTACAGTCACTGACTTGGAACAAGTTGATGGTACGAAGAACTTGTCTGCTAGGTATTTGCATTAAAGCAACTCTGGCGGTTTGGTTAGAACTTTCTGGAGTCCAATACGACAAGACATGCTCTCCAGGACCATTTTGGCTGCTGGTGTCAAGATAGACAGGAGCTGGAGCCCACTCAAAATCAACAATGTCGTCAATCTTGACCAACTTTTTGTCCAAAAGCTGGAAGCTAGGAGTCTCATAGATGGCTAATGCACCCGGTCCTTGACGAGCACAGTACTTGTCGTCGTGTGACCATTTCACCAATGGCCATGGCATTTCCTTTTGACCTTCCAAATGAGGAGGTAAGGCAAAGGTTCTGGCAGGTTCACTAGTAGCCAAATCCCAAATAACCAATTTGTGACCATTGCTTTCTGGTCCAAAGGGGTACAGGGCTCTCTCGGCTGGATTTTCAGGAACCTGAATTGGCTGAGGCGACAAGGTCACCAAGTATTTTTCATTAGGAGAAAAGTCAATCAACCTCACTTGGGAGTGAATAAATTTGCTGATACTTTCAAACTGAGCACCACCCCATGACTGGATACCCTGGGGATGGATGGAGAAAAGGTAGGTACCCTTTGGAGAAAATTTGGCATATTTGGAGGTGAAACCCTTTCTTGGTTCAATGACTGGTTCTGGAGACTTTCTCTTGTTCCAGTAGACACCAAAAGTATCAGAATAATGTAAGCCAATCTGATCACGGCCCTGTTCATCCTGCAACCACGATTTGAGATAACCGTGACTTTTGAAAGGAGGAATTTCAGGTTCTTTGAACTCAGTAGGCACGTTTCCTTCAATGCCGTATTTCTCAATATCACTCAATTTGTTAACAAGCAATCTGTGCTTCTGATCCAATTTTTTTCCATGCATTTGTTGGATGGCCGCATCGGCCATTTGGGCAGTTTTGAACTGAATAAACAAGAATCCCTTCGACTTTCCATCTTCTAATGGCATGTGAATCCCTTCTTCTCCCTCTACAATTTCTCCAACTGTACTGAAAAGCTTTTTCAAAACCTTGATCAACACTGGTACCTTGGCTTCGGGCGCGATTGGCGCACCATCAACAACGACAAAATTGTCAATTCCAAAGTCTGGCTTGACAGCATATTGCTCTTCCAAGTCGGAAAAGTCAATATCGTCCAACGGAACCTCTTTTTCGAGTGCTTCGTAGTCGATGTCACTCATGGTTACAATAGTTTTCACTTGAAAATTTTCATCAACATTTGAAATCACACCCACACACCCACACATAGGGAGTCGTCTACGACCTATGAAGTTCGGCCCGGAGCTTGGCGTTTTCAATTTCTAGTTCCTTGACCCTTCTTGACGCTTCTCTGTTCTCGTACACACGAGCTTCTCGTTCGGCTTTCCAGCGTGATACCAATTCGTCAATTCTGAGTTTGGCTCGCGGTGATGTCATTGTTGAATCTGATACGGCAGATTGACCTTCTTCCAAATCATCTAATTGCTTAGAGAGCGAGTCGTTTGCACGGCTAAGCTCGTCAATTCGTCTCTGTAGTTTAGTCACATAATCGTTGTGCAGTTGGCTGACTTCTGCTTCTTTGAGAAGAAGCTTTACATGGTCGTTGACGAGCACATCCACAGCTCGAGAAAGATATTTGAACACGAAACGATGACTAGGAAGAAGTTCGGTAGCCAGACCATGGAAGGTTGCTTGCTGAAGGTTATGAAAGTGTTTCTTGGGATCTTTCAAAGAGGAATCATCGGCGATTTTCTCAAAGGATGTTAACATTTTCAGAAATTGTTCAACATCGAATTGAACAAGTTGATGTTCGCTATTAGTATCAGGCAGGGCACTCCGCGACTTATAGGTTGAGAGCTTCTTCTTCAATTGTTCAATGGTCGAAGTAGCGGATTCTTTATCTTCGAGAAGCGATTGAACCTGGTGACTAAGACGGACCTTTTCTGCTCGCAATACACGCTGTTTCTCTACCGCTTTTTCAAGCTCTTGTTTTGTTTGAAGATCTCTACTTTCTTCATCACGTAGCTTTGTGATCAGCAGACGTAAGCTTGCAATTTGAGAATTGAGTGCTGCAATTTTTTGTTGTGATTCTTCTTCCTGAGCTTCGAATTGCAGCACTGCTAACTTGAGGGCTTCTTCAAGTTCTCTCTCCTTTTCTCTTGAGCCTTCCGAAGCTACTTGAGCACGAAAAGTTTCAAGTTCCGCAGTAAGTTTTTCCACAAGCGAGTGGTGACGATCTAGACGTTTGGATACTGCTGCTTGAACATCTTCACCATCTGCATCTAAAATACTTGAATTGGGTTCCTCCAAAGCACTAACTTTCTCAATGATTTGGCGCATGTTGTCCTGTGCCGATTCAGCAGAAGCCGCTTCTTTTTTGAGCCGTGCATTCAAGGCTGCGATCTCGTCGTTCTGGCTATTCAATAGCTGTTCTATCTTGGCCATGGAACCCAGTAAATGTTCATGGATAGCCAATCTGAGCATCAGCACCCTTTCGGAAATAGAAGAAGGCGGAGTTTGGCCGTGTTCACGTATAATAGAGTCCAAAGCATTTTCGTACTGTGAGTTTGTCGACTTGAGGTTTTCAATATCCTTGTCTTTTTCACGGATCTGTGCTTCGAAAGCCTCAAGACTGGCATAGAGGTCCTCGTTGAGCTTCAAGATTTCGTCAAACCGTTCGTCATGGCCAGCAAGTTCCGAGGTGGGCGACGCTAATTCTTGAACAAACGACTGCTCAGCGACATCTAAACCATTTCCGTCGTCGCGAAGCCGCTGAACCAAGCGGTGAATAAATTGTCGTAAGAGCCGTATTTGTATGCGATAGTCTGTAATCTGTTTTGTGAGTTCGTCTATGCGAGAAACCGAGTTGACGGAAGCGTCGAATCCATTTCTGACCGGCTTTGTGGGGCTCCACCGATCAGCCAAAGACAGATGAGGTTCATACAGAGGTTCATAAGAAGGTCCAGATCCAGACAGGGAAGGTCCATATCCAGGTCCAAATTTAGATTGTGGAGAAAATCGACTCAATTCAACCCGATTCAGGTTTGGCGGCTCGAGCCGAGGAGCACCCGCCAGGAGTGCAAACTTTGGAGCGGACGGTAGCGGTTGTGCTGAGCGTAGTCGGCGCCATGGCGAAACATCCGATTTATCCTGGGGAGAATTTACCCGAAGTTGAGCGAGCGACTCTCGCATGCTTGTGAGACTGGAATCCATATCCGTGACATTAGAAAGGTCCAAATCAGACGAGTGTGCTTCTGGGTGAGATATGAATGCACTGGACTCAGCAGAGGACGAATGGTTGTCTTGGAACTCGGAAGAGCGGCTATAATTGTCTTGCTTGGAAGTTGAGTGGGATGGTAAAGATGATGATTCTGGAAACTTTGACGACAAACTGACTTCACCAGTATGATCAATGGGTCCAGAAGTACTCTCGAACTGGTCCCCTATGTCCAGTTGAGTCTCGTCAAACTCCATTGAGTCGCGAGTGTCCGGCGGATGGGACATGATGTTTGTTTTGGCGCGCGATGATCTACTGAGCGAAGCGAAGCGAGAAGCGAGATAGAAGCGGTGTGCGATATAGAAGGGAAGCTATAAGATTGTAGTATTGTGTGTGGTATTTGAATGTAGAATTGGGATTGTAGTATTGTGAATGTAGGGGTCGATATAATAGCCGTCACTTCACAATCTCTTTACTCGATATTCCTGATCTCCTCCATTCATTCATTCCTCCATTTCTTCGTCATCTTCTGCCAATTGAATCGCCTCCTTCAACAAGTCTTCAGGTACAAACTCGTGCAATCCATTGGTCATCTCTACGGAACACCATGAGATCTCCAACTCGTAATCTTTGTCCTTGTTATCCTCATGTGCCTGACGAATGATTTTGGCCGCAACCTTAACCGCTTCACGTACCGTCAACGTCTCAAAATCCAATTTTTCCAACTCACTTTTCGCAATTTGACGGCCCTTACCGGTGGCTGCACCCGTGTAGCCCCAGCACGTTCCACTGGGCTCAATCATATACAAATGTGGCCCATTGTCATCCACTCCACCTACAATACCAACAATTCCAAACGGCCTCACCGAGTTGTAACAAGTGTAATTTTGCACGTAGATCCCCAATCTATCCATCAAATGGGGAACAGAAATACGGTTTTTGAAAATAGACTTGAATGATTGTGCTTCGTCTCTGCCTCTATTGACAAAATGACGTCCATCGGGTAAAAGCCCCGAGTAAGCAACACCAATGTGCCTGTCTATGGTCTGTATACGCTTGTTTTTTCCTGGTACCAAAAGCTTTGAATTGGTGATTTTTTCCACCGCCAAAACGATGCCATCTTTACATTTAAGTCCAATAGAAGTGCCTCCATTTTCCACTGCCTTCATGGCATATTCCACCTGGAAGTTGCGTCCATCCGGCGAGAAAACACTGTTGGACAAGTCATAACCCGTACCAATTGACGTCATCTAATCAATGGGTTTTAGTGGCAATTGATTGAGGTGTTGGCGCTCAATCCCACTGTCGCACACCCGTGCACCGGGATCTAAAAGAGATATGAGATTTGGAACTAGAGACGCGAACATGGCCGTGAAGTTCAAATGGCCCATACTAGGGGTGATAGTAAGTAACAAGAAGAAGAGTATCAGAGTGAGAGAAGATTGCTTTGTTTCTGAAAAGAACTACAAAATATACTAGAAGTGAACCAAATATGAAACAAAGTGGTATCATTCATTATTGTTTTTCACTTTGTCTTTCAATTTATTGATCTTGTTATACTTCTAGTCTTCCCAACTTTCTTTCCCTTTCTTATTTTCTACTAACCAGATACCATGTCTTCTCATAGCCTCGCTTGCCTATGGGTCTCATTTCTTTGTATTTTCTCATCATATGTCCCAATCTCAACAGATTAGGTACCAAATTTATGTCACCATGGTATGGATATCGTACGCCGTGGCCATTGTGAAACTGCCAGGATCTCCTCCGCAAACCTACACTCCTGAACGTGGTCACTGGAAACGATGGTGCTACAAGTGCAAGGTTCAGAAACCACCCAGAACTCACCATTGCAAGTCATGCAACAAATGTGTGCTTCAAATGGACCATCATTGTCCATGGACTCTTAATTGTGTTGGTCATGGAAACTTGCCTCATTTTCTTCGCTTTCTCGTGTGGGTGGTGTTCACTGCGGCCTATACTTTTGTCAAGCTTTTTCAGCGAGCTATATCATTCTATCATGATCGAAACTTACCCATGTACCTCACTAACAAGGGCGAAATGGTAGCGGTGATATTTCTTCTTCCACTAGTCGGATTTATCTGGTTGAGTGTGCTGATCCTCCTCATACGATGCGTAATTCATGTGGTTACAGGCACCACTCAGATAGAGGCATGGGAAAAAGAACGCATAGAAAATCAAGTAACGACACAAAGGTTTTGGGATAAAGTAGGTGATAACTATAAACTGTGCCATGGCCGAGAATTGCCTAAACTAGAATCGTGGATTCGTCCAGGAAGCCCTATGAGAGCCGATGACATCATTTTCCCCTATGACCATGGGTTTTACAAAAACACAGTCAATGCATTGGGTCCACCTTGGAAATGGCTTCTTCCATGGAGCGGACCCTCAACTGATGGTATACATTACGAAATTAACTACGATGAACAACTCGATCTTCCATGGCCCCCAGATGGTGGTTTCAAAAGCGGAGGTGAGCCACATGTATATAGAGACAACAGCTCCGAATGGACCAACGATATGGGTGAGACATTGCAAGACTACGGAGTTGACATAGCCGCCGAAGCTAGTTCTTAATGGAGAGTCATTGGCAGTTCGTTCTGCAGTTGGTTGCGTCGGACCACTTTCAGGTGCATTGATGCAACGACTTTTCAGAGCAGTTTCCAGATAATTCTACCGCCATCAATGCCTCGCTGCTTGATTCAAGACTCAAGACCCACAAACGAAAAGCCACACTTTTACCGGACCAATTGTCTTGGTACCCCACCAGATAGACCCCGTGCCACAAGTTGCCCATTGCACCGGAAAGTGGCTCATGGCACGTGACAAGTGGTGATTCTGCAAGATAAAAGCCAGAGGTACGCTGTCGTGAAAAATTACCTTTATTCTTATTTACCAATATGTCTGAACACACCACCTTGCGTTTGGGCTCCACTGCCCCAGATTTCGAAGCTGATACTTCCAACGGACCAATTTCTTTCCACGAGTTCATTGGCGACAACTGGGTCGTTTTGTTCTCTCACCCAGACGATTTCACCCCAGTCTGTACCACAGAATTGGGTGCTTTCGCCAAATTGGAGCCAGAATTCACCAAGAGAGGCGTCAAGTTGATCGGTTTGTCCGCCAACGGTACCGAGTCTCATAAGGCTTGGATCAAAGACATTGATGAGGTTACCGGTTCCAAGTTGTCGTTCCCCATCATTGCTGACCCAGAAAGAAAGGTTGCCTTGAAATACGACATGATCGACTACCAGGACGCTTCCAACGTTGATGACAAGGGTGTTCAATTCACTATCAGATCCGTGTTCGTCATTGACCCCAAGAAGAAGATCAGATTGATCTTGGCTTACCCAGCTTCTACTGGTAGAAACACCGCTGAGGTTTTGAGAGTTGTTGACTCGTTGCAAACCGGTGACAAGTACAGAGTCACCACTCCTATCAACTGGGTTCCAGGAGATGATGTTATCGTGCACCCCACTGTTTCCAATGAGGAAGCCAAGACTTTGTTCCCCAAGTTCAGAATCATCAAGCCATACTTGCGTTTGACTCCTTTGGAGGTTGGAGAGCAAAAGTAAGTGTATATTAATGAAGACTAGTCCGAGCCGTTATCTGTAGACTCTTTGGCTTCGCTTTCTGTGTCCGAGTTCTCAGTCTTTTCGAAATCACTTTCCAGATCAATTTCATGATCTTTGGGTGAGGTGACAGTGCCCAATTCTCTACGTCGCGACCTTGTCCTTTTTTGAGGTTCCAGGTCGGTCTCGGTGCTCTCATTTTCGTCAGTTTGTGGGGGTATTTTTTCTTCGTCTTCATTTTCCTTTTTTATTTTTTTATTTGCAACCTCTTTCGTTTTTCCTTTTCGCTTTCGTTCCCGAACGTAGATACTATCCAAAGTTGTGGGAATATTATCAACATCAATGCGTCTATTATTCAAATCTTGTGCACGTTTAGCCTCAAATATTTCGTTTAAATAGTCAAGTCGCTCCGAATGCTTGCCTTCAAGCTGCCATATACGAGCCTTTTTTGCATTGAGTACCGCATAGAGTTTTTCTTGAATATCTTGTATGATTTGCTTGTGTTCTTTGTGTGAGTTCTCGAGCTCTTCTTGCTGATTTTTGCTAATTGTTGAAAATGTTTCCATCTTTTCAGTGGCCGCCGCTAGCTTACTCTTGAGGGCAGTGTTGTCCTGCAACACCTTTTCGATCCAATTGAACAAATTCTGCTCTTTTTGAATTAAAACATCTTCCACAGAATCCACCATTGATAACAAAAATTTTGCCTTAGTTTTTGCCAAAGTTTCCAGAGTCTTGAACAGCAACACCACAGTTTCTGAAATGACTGGCATTTCTTCATCGTCACGAAGTTCCAATTTTTCATCGTAGTAATCTTTCAGAGTTTCGTATCTTGCGCTAAGAGTAAGTGACCCGATTTTGTCTTCTGCCCCACAAAAATGCAGCTGGATAATCTCCATCCACTGTGAATACGTAAAGTCTTTGTTGATAGTTTCTTCAATCGTAGATTTGTCAATTGAAGCGTGGAAACAACCCTCTTGGCACATTCCAGTTATCCAGATTTCGCTAGTTGCGGGCTTGAAATACGAATGCATATAAAGAGAGGTAGCTTTTATTACCGTGTGTGACGCATGATCCTCGAGTATTAGAGGGACTGAAATAATATTCCCTTCAAGACCATTTTCGGACATTGATATATCAGTTGAACTTCGTTTCGCAAACCTGCACTAGGTGCGGCGCCTTTGCGACAACTAAAAAAATGGGCACCAACCACAGTATATTAAAGCAAGATTTTCATCGTTGGTAGCCTCATTAATGAGCGTCTGGACAGTAGCCTCCACGCTAAGTCCTCTTCCAGAGAGTTTTTCGCCAACTGTGGATATAGCCTTGCCGGCTTCCGATACATCGTCTAATGGCTGCAACTTGATATTTCCAACGTCTGCCTCTTGTTGAAGATGCTTTCTTCGAATTGGCGAGATGCTCCATGTATATAGTGGATCCCATCTCAACACATCTAGGATCACCAAAATGTGGTCGCTGTGCAATTGCATCACTCTAAAGGTATGTTCACACGATTTTCTGAAAATTCCCTCGACACCACTTATTCCAAAACCATCAACTATGTCTCGCGTAAGTCTGAAGGGAACTGTTTCTGGAATCGGCAACTTCTTTCCCTGGTCAAACGCAACTCCTAAATCAATGTGAATTGGCTCACCACTTTCTTTGTCAAGCAAAATATTATTACAGTGTCTGTCTCCCAAACCAAGAACGTACCCTACAATCGATGTGGTAGCGATTCCTCGTGTGTACAAGACTCTGCTTTCAAACCAATTCTCGACTTCTGAGAACGTGTCAGCGAAAAACTCTTTGAGCACCGGCTGGACCTTGTTCTTGATGGACTTGAAAACCTCAATTCTTTCGCTATTGCTGCTGTTCTGGCACGACTTCATTTGTTCTCGTGCCTTTTCTGCTTTGATACTATCATGTTTGAGATGGTACGGTTTGATGATATCAATCAACGCTACCGAGTTAGGAACATACTCAATGACACCTGCCTTAGGTCCCAATGGAATGGCTTTGTATGTTCTTACTCGAAGACTTCGCTTTCTGGTAGCTGAGTCTTTCTCTAAGATTGTGTTAACTTTTTCGAAAACTTGTTCCATGATAGAATCTTGTCTTAAATCATCAGTACCTGACTTGAAAAGTGCCCGGTGATAAGTTCCGTCAGAAAGAAGAAATTTGCCAATTTTCGGAAGACTCAACCCAGATGCTGCCACTGATATGTTACCGTCAATGCTTTTCATGAATACAACGTTTTCGTACTTGCATGTGTAGTCAATTGGAACCGTCATCGCTGGGGAGGGAATCGCAGGAAGTCGATGAATCCAATAATCGCCAATACTCAAAGACCCAAGATCAACAGTTTTACCTCGCTTGACTTTATGTTCTGCCAACTTGACGCTATTGTCAGCAAACTCGTCAGCGTACCTTTGTACTTCGCTCATGTTGTCATTGATCTTCTGCAACTTGTACCATACTTCATTTGCGGCGCTTGTTTTTGGAGCCATAGAAGGGTTGACATCTTCATTAGCGTACTTTGCATGCTTTCTTAGGGAGATCAAGCCGTAAATGGAGTGGTAAGGATGGTCTCTACAGACTCGGAATACAAGCTGCTGTATGAGAGACTGAAAGGGGGTATTCTCAGTGGACAATCTAGACATAAGCTGAGTGCACCAACTTACAATTTGAAAGCTGGGGATTTCCAGTAAAGCCAGTTCCAATTCGAGGCAAAAATCGTCTTCCTCAGATAAATTCAACCATACGGAAAAGAAGGAATCTGAGTCTTCTGAATTATGTTGGTCTGCCCGCATCGTCCACAAGTAAAATTGCGCAGCTTTCCGTGAAAACATGCTTCTTTGTGATCTTAAAGCCTCCAAGTTTTCCAAGTCAGCAATGTGCAGAGCCTTGAGCTTTGAATAATAGCGCTGTACACTTTTCTTTTCGGCTGCTGATACCGCAGTCTTGCCATAGTGGTCCTTGAGCTCGTCTATTTCGCTCTTCTTGTGATTCACTTGCTTCTCTAACTTTGCGATTCCATCATTGAGGTTAACTGATCGACTCTCTTTTTCACAAAATTTTCCAAACGTTCGAAATATTTCAGCTTGGCGTTGATCGCCATTGCTACGTGCTTCTCTCGCTGCCCTTTCAACATGATCAGCCATGATGTTTCCGGGAAGATCGTGTTTTGATTCTGAAAGCCACGATACTAACACTGATGTGATATAAGATTGCGAATAGCTTGTCTTTCGAAAAGGCGTAGTGATATCAGTATGAGCTAATTCTTTGGCAATAGCAAGTGGGAATTGAGTCTCGCCTTGGTTCCAGAGTGAGCGAGCAGATTCGAACTTTGCAAGATTAACAAGCTGCTCCTGATAAGCACTATCTTTTCTGCTTTCAATCATCCTGCTAATCAAAAGAGTGCTGCGAATCATTTGTGGTTTTTGCTCGTTCGACCGGGTCAAAGCAACATAGCGAGATAGTTCGTGAATGGTTGCAATGAAGACATTTTCTAGCTGTTGTGAAGATGGTTCAGCTGCAGTCCCGCTCAACATTAATGCTATGCTTCTCGATAACAATATGTTCTCTGCATCGCTAGTTTCGGAATCTTTAAACCAACCAGTAGTTGAAGCGAAGTCATCTATCGCAGTCAAATCTGAGCTGGATATTGTTGATATTCCTTTCATTGTAGCTAATAGACGAAGCCAACTCTTCGTATACTCACTTAGTCCCAAACCTGAAGCCTGAACATTTGGACGTTGTTTCCAAATTTCAACTAGACTTCTCTGGCAAATTTGTTCGATTTCAGTGGGCGATTCCTTTATATGCTTCAAAGTGCGATAGATAGTGGCATGTTCCTTGGTAGAGTCCAGTGTAGGTAAGGACCACGTATTTAGTTTCCACGACCATTCGTAGTCAGCCTCAGAAATTCCTGGTTGTTCTTCTTTATGATGGTTTTGACTCACAATTTTAGCTAGACCAAGATAACCTGAAGACACAAAATTCAGCTTCATGTCCTGATTCAGGGACGATGATAGAATTATATCAGTATCCAAAAGTCCCGTACCGTATTGAAATTTATCTCCGTCTGTTCCACCTTTGTAGAAATGACTCAACACAGAACCAAACGAGGTGCTACTAGGAATTCCTGCCAACAAGTCAAGACAGTCTATTTGTGCATAGATGTCATGGATGTGGGCCGTATCGATTGACCAATGTTTCATACTCGTTTTCAACTCTTCAGAAAACAATAAGGCTGGTTTGGGCATATGATATTCAGCGCAGTATCGATAAAGCATCGCCTTATTGAGTGCAGTGTATAGTTCTGGGAATGGAGACACCTTCTTGATAGAGCCAGTTCGAATTAAAAGTACCGTTTCCAACATAAGTTCTGCACACCTGCGGCTATCAAGTTCATTGAAGTTTTGATGAAAGGTACCACAAACGGTATTGATTAAATTCAATGCGTTGTTTCTTCCTTCCTCATAAGAATAAACGTAATTTAGAATCAAGTGGGGAAACAAGTTTGTCTTGAATTCTGGTACTTCTTTGATGAAGGCTGCTAGGTATGCTGCAAACGGGCTTCCGCTGACAGTTTCATCTAGGATCAGAGTGATTATGTTATCGAGCCATAGCTCGAACGAAGTATAGGTGTGGAACTCTTTTATACAAGAGACAAAACCGACCTCACTTGTAAACTGGGGTGGATCCCTTGTAAACTTGAGAATTGTAGGGTAGTCAATTGGCTTGATACACAGCACGATGTCTTTCATATCCATTATCAGTTTCGAAACTTCACCTTTCTCCGTGACAATTCCTCCAATGAAAAGCTCGGCAGCACCCGCTGTCCTTGGATTCAAATCGTGACAATACTTTGCAGCTTGCCTGATAGTGTGTGAAAGAGTGGAAACGTTGCGGATGAAATCATCATGAAACTCAAAATTTTTTGCTTGAACTGAACCAAATGGCTTGATGTCGATAAGGGAGCCACCAAGATAGAAGGAAGCAAGATAATCCGCACTCCATGAACGAAATTGGTCAGAATAATCGGAGGAATGAGGTAAGGTCAACAATGCCTCAGCGATATTGCTGTACAATGCAAAAGGTTCTTTTGTCGCCTTCTCTATTAGACATTCGCTAAAGCGGAAGATGTTTTCAACACCAACACCACAATTCAAGGATTGATGAATGTACAACTCTAGGTTCTTGCCGGAAAGTGGTATCTCTTGCTTTGCAATGACATCTAGAACAGCAGAAAAAAGCAAAGTAAGACCATCGTCGTACAATAAAGCACTAAGAGTCCTCAAGTTGCTCATGAATGTCAGGGACATCTGTGCATGAGGGTCAAACCTTAGCATGTTTCTAAGAAACAACATCACTTCTTTGATAAATAAAACGGAGCTCAGAAGTGACAAGCCACCAACGTTGATCCAAATCATCATAGCATGAACTTCACTAAATGAATTTTTGACCCTGATCATGTGGTTGCAAATTTTGACCAAGAGTACCTTCAACTTGTCGCATGGATCTCCTTCGTCGCTTAGCAACAAGACCAATTTGATTTGCCTAAAAAGCTTCAACTTCCTTTCGGGAATCTGATACTCATTCATTTCAACAAAGAGTCTTCTCACAAGAAAGTACACGTTCTCTGGCAGCCATACTGAGCTCTTATCATGAGCGTTGTACAACCGCTGAATAGTTTGTACTGCTGTGTTGATAGGTATGGATGAGGTTTCATTACCGTTGCTTTTCATATTCACAGATGAAAAGAGAGATGAAAACTTGTCGCTTTTCTCTCTAGTAAGTAAACCTTTGATCGAGTTGTCATCAAAAATAGCCGTCAGTCTCACGATGAATAAAATGATTTCGAGTCGATGAACTTGCAAAACTTGGGAAAACCCGCCCTTGTCAGACATTTTAAAGGCAAAAATTTCATTTTCGATTCCACCCTTAGTGAATGAAAGTGCAACTGCCACATCTACTGAGTGAGAAATAACACGATCTTCAGTCGTAAAATGGTCGGTACTCCTAGAAATAATCTCTTTTGTCTCGAGGAGACCGAACGACATCGCCACACCTACTACGGTGGGGTATTCATGCTTTATGAAGGTGTCGACATTCTCAAATCCATAAATGTGAACGGGGATATCATTAATTGTAGCGCCTCTTAAGAAATAAGATTTGATGATGTCAACTTTGAATAGAGAGAACAAGCTTCTCACGTCTGAAATCTTCCAGTGGGAGGCTAAAAGGCTTAAATTCTGAACAACGTACGGTTCAGCATGCTTGAAGCTAGCAAACTCAGTTATGTTGTACACTGATGTTGCAAAATTAGAAAACGACAGACATCCTAATCGCAGAAGTAAGTACAAGAACGATGAGCTAGACTCAACTGACCTCTGCGGTGTATCGAACGCATTGATTATGCTCTCGTAAGAAATCAACTGTCCCCTTTGCAGTACAAGGTTGCAGATAGAATTGGAAATGTGGAAAGTGATATTATTCGGTGCTGTTGCGAGGCCCTCAAGTAGTAATTGTACGAGCTCTTCATTTGACCAAATCTTTCCTTCTCCCTCCAAGATCATGCTCTCAACAAACTTGAAGAATTGCAACGTAGAGTTTTCCGTTTGAATGAGCCCCATCTTGAAGCATTTCACATACCACAAACAGATATCCTGACAGTCTTTTCCTAGATCAGAATTGAGATTCAATGAGAAAAGAGGGAGAAGGAACTGTATTGCCAAAGCAACGGTCACAAATGTCGACTCGCATCTCTCATATTTTTCGTTGGCGAGTAGTCTTTCGCCAATACAACGTACAATGCGAGACGCTGTCAGAATGGAAATTTCCTCTAACGGAAGGTTTTCGGCCAACCGAAGGAATTGGAGAATACCGACAGCAAAATCAGGATCACTTAAAGTCTCGAGAAGATGAATACAGCGAGAGAAATGAGAGGTGTCGCCATTAGTTTTCGAGAGTACTAGAAGTTCTACTAGTACTTCGATTTTTTGAACCAGATTATCAAGTATTTTGGGCACTTCATTTCGACGCCCTAGTCCGTCTGGTTTCCTGACAACTTTCACGACCTTGTCACAATCCTTTATGGATACCAATTTCAACAAATCTTCAAGTTGAAGTTCTTTCAGGCATGCAATTGAGGACCTCAAGTTGAAAGTGACTGCCTTGATTGCATCAAAATCTGGTAGAGTGATAACATCGCTTGATAGCAACGACTTTGAGCTGTAAAATAGGGACGTTTTTAGAGCACTATCAATTGCTGTCCTCTTTAAACCTAATAAAAGGTGCACCAAGAAAATGTGCCACAGAACCTTGGATTCAAAATTTGCAAATGATTCAGTAGAAATCAAGCGAGATATTAGCTCCTCAGTATCACCACTTCTGATAGCCTGGTTGGTATATATAGGAGAATTTGAAGATTTCTCATCTTTGGAGACATGATGAATACGAACTGCAAATTCTAAATGCTGAATTTGCAAGTGTTGCAACCCTTGTAACGCTTCAACTTGGTCATGGAGCTTCTTGTGTACCAAGTTACCAATATCCGAGCCGCAAATCCATGCTACAAAATTAGCGGTTTCAACAGCGTCGTTTGTAACAATTTCACGGAAGCTCTCCCATCTTTCGAAGAGCCAGGCTTGGATGCTTGTGCTCAATATCATAACTGACTCATGGCCAAAGGTGGACGCAATTCTTTCAAGCCCGTACCAGAATCTGAATGACGAAATTGATAGCTGGATTGGTCCATTGACTCCTGACGAATCTAGGAGACTCTTAATGAGATTGACGCTATTTGGATCCAACTTGACAGACAGCAAGTTTGTGCACGATAAGAGGTATATGATCTCAGAGCATATATCTGATGTTGATTCGTCCTTGACCAGTGTAATGGTGATTTTTAGTATTTGGTTGAACATCATTGATGAGAGCAGGTGAGCTCGGTGTAAAAACATGTAGGCTAGGGTTGCCTTAATGACAAGGAAGGAGTTCCCGCGTAGATAAGTGGTTTTAAGTGAGCTTAAAGCAACCGTTATGCATTTTGTTACGTCTACTCGATTGGCTTGCGCTTCAGTATCAATAAAAAAAGCCAATACGAGTAGGGCAGTTCGCAGCACCTTAGGATCTGGATCGTCAGCGAGCTTAATGTAGTACTCGATTGCGGTTGACGATTGATAAAGCAGGTTGTTCACAGAAGTTTTACGTCTTTTGAAATCCTGAGTCTCGGGAAGAGGCGTAACGACATAATTCTTTGTCATTGAAAAGTATGTTCTCGTTAGGAGAGCCACACCTCTAGTAAACAACCAAGGTTTGATATCATGTGCCACATCTTTCAAGTAGAACGAATTGGTTGAAAAAAACCTGTTGGACCGTTGGGGTAAATTCAGACCGATATCTTCTGCTTGTAGTAAGTAATCATACCCGCTCAGCTTGGGTATTAATTGGCGAATCAAGGAACCAACGACATAGCTACTCGAAACTTTTGAGCTGTGCAATTGAGTATTGGAAGATGAAGTGTACATATGGACAGCTTCAACATTTAAAAAGATGCAAATTTGGAGTTGAAGTTCATGTGTGGAAATATCAATGTGAGACGCAATAACTTGTAATCCGATATGAATGAGATCGGTGACAAATGCTGTGTTTTCCGTTGACAACATGATGATCAGTTTCGTTACGATTTGAAGCACCAGGATCGCTAGTAACTCTTCTGACCCAAAATTGGAAAGTTGCCAAAGCAGTTTGAACAAACGAAGATATACTTTATCATGGAAAAGGTACGACACGCAAACTTCTTGGTCGCTACTAGCGTATATCAAGTGGGATATGGATTGGCACGCTTCGGCTAATAATAACGAGCTTCCTTTTTGTTCCATTGTATTTTCCAAGGTGAGAAGTAGATGGTTGTACACCGATATCCAATCACTTTTCAGAAGATGATCCTTTATAAAACACTGTTTGAGCAAAATGGAAACAATTCGTGCTAGATGGAGGCTCGCAGGAGCAAAAACGGCATTTTCTGATCCATTAAATAGCACAACTATTCCATTAACTAAATTGGTATAGTGCTTCACACGAACAACTTTTGCGCTTGAAAGACTGAGTATTATAGTGGCACGAAGACTGTGGATTGCGGAGATGAGTCTATCCTCGGTTGCCCGCGTTGGATTTGTCAAAAAAGCCTTTTTTTCGATTTTGATCAAGTCTAAAAGAGCACTGGAAATCGACCCAAATTGACGAGAACTGAGTTCAGCTGAACCCACCTGTTCCAACAATTCTAGCCCATCGCTTCGGTCTCGTGCCTTTGAGGACGACAAAAGGGTTACGAGCTGGTTGAATACCTGCGTTTCCATTCATAGGGTGTCTGATAAGTGGTGTCTGGTGTAGTGGTTTTTTAGATCGGTGTCTGCACCCGAACATCCGATTCAAATTGGTTTCAAAGTGATGAATCAGTTACCAGTGGTTTATTGCCGCCTCCAAAAGGGGAATTGAGATGGATGTGAGGCAGCCACCCAAAACGGGATCGTCAGTATATATAACATGAAATTTTTGACTTTTTGCTAGATTTTGAATTTTCCCATTTATGAACTTCGTCACGAAGAATTGGTGGATTGTGAGTGTGATTCTTGCAACTATTTGATGAGCAAGAAGGGACATTTTCGTCGTTTTTTCCTACTTGGTTTCTTGTTTCCTCCAGCATGGATTGTGGTTTTATTTCTATTTGCAAATTTTCTTCATAAGAACAAAAAAGGTTACAGAGAGCCTCACAAAAAGCTCCAAGCTCAGGCCTTTGACACGTTTATTTATACGGTGTGTTCCGCGATTACGTATGCGGCGATGGCTGCCATTTTTGTTCTATGGCTGCAAAACCGAGACATGGATGTTCGGATGCCTTCCGAGTCAAAGTGACAGTCAACATACAGGAACGAAGATTTGACTCGGGACCCGCAGTTCACAGTATAAGAGTCTTCCACTGTTCCAACAAATTCATTGCTAATGAGTTCGATTGTTACCAAGAGATTTGCCAGTGGCGCAAGCAAGCTTCTTCGTACACCCTTGTATGACTGTCATGTTGAATTGGGAGGGAAAATGGTAGATTATGCTGGGTTCGAAATGCCGGTTTTGTACAAGGGACAGACTCATGTTGAGTCTCACAACTGGGTGAGAAGCAAAGTTGGGTTGTTTGATGTGTCCCACATGCTTCAGCACAAATTTAAAGGAGCCCAGCCTCGGGAATTGTTGCAAAAAATCACCCCCATAGATTTGGCATATTTGCCCATAAACTCTTCGTCGTTGACGGTATTGTTAAATAAGAATGGAGGAGTCATTGATGACTGTATCATCACCAAACATGGAGAAAATGACTACTATATGGTGACAAATGCCGGATGTCGTACCAAAGACGTCAAGTTCATCAAAGAAGAGGCTGCGAATTTTGATGTAGACCACTCAACATTTGAGGGCACTTTGTTGGCTATCCAGGGCCCAGAAGCCGCAGGATTACTTCAAAAATTCACCAACGAAGACTTGAGCAAGATTACTTTCGGTAATACCAAGTACCTTAAGTTGTCCCTGATTGGTGCAGATGTCCATTTAGCTCGGTCTGGATACACTGGCGAAGATGGATTTGAGCTTCTGATTCCCTCTTCTACCCCACAGGAATCCCAAGAGTCGCAAAACTTCTTTAGATCTCTTATTGAAGATTACCCAGATTTGGTTCGTCCCATTGGTTTGGCAGCGCGGGACTCGTTGCGGTTGGAAGCTGGTATGTGTCTTTACGGCCACGAGCTCGCGGAGGATATCACCCCGATTGAAGCCACATTGACGTGGTTGATTCCCAAGCTGAGAAGAGACGAGAAAAATGCCACCTTCAATGGGGCTTCCAAGATCTTGAGTCAGATCAAAGACAAGACTTTGTGCTCCAAAAAGAGAATTGGTTTGTTGTCGAAAGGTCCCTCGCCTCGTGATGGAAATAAGCTTTTCAGTGAAGACGGAAAGGAAATTGGACACATTACTTCGGGTTCACCTTCACCTACACTTGGGGGAAATGTTGCGCAAGCATATGCTGACAAGTTGTTAAAGTCAGGTACAAAAGTGTTTTTTGAGCTGAGAGGAAAAAAGAGAGAAGCAATTGTGGCCAAGATGCCATTTGTGGAGAGCAAGTTTTACAGAGGATAAATCTAAAATTCGCGCCAAGTTCTTCTGAGGATAAATACAATTTCGCAGCCAGTGCGCGCGAATTTTAGGTGTTTTTTCCGTGTAGAATGAATTCTCGCGTGAATCGTGTTCCGCGGCTGCCAGGAGTGGATCGCGTAGTGCGCGGTGGTTTAAAACGGATTGATTAGAATAAACGAATTAATTTACTAAATAAGTGCAAAGCTGAAGAGACTTTCTTGGTACTTATTGATAAAGACTGAAGAGTATTTGTCAGTGGTTCCGTATTCCTCGATACATTGTCATTAATTGCCATTCAAGTCATTAATTGCGATACATTATCATTGCCATTTATTACCTTAATTATCATTAATTTTTAGTGACACTAATTGGCATTTTCCATTATTGCCATATCCTTTACTTCAAGTGAATCTAAACATTTTGTCATGAACTCGCCGCGTGTTCCCCTTTCCCCAAAACACAGCAATTCTGCCTCGTCGTCGCCCTCAAAGTCCAAGGTGGACTCGCCTTTTGTCAACCACGTCAGGCTCTTGCATAGACTGTCGTTTCAGCTGTCTCCTAGTGAATCCCGTCATGCTTCCCCAGGGTCTCCAACCAGGTCCATGTCTCCAACCAGATCTACGAGATCACCAGCCAGATCGCCCAGCAAAAGTTTGCTGGCTGGCCGCTCCGGACCCGGCTTTATCATCTTTGAAGACCCCAAAACCTACCGCGGAGCCAAGCCCGATTTGGCGGTGAGCGGCCGCGAAAATAGACCTCTGGACCAGGTGTCGGGGTCCATAAATACCGAGTTTGTGGACCAGGAAAACGCATTACAGCCCAAGCTGGTGGTGATTCCTCAACGAAAGTTGCACAATCGAAAGCCATTGGCACCATTGAGCACTAACGAGTTCACTGGACACATTTCTTTTGATGGAGTTATCAACGAAAAACTAACTCAATTATGGCACCCACCAAACTGTGACAATGGTCATCGTTCTGTTCATAAAAAGCTTGCATTGCCATCATTCATCACTCCTCCCCGCAAGCAGGCCACCACCAAGTTGCGCCAAACCTACGCCGACCCGGGTACCGATGCCCTTGTATCAAAGTACCTCTACCGAAGTAATATGCACGATTTGGATCCGGAACTCGATATGGAAATGCGGCTCATTTCAAAAAACAACCGCATCCGCAAACGGCGCCTGATGTCGGTGGGCCGCAGCGAGGCACGAGCACCATTGATTTCAAGACCGCAGTTCAAGATTGCATCATAAGGACAAACTCCATAAGATAGCCACCAAGGTTAATTTTCAAGGTTAATTTCCAAGGTTAATTTGCAGCCATATTAAGTATCACCCGACTACACAATTTAGCGATTTCATTGCATAACCGAGCCACTTGCCGAGATCCACTATTTGTTCGATACGCTAGCCGCGAAAGCGAATACGAAACACAAAGCTAAAGTTAAATAGTGAAGACAATAGCAAATACCAATATCTACTCTCTATATAATTATCGTCTACTCTCTAGCGATCCAATTGTCTCTTTAGTTGCTTCAATTGTTTTCATCTATCGCTAATTCATCGATCGGCTCATCCGCTCCCACTTGCCCGATTCGTCTGGCGCGCGGTGCCAAATGTGGAAGCCGCATCCGGCAACCCACATATATACTGCAAAAACCCCACCCATTTTCTGCTGCTCATTCAGTTTTACTCTGGTACTTGTTGTGAATTAGCTAGCTGCATGGGATTTTACCTGGATCAACTCTTGTCCAGAGATACGATTACCGCCATACTCGGCAGGCTCGTAAAGTTAAGTTATCAATACAAGTATATCTTGTCATTTTGATAAGGAAGAAACGTACAAAAAAACAACGAAAAAAGACGAAAAAAGGTTGAGAACGAACAAACAATCAGATCTGGTTGTGTTAAGAAGTGATTTTGTTATTATTTTTTGAAGTGTTAAATCTTATCTATTGATCATATGTCCACCATTCAAGTCAAGGCTCCACAAAAATACGCCGGGCTTCGTCATCTCACCTACGACGACGTGCCAAAGGCGGCATACACGCTTTCTGAAGCATTTCGTGAGGACTCTCTCGCCAGATTATTGGTGTGCCATTTCCCCACGAAAGAGGAACAAGTTCGCTGCGAAACTATGTTGTACGAGGCGTATTTGCGCCAGCACATTGCCAAGGGAATTGTGTTAGGAATCAACGAAAGTGACCATGATTTCGAAACGGTTGCAATTTGGTCGCATCCTACTTCCGAAGAAGAAGGTTTGGATTCTTTCTCGACATTGATGGAAGCCGGTTACGGTGAAGTGTGGGAAGCATATGGCGAAGAGGGACGCGAAAAAGTGTTTCGAGGAATGTTGCCATTGTTGCACAATTCGTGTCACAGAATCTTGTCCACTCCTCAGTTCAAAGATAAAGGAGTATTTACATTGGTTTATTTGGGATCTCTTGAAAAAGCTCGCGGAAAGGGTAATGTGCGTAAGATGTTTGATTTCATGTTTGAAAACTATATCGATAACCAACCCAACACCATTTCGTACTTGGAGAGCTCGAGTCCTACAAATATCCCCATTTATAACCGATTCGGGTTTCAGTTTGCCGAGGAAATCATGCTTGGTTCAAAACACGAGGGTGCCATTGAAGGTAAAGATTACGCCATCATGAGCGTTATGATTAGAGATACTCGTGGGAAGGAATGGCGAAAACTGGGAAACTTGCAAAAACTTTAGACAGCCAGACAGCCAACTTAGCCAGTAGCCTCTTTAGCTAGTAGCGTCTTTTGCTAGAATCTCAATTGCTACGTCATATTGCCCTTACCTATATACATTATTCGTCGAGCGACAATACACTTCTTTGTGACGGCAACTTGAGGTTGGAAAATTCCTCCTTGGCCCTTTCCCTAAGTTGTTCCTCTTGCGCCTTGGTCAATGGCTTCACCACCTCATCTGGAGGCACGAACCGGAACTTTCCAAACCCAAACTCACGGTCCGTCATCTTGTTTAAAACGTACAATTGAGCCCGCACGTATTCCACCAACGACTCCAAATGTCTCATATCAGCATTGGGGTTACCATTAAAGATGTTACGCCACAACGCCGCCGCCAAAGTAATATCGTCGGTCATAAGTCCCTCGTCGTAAGAAACCACCGCTCCAAGAAGCTGGGTATGATAATCCTTCAAATAACCTTCAATAATACGATTGGAAGAAATTCCCAATTCTTCTGCCATTCTCAACTCGAGATCGCTAAAGATCCGGTCCACCAACTTTTGCTGGTAGTTCCTTCCATACTTGAACGGCATTGCTCTCATACGAACCGACAAAATCCAATAGTGTAAAGCGGTGATTTGGAACCACTGAGAAAACGACCTGGGAAGTCCTAAGGTCTCATAGTAGTATTTGGCCGTCACAGAAAGCTCCTCGTTTGGATAAACCATTCCCTGGCGCTTGCACTCTCCAAAATATACAGATCCCGCCACTGGACCAGCTCGAGACCTATCCATGTCGATGTTGAACATTCTGACGAGCGACTGTCCAATGTACTGTTTCCATCCAGCCATCTTGTAGTTCGGGTCAGCCTCAATCTCGTGGGACGACAAGAACTGGGACTTCTTTTTGGGTTGTCTGGGATTGATTTTAAGATCTTGTTCGATGGTGGGAAGCGACGATTCTTGGGCTATTTTACTGGGAGCATCAACTTTTTCCGACTCTTTTAATTGGCTCAAAAACGTTTGTGTTTGAAACCTTCGTATAGCAGGAGCACACGAAAATGTGCTGGAGCTTCTAAGAGCTCCTCTGGTATAGTATGCCATGGGTAGATGTTTGGATATTGATGAGAGATTTTGTGAGAATGAATTTTTGGCAGGGGTTGCGTGCAGGACGAAACAATGGTTGCAAGTAAAGAGTGAAGTAGAAGTTACACATTCTTCAATAAAGAAGCTTGGTTACGATCTTAGTGCAGGAAAACTAGTACCAGTATACTCGGGTATTGGTTCATATTCATGATTGCAGTATCCAAATGTGATCGCGATAATACTATTGCCAAATTTATAGTACAGTGGGTGAGAAATAGAGACAACTAAACGTGCAAAAAGGGTGATGCTGATAGATCTTTCGACATACAAGTTAGATTTAGAGTACGTGAAACTGCTCAAATATTGGACATGTCAATTGCTCGCAAGGTGACAGAAATGCAATGGTGACCACACTTCAAGATTCCTATTTGTTAACCTCTATTCTTTAGCTTCGAGATTCTGACAAGCTTTGGGTTATGGGTAGTGTTAAATTTCCACTCATTGCACATACAATCAAAGAGATGGTGGAAAAAATGTAGTTGAGACCAACCGACTAAGCATTTGTGTCCCACGTGCTGCTTGACAACAATTTCTTTCCGGATCTAAGACTAGAAATGCTACGTTAGCTTTCGAAGTATTTGTCTAACACTTCAGAAAATATCGTAGAACTTTCTCTCAATTCGGAAACTAAATCATTCTGATAATCTCCGTGTTGTACCAAATCATTTTGATAATCTCCGGTGTCGCCGACTGGCTATGCTTTCTACGCCATCACCCGTTGCAGATACGGTGGCAAGATGACTAATTATCATCACGGAGATAATGTGGAAAATGGGTTTTGGAAATTTTCGCAGCTTTAAATGTCCCAAACCGTCGCATTTATACTATTTGCAACTGAAACGCGCTCGGCCGAGGGCTGCGTAATCTGATGCAGGGCTGCGGGTTGATCTTCCTGCAGAATGCCTCATTTTGACGGAGTTATATGAAGCAGAAAACTATTTAAGGACGTTGCCACAATCTAAAAAAATCACATTCAACCACAATTGACAATCCCACAAACACCAACAAAATGCCAGTTCAACTTAATGACAAGATTTCTTATGGTACCATGTCCCTTACTTGGAAACCAGAACCCATGAATCCCGATGATGCCGCAGATATGATCCACTATGTGGTTTCCAAGTATGGAGTCAAATTTCTCAACGGAGGAGAGTTCTATGGTCCAGATAACGCCAATTTGAAGGCTTTTCAAAGATACTTTGAAAAATACAACTCGCCAAAGAACAAAGAATTGGTGGTCTCGATCAAAGGAGGCTCTGATTTGAAATCACTTAGACCTGATGGAACTAAGGAATCAATTGACAGATCCGTGAAGAATGTGCTTGCACACTTCCCATTAGAAAACAGACCCAAGATTTTGTTTGAAACTGCTAGAGTTGACAAAAATGTTCCTATCGAGACCACATTGTCCTATATCAATGAGTACGTCCAGCAGGGCTTGTTATCGGGTATTTCGCTCTCTGAAACCAGCGGAAATACTGTATTGAAGGCATTGAAGGTGGCAAACATTTCCTGCGTCGAATTGGAATTGTCCTTCTTTACCAGAGACATTGTTGAGGACGGTGTGCTCAAGGTGTGTTCCGAGAACAACATTCCTATCATTGCATACTCTCCCGTTGGCCGTGGTATGTTGACAGACTACGCGGTAGAGCACGCCGATGAACTTTACGAAACTACCAGGAAGGATTTAAGATCATGGATGGAAAGATTTAGCGAAGAAAATTACAAGGCAAACATTGCTGCCTGCAAAAAGTTGTACGATTTTGCTCATGATGTGAAAAAGACCTCTTTGGAAGCATTGGCATTGTCGTGGATCTTGAAGGTTTCAGAAGCAAAGAACTTGTGGGGAATTGAAAAGGTTTGTAAAATCATCCCAATTCCTTCGGGCTCGACTAAAGAGAAGGCTGATATGAACTTTGGTCACCTTGTGGAACTCACCGATGCCGAATTCGAGCAGCTTGAAAAGATTTACCAGAATACTACGTTGCAAGGTAGCCGTGCCAACGCCCACATGATCCAGAATATGTTGGTTTGAATTATAGCTTTGACTATTCTGAGCATGAATAAACGATCAATCTCAAGTTATTGAAAATATCAAATTCAACCAGAAGAGAATGCCATGCGGCATCATTTAAAACCTTTATGTGTTCTCCGAAAAGCAATCTTCCGATTTTTTTTGCGACCAGTGTAGGTATGGCATTAATATGAATGGTAATTCCTAACCTCCGCCATGAGTGTATTGGAACATCAGTATCAATGAGATCCAAGGTTTTATCGAGCGTGACAGCGGTACGTAGTTGTAGTTTTGTTACAGCTTTTGATCACACCGTGTATCAAGTGGATTAAAAAATTTGCAGCCATTTTCAATTGCTAAGAAACCTTCACTGCTGCATTTTCTGATATCCTGATACTCACTTCTTTCATAATGAGCTCATTTCAGTATCACTTGTATTCGTTTATGCAAAATTAGGCCAGAACTCATCCATTCCATCCAAAAAATCTGCAAAGTCATCGTTCAAACTCTTGAATGAACTTTCGAGATTAGCCATATTCTTCTTTTCGTCCTTTCTCATCCATCCTTCCAAGATGGTTTCGAATGGTGCTGAATGTCGAGATATTCTTTCGACGGTATGTAACTCTGGAAACTTTTGTTCGACATAATCCAATGTATACTTCATGAACATGCTCGCTTTGAAACAAGAATAGTAAACTGTACTGGATTCAAATCCACTATTATAGATTTCTGTTACTTTTCGTAGAATGTTTCTCAAGGAAACCTGGTCACTGTTGAAATCAATCTCAATCCAGTCCATCAAGCCAGTTGAATCGGCAGAATTGAAGTATCTAAAGTACTCCACAAGAGAGTGTTCACCATCCATGACTCGCTTTATGACTCGTAACAAGTAAAACACCGCCATTCGAGGGCCTATCCATAATCTAGGATAAAATAGCTTATCGAAATCCGCATTGAAAAAAGTACGAGTTTCAACCACTTTTTGATGGAGAATTCGAAGTAGTATTAGACATCTCTCGAAGGCTAAAGAAGACGTCTTTATGCTAGCATTGCTGGTGGTGCCAAGAAGGAAATAGAGTCGAAACTCTTTATGAATTAAATCCAATCTGAATGCAAATTCTCTAGCTTTCTCTCCAATTTCGGTGGTTGTTAGTGAGGTATTGTTGTTGGTAAGCTGGTAAAAAGATCTGTTCTGTTCCAGTAGATAATTTGAAAGGTCTTTCAAAAGTTCTTCGCTTTCAGCTTCATTGACTTTTCGTTGACTTATGTCGCCATTCAAATACTTGCGTATACTTTTGGAGCATTGTCCCACCAATTGGTTGATCCTTTCATTGTGCTTTTTTCCAGCAGCTAACGGCTTCATGGACATAATCTCCGAGACATGGGTGACGGGAGTCACACCTTTATCAAACGCATAAGAAACGTCCAAGTAACAAATGTAACTCCAGATCTTTTCCCAGGCAGTAAGTTCAGATTCATCCAAGAGATGCCGTGGATATCTTTCGGAAGACTGGTGCATTCCTAGGACTCGAGCCGATTGCACTAATGCTCCATTGATGATTGCAATTGAAAAAGAAGTGTCGTCGTCTTCCGGGCAGTACATCTTGTACACCAGAAGAAGTATCAAGCCCTGAATTTTCAGTAGCTTTATGTTCTTGAAAGACTGTGGAGACATCAACAATCCCATGGCACACTCAACATACGATTCATTGATGTTGATACCGGAACTGTCTTTCAATTGCTTGGTCATTTCTGGAGACATGGTGATGAAGGAAAATCTTAGCAACAAGAGCAAAATAGCTATGAGCGAGCTCTCGTTGGACTTGGACCCATCTATAGTGCTGTACTCACCATTATCTTTCAACAAATGGTGAAGTTGTGTGAGAAGAATATCCTTGTCGAAAAAATGAAGATACGGATAAAACAAGTCAAAAACACGATCCAACATCAAATTGATGTGCCTAAGTGGCGGTAGTCGACCCAAGCCTGCAGTGATTTCAGGAACAACCGAATCTGCTTCGCTATAACAGCTTTCATGTGACCTATTATGGGGACCAGAAAACAAGGAAGTCAAACTGGGGTCCTCTAAGATAAGACTCATGTTTGAAGTGGGCTCAAAATACGTAGGATTGGACTCGAATATCGCGTATCCGTCAAATTTTTGGTGATATATGTCACTATTCTTCGAAGGTTCGATCTCATTTGAAGGACTTTTGGAACCAGGAGGTTTTTGAAATTGCTTCAAGGTATCCAAAAGTGACTTCTGGTAGGCCATGATCTCCTCATAATGCTTTATTTTCGTTAAAAGTTCTCTGTTTGTAGAAATTTCTGCGATTTCTCTGATTTCTTTGGCATCATAAACACATTCATCAGTACAATTATCCAAGAGACACCGCTCACAAAATGGTTTATTTCTGTCACACCTGAGCCTCCTGGATCTACAGCGTGCACAGGTCGATGAAATCCTGTTTCGTTTGAATTTTGATCTTTGGTCTGAGACCATAAGTTGGTGAGATTGTGAAAGGAGATTTGAATTAAAAAAATGAGATTAGAATTACTGCAAAAAAAAAAAGTATTATTGGACACGCAATCGAAAAAAAAGAGCAATGTTGCTAAGACTCAAGAACATGAAAACTTAGAACCTAGAGAAGATTTACCTATTTCTTTCAATTTCTTTACTAACATATATTATCCTACTAATATGAAACCTCAATTACACACACTGATAAGCTCATTCCACAATTGCTCCTGTCTCTTCTTATTATAAGAATCGTCAGAGGTCCTAATTATCTTTCCCTGGTCACAATAAGCTACATTGTTTGCTTGCTGATATATCTTTTCATCAAAAGCACACTCTGCAAGAAGCTTACCAGCCTTGGGAACCGTAGTAGCCCAGCCAAGCATTCTGAACACATAAGATCCCAATGTGAACATTACTTTCCCAGCAGCAGAATTATCTCTGAATAAACCACTAGTTGGAACAAAACCTGGCTCATAAACGATAAATTTGACATCCTTGTTATCGGCTGCAAATTTATACATGAGATAAAGAACAGCCATTTTGCTGACTGCATAAGCTCTGCCACCTGCTGTGGTAGTAGTAGGATCAGGATCTCCACCAGTCTTCGTTGGAAGCATTATTTCACGAACATCGTTGTCGTTCCAATAGAGTGGAGGAACGAATCCATGGTTGTGCTCTTTATCAGCAAAATGAACATTGCTTCCAGTCACAAAGATCCTAGGCTCAGATACCTTTCTCAAGTATGGCAACAACTCTCTGACAATGATAAAAGGTGCAATTACATTGATTTGAAACGTTGCTTCGAAACCGTCCTCTGTGGCCCTTGTGCGATTATTGAACGAAGCACCAGCATTGTTCAACAAATATTTAATTGGGGGAGCTTTGCCGTTGTCAATTAGTTTCTTTACTTGAGTCATTGCTTCTTTCACACTGGAAATGGACGAAAGATCACATTTTACCAAAGAAAGGTTGGCCGATTTTGCAACTTTTTGGGGGTCCCGACATAGCATAATATGATGAAGATCAGCATGATCCACATCAATATAACGTTTTGCCACTCCTCCAATACCGCTTGATAATCCTGTACTCACAAAGCTATACTTCAACATCCTTGCTGCAAAAGTGAGAGGATCGCTTTTTATAAGTTGCAGCCATTTCGCGGCTACCGTAATTACGGCCTAAAATCCGCATCGTAATTACGCGACTAGACTAATCCGAACAAGCTTGGGTTTCGTAATTACGAACATTCTCAGTAATGATAGAGTCTACACAAAAATTGGTACTAAGCTACCATTATTTTTTATTCAAGTCTTGAAAAACATTATTCGTCTAGATTTTATCCTATGTCGTCTCATGAAGCGGCAGCAATAGGTTCGGGCTTACGTTTCTTGGCTTCTTCGCCGTCTCTCTTTGTTTCATCATGAGTAGGATAAGTGTTATATCCTAAATCGTCTCTTCCGTAAAACGTTGAACGATCATAAGGGTTCAATTCCCATCCATTTTTCAACCGATACACCAAATCAGGGTTTGAAATGTTGTAACGAGCAAATCCAACAAGAGTACGATCATTCTCCAAATCATTAATTGCGTGAGTAAAGTGAGGAGCATCATAAGTGTAGTTTCCAGCCTTGAGAATTGTACCCTTCCACACATCTTCAACAAAATCATTGCTACCGACTTGTTCCTGCTTATCGACATCAAGGTTACCGTTGACTCTTGGTTCAACCAAGGAAACATAAGCCAATCTGTTACCCTTTTCTGCTCTCTTTTCAAGCTCGTGCAAGATATAACTGTAGGTAGTTAATGGGTGAATCTCGCCGTGGATAGATGGCATACCCTGGAAAGTTGCCCATGGAGAAAGTCTGATACCCAATTTGTCGGCACCGACAATCGAGATCATATGGTCAACAAGTTCCAACACAAATCTTGCACGGTTCTCAATGGAACCACCATATTCATCAGTTCTTTGATTACTGGCAGACTCTATGAATTGGTGGAGCAAGTAGCCATGAGCTCCGTGCAACTCAATGTAGTCGAAGCCAGCTTCTACCGCATTTTTCGCAGCTTTATCATATTGCTTGTAAATTTGATCTTTGATTTCTTGCTCAGTTAAAGCCCTGAGAGGGTTTCCAGCTTCTTCAGCTTGCTGGCGGTTTTGATCGCAATCATAAATGGCCGATGGTCCCACAAGAGGTACACCAGACTTTTTCATATATGCTGGATCACCACCAGCTCTTCCCAAGTTCCACAATTGCAACGAGATGAAGGACTTGTTATCGTGAACTTTCTTGACGATTTCCTTCCATGCTTTGGTGTGTCTTTCAGTCCAAATTCCAGGAACACCTTCCATCAATCCAGCTTCAGCAAATGGAAAAGTACCCTCACTAACTACTAAAGAACCAGGGAACTTTGTTCTCTCGTCATAGTACCTTACTGCCAAATTAGAGGGTGTATGGTCTTCCAAAGATCTGGTTCTTGTTGCTGGACAGAAGAATACTCTGTGATTAAGAGTGTTCTTTCCAACCTTAATTGGCTTGAACATTTTGGTGTCACCAAGGGGAGATATTTGAACGTGAGACATTTTTTTTAAGTTGCGAAATTTTTTGGCAATGGGTATATTTTATACGACCCGGATACCCACAAGGTTCAAGCGGAGCAATTTTACACCTGTGTGCCAAAGCTGCAGGGTTTGTCAGACATGCAGGAAAAATGTGCAATTAAATCGGAAAAAGGAAAATCGACCCGAGAAAAAAGGTGAAATATGCGGGAGACGGCGGGGTCTGTGCAGGTCCACTATTCGATTGCTGCATGGACTTCCGATTAGCAAGTATCCTTGTTGCGAAGAATAATGAAGGACTGACGGAACGTGGCATGGTCACCTTCCCTAAAAATGGAAAAATCAGATCTGGGAAGGTGACTGATTCAATATATAATACGTCATCTGCAAGCAGATCTGCAGGCAGACGCATGGAAGGTGTGGAGCAGATCGATTCACGAAGTTCGATAAGACATCGCCACTAGTCAATTTCCATTCGTATGATTGTAAGGTCACAGTTCATTGTGTTGTTATTGGATTGTGGCTAATTCTCTTCTTTTCGTGAAAACCCACTATAGCGTTTATCGATTGCTCTCTGTTCTGACGATACCTTAACTTGCTTGATTCAATGGCTTCTGCTTTCTTTCAACGGCTTCTTCTGTAGCCTGTAGTTTAACTGTCTGAAGTCACAGGCTCTTCTGCTTCACTCCGAACATCCAGCCACAAAAAGATACGGCGAAAGTAGAGAGAGACGAAACAAAGAATCATAAGGAGAGGAATCTCCAACACTGGGCCAAAGGTGGCTGCGATTGCCTGTTTGCTGTTGGCTCCGTAGAGTGAAATTGCAACAGAAAGACTCAATTCAAAGTTATTTGAAGCAGCAGTAAATGCATGTGTAGCCACCTCTTGGTATGGAGCCGAGCACCACATTTTCCATGCTTTGGGGTTTGATTCCTTCTCTTTTTCACAGCCACATAATAGAGGGTTGTTTTCCTCTTGCACAAGAACGGTTCTACCCAAAAGCCACCGTAACCCAAAAAATGTAGCGTTCCAAACCACCACGAAATACACAAAAAGTGGAGCAAAACACCGGAAAGCTGGGCCTGTTTCGTGGAGAAAATCTTTGCCTTTTTCAATAAAAATTACAATCACCGTGTAGAGAAGTCCTAATGGAGCAAAAGGTGAAAGAATCTTGGTTCCCAATTCCACTCCAATGGAAATCTTTGCGAGAAATCTCAATACTATTCCCGCCACAATTGGAATACCCAAGAAAAACACCAACGTTTTAGCCACCAAAGAGTAAGATATCATAGATGGAATCGGATCGCCAGAAATAACGTAACACAAGAGAAGCTGGTAGGGAGCATACAACACCAACTGCAACAAACTGTTGACCACAACAATTATGGCGCACAAATCGGTGCTTCCGCCAGCAATATCGTTCCAAAGAACAACCATAGCAATACATCTGGCGGTTCCAATCATGATGATTCCTGTTCGAAATTCAGGTTGATCGAACAAGGTGAGCCATGCGAGTCCAAGCATGAAAAGTGGACAAATAATCCAGTTGAGAACTAATGAAATCATCATGGATCTTGCGAACAGCCGTGTGAACATGGTTTGGTTCAAAAATTCCCATCTAACTTTGAAAAATGGTGGGATCATCATGATGATCATACCCACTGCCAACGGCACGGAAACCCCAACAACCGTTACTCCACCAAAAGAAGACTGAGCATTTGGAGCATATACGGAGATCACGATACCGATTATGATTGCCAAGATGATCAAAAGTGGGAGTAGTTTATCCACAAGGGAAACCTTTTTGTTGACATCTTGCGCCAAAGTCATTGCAGTATAATTGAGATTTGAGATTTGAAATTTTTGTGCGCGGCTGACTAAGAAAACGGTTTGACTCTGCTCAATGCCAAGAAACAAAACGTGCCATTAAAAGAAATTGTAAGTAGATTACAGATCTTATTAGTCAGTAAGTCAAAAATTGTTAAAGATTCTATAGAGAAGAATAGGGTAAGAAATGGAAGTCAAATATTAAGTCCATGTGGCTAATGAAGTGGACTGCACATAATTTCTCACACAATCTTTTCAAATATCGTATTAAGCTAATGACCTGAGAAAGACCTGATAAAGTCTCGTTGCGACACAGTTTTGCAAAAGACTTACATAGTTGAGAAGACTATACCGCGAACCTGATTAAACCTTCCAGGCTTATTCAAGACTTGTATAGACTCAAGCCGGGATCACGTGTTTAGTCATAAGAAGCACCATTTTCATATGTCGTTCGGGAATTCGACGGGATATCTTAATATGTTGGATTTATGCCCACAAAGGTTACAAGATTAAGACTCTTTAGTGGGGTCGAATAGAAAAAATGACAGATTCCTCTTTTATGCGTCATGCAAGCACTGCATTCTTCATGCATGAAGTGCGGCTGAAGGTACATTGACAGGAGAGAGTAAATTATCAGTAAACTTCTTCATCAATGACCTCTCGAACTTTTGGGTTTTTATCGATCGTGCCTTTGTTGCTAATTTCACCGGCTCATGCTTTATTTTCGGGGATATATGCTTACTCGGTAAAGTTGGCCGTAGATGATGAAACATATCGAACATTTTGCGGGAAGCAAGATGAGTCCCTTGACGTGCTAATGAAATATTGTGGATATGATCCGAATGAATATAAAGATGAAGACAGTAAACCAAAAGATTGAGACAAAATTGTAAATATTTTAAAACAATTTGAAAATCAAGTGGACCAGTAACTAAGAAATTAATGAATATTTTTAATTGAATCCAGAGTAGTAAACGAATTAGCTCTATAGTTCGGTCTGTGGTTCATACTTTGAACTTTAAGAGAGTAGGAACTAGCGAAAATGCGCCTATAATGAACTTTCGTAACACTATACACTTTTAATGAAAAAAGACCAGTTTAGAAAGTCATTTGTGAGAGGTACACAGACACTCGGGTTTAAATTCTCAAGAAAAGAAAGTTTCAAAGTGGTTGCAACATCTCCTAAATATTTCGCAGCCATTGACCAAGTCAAAAAATCTCTACCCTTTCACAATCGTATATTTTGTTTAAAAAACTTTAAATCAATCCGTATAGTTATAGACTACTATATCCGTATAGAGACTTATAGCCGTACACACATTACTATTTGGTTAATAGTTACCTGATATAATATCTAAAGTTAGTTTTCATAATACGAAAAAGTATTCCATCTAATATTAAACCATCAGTACCTTTACTAATTTACTTTTCATATCTATCTCTATTAAGCAGCAATTGGCTCAGGCTTTCTATTCTTGCCGGATTCCTCGTCTCTAGGGGGCTCTCCATGGAACGAATAGGTATTGTAGCGGTAATCGTCGCTTCTATAAAAAGAGGGCCTGTCGTATGGTTGGAGATCCCAGCCATTTTTAAGCCTTTCAACCAAATCTGGATTGGAGATATAGTAACGACAGAAACCAATGACTGTTCTATCGTTGGCAAGATCGGTTTCAACTCGTTTGAATTCTGGGGCATCATAAGTGTATCCACCCGCTCTCAAAACTGTGCCCTTCCAAATATCGTAGACAAACGAATTGTCACCAACTTGGTGTTCTTTCTTGACAGTGGAGTTTCCATCAACTCTAGGCTCGATAATGGACACATACGCCAACCTATTTCCCTTCTGAGCTCTTTTTTCCAATTCGTGTAAAATGTAACTGTAAGTGGTCAATGGATCGATCTCTGCACCTTTGGTCAGCATGCCCTGGAATGTCGACCATGGAGAAATCCTGAGCCCAATCTTGTCGGCACCAATCTCAGCAGTCAATTTGTCAATGATTTCCAACACAAACCTGGCTCTATTTTCAATCGAACCGCCATATTGGTCTGTGCGCTGATTACTGGCAACGTCAATAAATTGGTTGGGAAGGTAGCCGTTTGCAGCGTGGACTTCGACATAGTCGAACCCGGCTCTAAGAGCATTATGGGCAGCTTTGGGGTACTTGTTGTTGATAATATCGTGGATTTCATCCAAGGTTAATTCTCGCAAAGGATTGCCAGCAGCAATGGCAGCTTTTTTCGTTTCCTCATCATGGTAAATAGCCGATGGAGCAACAAATGGATGATTCTTGTTGTCTGCAATGGTTGGGTCGGCTACACGGCCCGAATTGAACAACTGGAGTGAAATGAAAGATTTGTTTTCATGAACTTTATCGACAATTTTTTTCCATGCTTCAATATGTCTTTCAGTATAAATTCCTGGAGTTCTTTCCCATACTTGACCCTCTTCGTAAGTGAAAGTTCCTTCAGTAGTCACGAGCGAGCCGGGAAACTTGCTTCTTTCGTCATAGAGTTGCAATGCCAAATTCGATGGAGTACCGTCTTCTAAAGCCTTGAGTCTTGTAGTTGGGCACATGAAAAGTCTATTGGAAAGAGTATTCTTTCCCACCTGTATAGGCTCAAACACCTTTGTGTCCCCGAGGGGTTTAACTTTAATTGCCAGCATGAGGGCGTTGCATAATGGGATGGATATTTATACGATTTGTTGAAAAAACGTTAGTAAGCATTTGCAACCGGTCCCGGAGATCGGCCAAGAATTCCGAGCCGCGGTTTTTCCATATCAAGTAGTGCTCTGACAAATGGTGCATGAATGACAAATAGAAACTAGAGTACAACATAAATTTCAAAAGATCTAATCTAGGAAAACGTAGAAGAAACCTCTATTCTAGTAAATTTCTATTCGAAGAATAGAAATTATTATGCCTTGGCCCCAATAGGCTTTGGCTTTCTGTTTTTTGCAGCCTCTATTTCCTCTTCTGTTTGTCCCTCGTATGGATAAGTATTGTATCCCCAGTCGTCCTTTCGATAAAAGAGAGAACGGTCGTAAGGCTTGAGTGGAGTCCCGTCCTTCAATCGCTGAACCAAGTCTGGATTCGAGACGTAATAGCGACTGAACCCGACTAACGTACGGTCGTTTTCAACGTCTTTAATCACCAGATTGAACTTTGGAGCATCATATGTGTAGTTTCCCGCCTTGAGAATGGTTCCCTTCCAAATATCTTCAACAAAACCATTGTCTCCAGTTTGGTCTTTGGTTTCAAGAGTAGTAGACCCATTGACTCTAGGCTCTACAATGGAAATGTAGGCTAACCGATTCCCGGCTTTAGCCCGTTTTTCAAGCTCGTGTAGCAAGTAGCTGTAGGTGGTCAATGGATGGGTATCACCATGAATACCAGGCATACCTTTAATAGTCACCCATGGAGAAAGACGAATAGCAAGTTTGTCAGCACCAACTATCGGAATAAGATGGTCAATGAGCTCCAACACAAACCTGGCTCTGTTCTCTACCGATCCACCATACTTGTCTGTCCTTTGGTTGGAGGTATCTTCCAAGAATTGGTGCAACAAGTAGCCGTGAGCATCATGTAACTCCAAGTAGTCGAACCCAGCCTCAACGGCATTTTTTGCAGCCGTGGTGTATTCCACATAAATCTGGTTGTGGATTTCCTCTTCGGTCAATGCTCTAATAGGATTATTCGCAGCCTCGGCTTCTTCCCGAGCATCTTTGTCGGGATAAATGGCTGAAGGTGCCAAGTAGGGTAAGCCTACTGCCTTCAAATCTTTGGGGTTATCAAGTCGACCCAAGTTCCAAAGCTGAATTGCAATAAACGAATTGTTCTCGTGAACCTTATCCACAATTTTTTTCCATCCTTTGGTGTGTTCTGGGGTATATATTCCCGGAACTCCTGCCATGGTTCCGGCCTGAGGAAATGAAAAAGTGGCTTCGGTGACCACAAGCGAACCAGCATACTTTGTTCTTTCGTCGTAGTTGCGCAATTGCAAGTTCGAAGGAGTCCGATCGTCCAATGCTCTGGTTCTTGTGGAGGGGGCATAAAAAATTCGGTTGGAAAGGAGGTTTTTTCCAACTTGAATCGGCTGGAAAACCTTGGTGTTTTTAAGTGGAGTGAAGTTTATTTCGGACATTAAACAGTTGATAACAATTAAAGTCAATTGAAGTTAATTAACTTGACTTTAAAGGGGCTAAATGATGCCACAATGTTTCGCTATAATTATTGTGGTGCGGCGCTGCATTAGTAAGACAATTTGCAACCAACGAGAAACGAAAATAAAATGAGAACGAGATAAGAATACATCGTATACTCCCTTCATCTACTCAATGAATTCTATTGTAAAATGAATCATCTATAAATTCTATGGTCTATTGAACTAGAAGTTCCTCAGGAACTCTCTTTTTTGCAACCTCAGCATCTTCCCTCTTCTTTCCATACTTTGGATAGTCGTTGTAACCAAAATCGGATCTGCCATAAAAGGTTGGTCTTTCATAGGGAGAGAGCTCGTGGCCCTTTTGGAGTCTTGAAATGAGATCGGGGTTGGAAATAAAGTACCGACTGAATCCAACAAGTGTACGATCGTCGGAAACATCATCGAGTAATTGACCAAATTTGGGTGCGTCGTAAGTATAATTACCAGCTTGCAAAATTGTTCCGTTCCACAATTCCTTGACAAAGTCATTGCTACCAACTTGGTCTTTTTCCTCGACATCAAGATTGCCGGCGACTCTTGGCTCAACCAAGGAAATGTATGCCAATCTGTTTCCAGCTTTAGCTCTCTTTTCCAACTCATGAACCAAGTAACTGTAGGTGGTTACTGGATGAATGGAGCCGTTAGCACCTTCCATACCTTGGAAAGCAGCCCATGGTGAGATTCTGATACCGAGTCTTTCAGCTCCAACTATGGAGATCATGTGGTCAACAAGTTCCAACACAAATCTCGCCCGGTTCTCAATGGATCCACCGTATTTGTCTGTACGCTTGTTACTGGACTCTTCAAGGAATTCATGCAATAAGTAACCGTGGGCAGCATGAAGCTCAATATAATCGAAACCTGCTTCCAATGAGTTTTTCGCAGCTTGGCCGTACTGGTCGTAAATCATGTGCTTGATTTCCTCTTCGGTCATAGCACGAAGTGGGTTTCCAGCCTTTTCAGCAGCTTTCTTGGAATCTTCGTCATAGTAAAGTGCCGAAGGAGCCAAGAATGGTAAACCGGCGTCTTTCAAAAGTGCTGGGTCTCCGGTTCTTCCCAAGTTCCACAATTGAATAGCTGCAAATGACTTGTTTTCGTGAATCTTTTCAACGATATGCTTCCATGCTTTAACATGTTTTTCGGTGTAAATACCAGGAACACCCTCGTACAAACCACCCTGGGCAAATGGAAAAGTACCCTCAGAAATTATCAATGTTCCTGGGAATTTGGATCTCTCGTCATAATACTTGACTGCCAAGTTGGAGGGAGTGTGGTCTTCTACTGATCTAGTTCTGGTCGTTGGGGGAAAAAACACTCTATGTGAAAGGGTATTCTTTCCAAGCTTAATGGGTTGAAAAACTTTTGTGTCACCTAAGGGGGAAATGTTCACAGACATAATTGATTAGAAGACGAGGGTGTATTTGGATATTTATATACCCTCGGAAAAGATTACAAATCGCCGATATCATGCCGAATCACGACACTTCGCTTACATTAGTAATATATTGCTGCAAATTTTGTGCAGATTTTTCTGCAGGTTTTTCATGCAGTTTGCAGCAATTGTGCGCACGTTTCGCGTTGCTGCATGGGGATGAGATGCAAGACAATAAGACCTGGAGGGACTAAACGAAGCTATATCATGAATCTACTGCAATCCATATACGTTTCGTTCGAAGAAAGTTCCTGAATGGTTGAATCCATTTTGAAATTGCCGATATGTCCGACCTGAAACTGATTGGGTTTTTGCACCCACCATTGATGGTCAATGAGCTCCATGACAAACCATTCTCTTTATCCACTGTACTTGACTGCCCTTGGTTGGAGTGCCTTCCCAGCCTCAAAACATTTTTGCAGTGGTGTATTGGTATAGCACAATGTTGCAATTGCAACCGCTACATACCAGCTCAAAACACCAGCTCGAAGCAATTTCTACTCAAAAAAATGTAATGACGCCTGAATTAAATAATCTCTATAACATAATATGACAATCTCTATACCACGAGTTCTTCAGGAACTCTCTTTTTTGCAACCTCAGCATCTTCCCTTTTCTCTCCATACTTTGGATAGTCGTTGTATCCAAAGTCGCTTCTACCGTAAAACGTTTCTCTCTCATAAGGGGCAAGCTGGTGACCCTTTTCGAGTCTTGAAATGAGATCGGGGTTGGAAATAAAGTACCGACTGAATCCAACGAGTGTACGACCATCGGAAACATCATCGAGTAATTGACCAAACTTTGGTGCGTCATAGGTGTAGTTTCCCGCTTTCAAGATGGTTCCCTTCCACAAGTCCTTGACAAAGTCATTGTTTCCAGTTTGGTCTTTTTTCTCAACAGAATTGATACCATCGACTCTTGGTTCCACCAAAGAAATATACGCCAATCTGTTTCCGGCTTGTGCTCTCTTTTCCAATTCGTTAACCAAGTAACTGTAAGTAGTCAATGGGTGCACCTCGCCATGAACGGACTTCATACCTTGGAAAGTAGCCCATGGTGAAATTCTGATACCGAGTCTTTCAGCTCCAACTATGGAGATCATGTGGTCAACAAGTTCCAACACAAATCTCGCACGGTTCTCAATGGATCCACCATATTTGTCTGTACGCTTATTACTGGACTCTTCAAGAAATTCGTGCAACAAATAGCCGTGGGCTGAATGAAGCTCGATATAATCGAATCCGGCTTCCAATGCATTCTTTGCAGCAATCGTATACTGCTCGTAAATCATGTCCTTGATCTCTTCTTCGGTCATGGCACGAAGTGGGTTTCCAGCCTTTTCAGCAGCTTTCTTAGACTCTTCGTCGAAATAAATCGCTGAAGGAGCCAAGAACGGTTTACCTGCTTTTTTCAAAAGTGCTGGGTCTCCGGTTCTTCCCAAGTTCCAAAGCTGAATAGATGCAAATGACTTGTTTTCATGGATCTTGTCAATAATATGTTTCCATGTTTTTGTTTGTCTTTCGGTCCAGATTCCAGGAACACCTTCGTACAATCCAGCTTGAGCAGATGGAAAAGTGCCCTCAGAAATGATTAATGTTCCGGGAAACTTTGATCTCTCGTCATAGTACTTGTATGCCAAGTTGGACGGCGTGTGGTCCTCCAAAGATCTGGTTCTTGTGGTTGGTGGGAAGAACACTCTGTGTGAAAGGGTGTTCTTTCCAAGCTTGATTGGTTGGAATACTTGTGTTTCACCTAAGGGATTGATGTTTACGCTCATGATATGTTGGATGTCGAGGGTGATCTGGATCCTTATATACCTTCGAAACAATTACAAATTGCCGATATCTTTCAGATCCGATTACACATTTGCTTACATTTGTAATTTTGCTGCAAATTCGCAGCCTTCGCGGTTACCGCATTGGGTGAGACATCGAACAAATTCATACCAGAAGACCCTGTAATAGAAATGATTTTAAACTACTATGACATTCAGACTACTATGATGTCACTGGTTTCAGAAACTAATCACAATTCTTTGGTCGACTAATTGAACTATAACGTCGAAAAGTCCTTCATGAAAATGCCGATATGTCCGAACCGTGAATTAGCTCAGCCGAATTTCTGACAAAATTTCTTCCGCGGGTATCGGTTATCGGCTACAATTGCTAAAGTTACAAAAGTGGCTTTGACACGTAACTAGAATCTTCTGAGATCTGCAAGAAAAAGACAATTGGCTTGGCTAGTGTAGTTGAGCAATTTTTCTCTTACTGCTTTCAGTAGATCAATTGGTTCGGCCGAGCCCAAGTGGGTATTACCGACAACGGCTGCGGCTGATGTCAAGCGTAAGCTCTAAATAAGTAAGTGCTTCCTCAGTAAGGCTACGTTACGCAATAAGCAAACCGGTATATTCTATCTCTACGATTCTATCTCACGATTAAAGCTTAAATGCCTTTTCAAGCTCGGTGAACACAAATCTGTATCTCACGTCACCAGCCTCACATCTGTCCAAAGCCTTGGTCACGTTTTCTTCGCTGATAGGAACCTTTTCGATCCATGGCTTAACACCCTTATCGGCGGCAATTTGAAACATTTTCAAAACTTCCTTCTTGCTTCCCAAAGCAGTAGCTCCGAAACTACCTCCGGTGGAAAGGAAAGTGAAGGGACTAACAGAAAACTTTTCTGAAGTGGGTGGAAGTCCAACGGAAATGAACTTACATTCCACTTTGGAAACGTTCAAGTAGTGGTCCAAGTTCAAACCTTCAACACCAGAACCACAGTTCAACACCATGTCGAATTTGTCCAGGTATTTCTTGTACCAGTCCTTGTCTTCGGCCGTAGCAACAAAGCCTGTAGCACCCATATCCAAAGCTTGCTGCTTTTTAGACGAGCTTCTAGAAAATGCCCATACTTCGGCACCGATAGCATTGGCAAACTGAATAGCCAAATGGCCCAATCCACCAATACCGATAATGGCTACGGATTTACCCTTGGCGTCGTAGCCCAAGGTTCTCACCAAAGGAGAAAATACTGTCAAACCAGCACACATCAATGGAGCAGCAACGTATGGATCCAAGTTTTCAGGAAGAGGGAAAACGAACATTTCATTGGCAATGGAATGCGATGAGTAACCACCTTGCGACACGTATCCGTCTTGATACTTGCTGTTATAAGTTCCAACACTCTTACGACAATATTGTTCGTTATCGTGTTGACAACGGTGGCAAGTCATACAAGAACTGGACTTGGCACCAATTCCAACTCTCTGGCCAACTTTGATCAGCGTAACTTTGTCACCAACGGAGATAACATCACCCACAATCTCGTGTCCCACAACGAGACCCTTACGGTTCAAAGGAGCCCAATTTCCTTGCAAAGTGTGAATGTCCGAGTAGCACAAACCACAAGCAATGTTCTTCACCACAACATCATTAGGACCAATTGATTTTCTCTCATACTCAACCAACTTGGGTTTATTCCAGTTTTCTTTATCGTCGACTCCAAAACCTTGAAATTTATCGGGTACGGACATTATATACAAAATAAAATACCTTGGTGGATATACCGTTGTAGTCGCGCCCTTAAATGGTGCGACGGTTGCGGCGGCTCACATTGACATTTATAAGCCGACGCGCGATGAGGTAATGTCGGTTAAGATAACGGCACAAAGCTGCAACGGAGTTAGCGAAGAAAGAAAAGAACGGTACAAAATTGATTAGAGAATGACGGAAGAGAGTCGAAGTAGTCAGATTAATTAGCAGAATGAAAGTTTGGATTTTTCGACCGTTTAGTTTCGGAGTCGGAGCTGTCAAAATTACTCTGTGCAGGTAAGCGCCGTAGGCCCTATAACGGCGTTAATAACGGCGAAAATATAACGGCGTTTAATACTGCAAGATTTATGACGTAGAATAGAAAGGGGTAGTATACACTTTACAAAGAAGTTAGAAAAAGTACTTATTGGCATTATTCATCACATGCGACAAGTAATGGTAACAATGAAATAGAAATTAATGCCATTATCTATATAATGTGTCTAACTAAAGTGCACCATTCTTAGCTTTCTGATGAAGCCAAAATGACTCAGAAAACTCCTGTACAAAGATCAATGTATAAACTTCGACTAAGATTCTAGAATTAGCTCAATGAAGAGATATAGAACGACTGATGAATTTCTTCCTGCTAGTTTAGCATTACCTGGAGTTTTTCTTGAAGCCCAATTTTTGGCTGCAAATTCTTGGTTCACCATAATTGACTTTCAAAGGTTACTCCATTAAACTCCACGTCTTTGTCTCACTTTGTCTTTCCACCAGTGAGATTCTATTGTGGATTTCTTGCGACTAAAGTGGTTTTATGGTTGATCAAAATTCTCATTTTGAATGGAAAACCTCCAAAATTTTGGTAAAATTGTGCTTGTTCTCGCCTCAGAGAAGTTATCAGAGGCTGAATCGTTAGTTTAGTGTATAATTTAGGTTACCTGTTTCTATTCGTGGCTTGACAACGGAATGAAACTCATAAGAATTCTCAGAAGACTTGCAAATAGTAATCAACTGAACATTTCCGTATCGTGATCCATGGCACCACGTTCTCCAGAAGTTGAAATTTTATCAAAGGTTCAAGCTGATAAGAGTGTTGACTCTATTTGTGTAATTGCAGAAATTCAAAATTTTGTGAGTTTGAGCAATTGCAGGCTAAAGCGGAGATGCCTCTCTAAGGAGTAAACTTAGTGCGTTGCACCAATTACATACAAATTCTTTCGCACCATTTTCCGATTTTCAAGTTGTTTAAATTACTCTAAGGAATTTCCAGTAAACCTATCAAGTGATTTTCTCTATAGCAATAGAAGAATCAGTGAACACTAGTGAACCAGTTAAGTTGTAACAAGCATTAACTAGTATGATCACTTGGTCAGCTAGTGGCTTCCATGGTGAACTTACAGGTCAATCACCAATTCTGTAATTCATCCATTGCATTTCGCCTGGACTGCCTGATTCCAAACTTTCTAGTCCCACTCTTTCAGCTCGCTCCTGTATACCGCGCCGCGCATCGCTTGATTCACTGCCAATGTCGTGTCCATGTCGCGTCTATACCCATACCCTTTGGTGCATGCCAAAAAGTGCGCATGGCTAGCGATTGCAGCGAAAATCACTTTGTCCCTTTTTCCTTCATCACTTTTGATTTTGTTTTTGTAGACCTGTTTTGGAAATCCTGAGTCCCGCTGCCATCAAGGTTTTGCAGCTATACCAATCATGGTCCTCTATAAACGCAAACATGTCACCTACGTACGACCCCCGCCAATTCCCGACGACTTGAACACACAAGTGTTTTACATTCCCGCCACCAAAGAGTGGTTCTACACCTATGAGGAATATATAAAGAGGCTAGATTTCTTCCAACAACGGAAATTCGTTTGTGAAATAACCGGCAACTCATGCTTGACTTTCTTTCAAGCTCTTGAAAGTGAAAAACGAGAGATCAAGGGAGTGGAAAAAAACTTCCCCGAGGCTCTACGAGAACATATTCTTCGGTTTCTTCAGTTTAATCGTATCACTAGACTCGATCATTTGGTGGATAAGGTGTATCTGTCGTTTCGAAATGACTATTTTCCTGGTGAAACTATCTACATAAAAGGTGCCATCGTTCCTGATCACAACGGCTCCTCGGCTGGTGGTCCCGTGGGTAAGCAACGTGGAACCATACGTGAAAAAGTTCAGTACTCCAACCCTGCCGATGGACTCACCACAAAATACTTGGTGGTGCGACTTCACGATATGCAACAGGCAATTGTCACTAAAGACAAAATCTCACGGGACCGCAATCACTTTACAAAATGGCTAATCAAGACGTTTATCAAGTTGACCATGACTCGATCTCCCAAAGTTGGAGCTCCATGGGTGGTTAAAGAAAAGTATGCCAAAAAGTACCGTATACCACAAGAATTTCCAGACGACTTACGCCACTATAAATGGTCCACACCCACTGCGGACGTTGTCTTTGAAGGCGACTCAGCTCTCCCGGAAATGCCCGACAGCGAACAGGAGTCCTTGGCAATTAAACGGGCTCTTGAAGCCAGTAAACGTAACAAGAAAAGTCTAGGTAAGGGAAGAAAGAAACCCGCCCTCAATAATCTTTTGGACGATTCCACCCCAGACGGTGGCGACGCCCTCGATTTCAAACCCACAGATCCCACAAAACCTCTTCCTACACACTACTTGCCTGATAAACTTCAGCGTGAACTCGATTTCGACGACTCAAAATTAGACTCGATTCAACCCACCAAGAAAAATGTTTCTGAGGACTTGGACCTCAGATTTGACCTACAGAATACGAAGCCACAACCAATGGCACCTCAACTTAGCGCCAATGCGTTGAAACACACACAGGCATTGATCGCTCGACGCCAACAAGAAATAGACAATCTCAGTGAAGCCGAAGACGAAGTGTCAGAAAAAGTCAAAATGGACCCCACATACCGAGAGTTCTGTGAACTGGAAATTTACAGGCTTCAGCGTTCACTCTCCTTTTCTTGTGTACAAGAAGCATTGGAAACTTGGTCGTTTCTCAACATATACCACCGTGCACTCAAGTTGGATACCTTTACGTTTGATGATTTCATTTACGCAATGGGGTGGACATGGGAGGAGTACGAAGATATAGGCCGATGTGAGCTCGTTGACGAAATCTGGTGTGCTGTGTTGGGTGCTTTTGTCTCCAATGAGCTCCCCACTTCTCTGGATGATGATGACGATGATGACGAGGTCTTTGGTTTGCTCGTGAACTTACCGGATAATGAAAAGGTGGAACCTGAGGAACCGGAGCTCAAGGCTCTGACTCCACTAAAGGAGGAAACTCCCGTGAACGAAGTGAAAAAGGAAGAAGAAGCAGACAATGATCGAGATACAAAGTCGCCAAGCGATTCTCTGGAAGACGAAGAAGAGGAAACATCTCATAATGCCTATAAAATAATGAACTACAGAGGAACTCCATGGCATGATCGACTTCGAAAACGTAATTTCAAAGAAGGAAATTGGCAAGGTATCCTTCTAGGTGTATTATCAACGGTGGAATACGTTCCGGAATATCAGCAGTTGATTACTCGTGTATTCAAGATACTTGCACCTCCAGACCTACCAGCGAATCCCAGCACTACATTAAGCCAGTTTTACGACTCCTTTGATTTTGAGCTGCGATTACAAACATTATGCCTTCTCGTCACCCTATTATCCAATGGTACGATAGTGCGTCGTTACATTGACGAATGTCTCGAGCAGTCTACTGTATACCGCCGAAGTAGGTTGGATAACATAAGAGACTATAAGGCCATGATGGATGTCGCTATCGGGTATCACGAGCAACTAGAGCAGGTACGAGCTGAGTTGGAGGACAAGCTTAACAAGGAGAACAACGGTGTTGCTGAGGAAGTTAAGGATACGAAGAACACATCTGAGGATAAGAAACGTGCAAAGTTGAATTTGTTGGCGTTTGAAATGAATGATGACGACAAGAAGTTTGCCGATGTGAGCGACGATTATAGAACGGTATGGGAATCACGAAAAGAAACATTACAAAAAATGGAGCAGATTAGAAAGGAGAGAAGACAAATCGAACGCAAACTAGTGGAACTTGACAGCCAAAGATTAAAGCTTTTGGGAAAAGATCGTTTGTTCAATAGATATTGGTGGTTTGAAAACAACGGCTTACCAACATTACATGGAACATCCAAAGATGAAGACAATGACGATGAAGAAGTTGCTGAGAGAAATGACGACGATTCCGACGTAGATGACGGTGAAATAATTGACGAGACATATCTTATGGGAACATTATGGGTTCAAGGACCCTCCAAGGATGATGTTCGTATTCACCTTGAGCTTTCTGAGACAGAAGCTGAACGACTTGGCAACTCCACTGAGCAACTCAACAAGGATGTGAAATTCCATGTTCCTCCATCTGAAGATAAAGTTGTGTTGAACGACTTGGATTTCACGAACATCCCTGCTTCTTTTAGCACTTTAGCTGCAACCTACGAAGTAACTTTTGACAAAAACTCCGTTTTTGTTGGACTGAAGGAAGAAAGCTTTTTGGACCAATGGGGATGTCTTCGCAGAGATCATCGTTTGATAACACCTGTGCAAAGAAAACTATTAGAGGAATACCCAAGTCCCCTATTCAACGGAAACAATTGGCGTGTCTACACAGAACCAGACCAGATCCAAGAGCTTCTCAACTGGCTCAATCCTTGGGGAAAGCGCGAGTCGCAGCTTCGCAAAGAGTTGGTGGTAGTTGGCGATGCTATAAAATTGAGTATGGAAGCAAGAAAAAAGGCCATGTGGCTTGCAACTGACAATGGCACCGTTAACGGCACGAAACAAACAGAACAAAAACCTGAAAATGAAGCTGAAAGTGACGACGAGATAAATGTGTCGGCTGGAAAGCGAAACAGACAATCAACGGGAAGGAGAAAGAAAGCGAATATATCCGACTCGGGCAGCTCAGACGAGGAAACGAGAGTACCAATTACTCGAGAACTTAATAGGGCACTCGAGTGGATGAACTCTTTGGCGAGAGACGAACTAGAGAAACTGTTGTACGAAGGAGGCGACAAAGCAAAAACAAAGGGAAGGAAGAAGAAATGAATATATATGTATTATAGCGGTGTCAAAGTGTCATAAATTGTCATTAGTATTATTGTCTTCTCGCTCTCTTTCCACCGGAGCCATGTTCGTGTCGCCTATATTTATCGTTACGGGCAAGCACAGCTAGTTCGCGTAGCTTTTCCTCTTTTTCCTTTTGTTCTCTTAGAGCTTGTTCTTGTCTCATTTTGTTGCGCATCGAAATTTCTACTCTCGCTTCTTTATCTGCGTTCTCGAGAGCATTGGACAAGGCAGAAAACTTTTCAACATTTAGACCATCTTGAGAATGTTCTTCTCCAGCAGTAGCAGCACTAATACGATCTTCCAACGATAAAGCAAACCCCTGGTTATTTTTCCAATTGGAAACCGCAGCTGGAATTTTCCATTTTTCTCGGTCTTCTTTTGTCAACTTTTGCGTAGCCGAAGAGGTATCTTTGAGAATAGGAGGTGGGGGAGATGGCTCACGGTGGCGGTTCTTACGAAGCTTGAATTTGGGTGGAAGCATAGGATCTTCTTGAAGCGTTCGTATTTGGATGGTTCGTTCTTCTTGGTCATCTCCTGTGGAATATTTGATTGAAACTTCCTGGTCTTTCTTGGAATCGTCTCTGTTGTAGCCCAATAGCTTATCAATCACCTGCTTTGTTGCGGAAACACAATTCTGGACTGAATCATCCGGACATGTTTCCCATGTATATCTTGGAAAATGATGCTTGAGATTGGGGTGTCGTTTTTTTAGCGGAATGGAATCTTCATATGTTGCTTGTACCTTTCTGGTAGTTACTTCCGTTGCAGAAATGACTTTTTGATTCAGTTTATATAAATTTAGTTCTCTTGAAGAATTATTGTTTTTCTCACTGTCTTTGTCAGTTTGCTCTATCCAGCTTAAACGTCCACCAGAGCTCTCAGAGATGTTGGTAGTGGCCACAAGTACTGGCTGCAAGTATGCCGAGTGCTTGGGCTTCGGAAGAAGCGAACTTAGCATCAATTTCGTATTAGTTCTACAATCTCAATTTGATTGAAAATATTCAGTGCTGCATATAAATGTCATAAGTACGGTTGCAACTTCTACTCTAGAAAATGCCAAATCTCTGGCAGGTTTGAAATATCCATATGCCCATCTTGCTAAGCTTCACAGGCCTCACATGATTTTCATCGACTGGTTTGTCGAATACTAGGTCGTCACTCGTAATTCTTTTCGCTCCGGCGAGCCTAATGAAAAGCAGAAATAAACCGCTAACCGTTTTCTGCCAAAGTGAGATTTTGACTTTGTAGTGTGGGCTTTTTTCCTTTAGAAGCGATGTCGAATCGTCTATTGATTCGAGCCTTTCTTGTTGCTCGGAAACGAAATCAACCATCTTTGCTGGATCGTCGGAAATCACACCCATTTCGGGCAATCTATAAGCCTTTTGCAAAGCCAAAACGTACTGTAATTGTTCTTTGGTGTTCACGGTCCATGAATAGAGACCCATGTTGTACTTTCGAAGTAAGGGAACAAACTTCAAGACAAAGTCGGTGTTCCATGTCAGTAAATACAATATCGAAATGCCGGTCACTTTGAGTTTGATTCTATCGTCTGGCTGTTGATCGAGGTACTCATTGAACGCAATATAGTGTAAGGAGTCTTTCCAGGATACTGAGACATGAAAGAGATTAACTTGACTTTTTGCATCGTGAAAAGTTTTCTGGAAAAACTGGTGCTGGTTCAAATACTTGACCATAGTGAGATCCCAGACCCCTAATTGGATGCGTGGAAGCCAATAGTTGATATCGTTTTTCACTTCAAGGATATTCAACCACAAGTACCGGAGAATCTTAGGAGGATTAAGCCGTTTAATGTCCAACATGATTTTGTACTCTTTATGATCTCCTTTGGTTTCTATGAACGTGACGAACCATTCTAGAACATCACGAAACCTCAAAAGCTTCTCACCAGTTTTAGTTCTCAAATCTTTCAATTCGTCAAAATTGGAGTGCAAGATATTGTGGTCAGCAGGTGTTCCATCTGGTTCCACAAACACACGTTTTGTGTTCACATCGTGCGATATTACCACCTCGTTGTCCTTGGTCAAAAACACATCGGTCTCGATATTGGTGGCTCCTGACTCATAACACTTGGAAAAACCATAGAGAGTATTCTCGGTGAACTTGGCCTTATATCCGCGATGGCCCGCAACCACGAGATCTGGAACCAGAGAAGATATATTACTCATTTCCGACTATATGGAACGCTGGAGGTTCATAAAGTGCTAATAGCTAGTGTATTCTTTAAAAAAAAATGTCCCCTTTTCTACGCCACATTACGTTCTCCACGTTTCGACTATATACCGCACCTCGAGGCTTATTGTCCTGCACGTCATGACGTGATGCTTCTCTGCGCCAACCGGCCGCACCAAAGTACGTTTTAGGCAACTTCCATTACAATTTGCTGTTTCCGGCCTGGTCAACTACCATCCGGATCAACAGGTACGCAATGGACTCAGGATTGGGCAAGTTTATGCCCTCTGGGTTGTCCATAGCTTTTCTCTCGTAAATCAATTGACGCACAAATTCCATGTCGAACCAACGGGCATCAGCGAGTTCTTTGTCGTGGCCCAAATTGATATTTTCGTTCACGCCGTTGAATTCGACTTCTGCCAAGCATCCGATCATGAGATTGGCAGGAAACGGCCATGGTTGTGTCAACATCATATTAATTTTGCGACACACCACTCCGGTCTCTTCCCATATTTCACGGCCTGTAGCTACTTCCACAGTCTCTGCTGGTTCCATAAACCCAGCCGTGCACGAGTACATCTTTAGGTCTGCGTATCTCTTGGATAAAGAAAGAAGCATTTTAGTCTTATCTTGGTTTGTAATAGCAGTGATAATCACCGCATCTGTGCGTGGAAAAGATACATTGGAAATTGGTGCTGCTTTGACAGGACAAGCACCCTCGCCTTCCTCTTTAGGGTTGGTACACCTGAGCTTACCTCCCGCATGGATGGGAATCACCTTGGATCCGCAACCTGGGCAAAAAAGATTTCTTGCTAACCAGTCGAGAAATTGCTTGCCATGAGAGAATAACGCACCTTCTTTGTCTTCGAACCCAAAAAAATGTTTTCTCGAATAAGTGAAAAAGATCGAGTCTTTCTCGACCCCAAGCGAGCTGTAAGCTGTAGCAATGATCTCTTTCTCGAGTTGACTGGATTTGGTCAAATCAACAGCAAAATACGGCACCCCTTGGTACCTTCCTTGGTAGTCAAGAAACTTTTCTTTCTCGTCGTCTTCTTGCAGTTTCAACGATTTCAAGTCAAGACCAACAGTCTCGTCCTCTATACCCATGAACAATATAGTGGGAGCTTCGCCGTCTCTCATGGTAGGCTCTTGGTCGGCGTTATCTTTGGACCATTTTGTGATTGCTGAGTTCCAAAAATCGTGTTTCCGAAGAACACTATTGTCGAGCACCACGAGTTTTTTATCGCTGTTTTTCAGAACCAACGGATTGGTTTCCTTGAAAAATATAAACTTGGCCGATTCATGGAATATTGCCGATGTGATAAAGTCGCTTTCTTCACGCATAAAACTTATTCTATTTAAAGTTTCATGACCAAAGTATACACTTTTCTGCTGCTCCTCCAAGCTCTTATATACATGAGACATCTTGCTGTAAATCTGGGATCGTTTAAGTGGCTGAGAATAATACCGAAACCCTAAAGACGCCAAGTGAAGGTTGGGTTTCATACGTGCGGTAGAATTGGCTGCGATATTTGTAATCGCCTATATACAGGATGTGATATACAGTACCGATAACTGCTGATAACAGCTGCTGTCTAGCAAGCAATCGCTGCTTCAGCTGTACTAGCTGTAGTCTGTTTTCTTTCTCTTTGTTAGTACTCAGAGCCTGACTTTCTCTTCCTGGATTTCAGAAGTCTAACGTCTGTAATCATTGGTATCATCATCATACTTACTATCCCACTGTAATGCCTTTTTTCACCACATTTGGCAACCCTTTGATCCACGACTTTCCTGTCTTCTTATCTATAATCACAAATACTCGGCCCGACTGTCTCATCCGTCCAGTACGGCCCACTCTATGCATGAGATCCACAGATGTGTTTGGCAAGTCCATCAAAATCACATTCTTGATGCCCACAAAGTTCATACCTCTAGCCATTAGATCGGTCGTGACCAAGACCTTGATTTTGCTTTGGTCTATATCGTCTTCCACCAACTCTGCTGGCTTCAAAAATGGTTCTAGTAAACCTTTTCTCTCTTCTGGCTTAGTATCTCCAGTGATACCAACAATGTCCTCGGCCCGATTGCCGTACTTTTTCACCAAAACGTCCACGAGTGGAGCTACGTCTTTCTTTTCGTTGACGAAAACGAGTATTCTCTTCACATAACCGGCCTCTGTTCCGTCGTTATGAATAGCATAAAGCGCTTGGGCAAGACACCGGGTCTTGGACCCATTATAAGGTGAGACCTGGGCATCGATGATCTTCACCACAATCTGGCGAGGAATCTTGTGCAATGCTGGAGTGTTGATATGTATAATGGATTTTTCATCGGGAAACATTTTGGAAAGTGTGCGGTTGAACTGTTTGGGAATGGTCGCCGAGCAGAAAACAAGATCTTTGCACTTGGTAAGCCTTCGAAGCACCGCCGTAGTATCGTCAACCCACGAGTTATCCATGAGAGTATCGGCTTCGTCGACGACACAATATTGGACATGATTGAAAAAACGAAATGGTCGGTCCACATTTTGTAATTTTGCAAGTCCCTGAATCTTTCCGGGCGTGGTTACAAGAACGTCTACCCGTTGCTTGATTCCATCAAACAAAACTCGATGCGAGTCACCGGCGCCAAACTTTTTAATGTTGAGATGAAGACCATTGAGCTGATCTGGTGCCTTTAAAAACCGGGCATATTTTGCATCCGACAACAATTTGGGGTCCACCACTTCGTCCGTGGCAAATTTCTGGTCATTAGCTGACCTGAGCGTGTTATAAACCTGGTCCACAAGTTCATGAGTAGGCAAAACTACCAAAGCCCTAATTATGGGAGCCGCCTTCGCCTCGGCGTATGTAGCTTCAGATATATTAAAGAGCTCCATGTCTTCTTCCTTTAACTTTGTGAGCATAGGGGCCGTATATGCCCATGTTTTACCGGAACCAGTTTCGGCGGCAATGGTGAAAACTTTGAGTCTTTTGGCATCATTTTGAGCCATGAGTTCACTAAATATTTCTGCCCCCAGTTGCGGTGTGCGTGACTTGGTCGACTTGATGTTTCGTGGTTGATTAATCTTTCGAATTGCAGCCACCTGAACCGGTGAAGGCTTGATCTCAAGGTCATCTTTAGAAGCCATATAAGTATTCTTAAAGTTGTAACCTCGTTTGATCTCTTGCACCATGGCTGCCCTGACGGTAGGAAAAATCCTGAGTGAGCTGAATGACGAAATGGACTCTATGGCTTTCCGAGAGGTCTCAATTGTCTTAATTTGGGGGAGATGTAAGCCAGAAAAGTTGCCAAACAGAAACACCTGGCGGGGCTGTTCCAAGGTTTTTCGAGAGGGTGCACGGATTAGCTGAGCATTTTTTGTCTTCTTGTAGGCTCGCTTGGCGTAGAACCGGACTTGCAACCTCGACGTGCACACAAAATTTTGCGTTATTGTCGTTAAAAATGAACTCATATCATCGTTTGAAGCTAAAGAAAAATGCGATGCGAAAATTATTGTAGACACCCGGTTCTATGTGCAGTGCCGCGAAATGCTCACTGGTCGAAAAATTTGAGACCAAGGTTTCCAAACCGCACCATGTTAGGCTTTGGGACATGCTGGCTTCCAGCCTCGAATCGGGCACTTTTGGGACCATGTTCTCGACGTTCGTTCACAGTGTCGTCAGCTAGCTTCGCAAAAGCAGCTCCAAGCAAAGACGGCAAAAAAAAGGTCAAACAAGGGTTCAAGTTGAAATCAGACCCAAAAGCTAAAAAGGTTAAAAAGGGAGGTATGACCCATCTCACCTTCAGAGACGCCGTCCGAGCACTCAACTTTGAAAAACTGGCGGTAGATTTTTCCAAATTGGAAATTGGGACTCTTAATTTCGAAAAGCTCAACGACCTGAAGGATAAAGTCGTCAAGTATTCCGACGCCGCAGAATCAAGTTTGACTCAGCTTGACACCTTTAAGAAGTACCAGCACCATGAAATGTTCAGCAAGCCAGTCTCCATGGTTTCTGATAACACAATGAACCTCGAGAACACATTCATGTCCAAATTGGAACAAGAAACAAAGACCAATAGAATGTGTCTCGTTGGAGAAAAAGGCGTAGGAAAGTCGCTGTTGGTGGCACAAGCACAGGCATTGGCGCTTTCCAAGTTCAATGGTGACGTAGTCTTATTACATCTTGACTATCCCGAGAAAGTCATCGAAGGTTCAAGCGACTACATTTTCAACAAAAGATTGGGATTATACCAGCAACCCATGTTCACTAAAAGATGGATCAAAAAGTTGCGTGCAGCAAACGAGACCGTACTCCGTAAACTTCCATTGACACGCGACTCCTCATTCGTCGCCAAAAAGGTGGAGTACAACTTGAAGAAGGGGGAAAACACCTTGTATGATTTCTTGGTTTACAACCATGATTTCGGCAAAGTAGGACCTTCTACTGCCTTCCAATTCTTTGTGGAAGAATTGATGCATCATTCGGCCCAATTTCCTATTCTTGTGACCATTGATAACTTCAATGCTCTCACATACGATACATACACGCAATACCGTCATCCCGACTTTACTCGTATTCACTTCACCGAGTTCGAGATGGGATCTTTTCTCCTTAAATTGGCTAGTGGAGATCTCAGCTTCAAAAAGGGAGGAATCTTGATGGCTGAAAGCAAAGACATTTCTTACTCCCACACTTTACCAGTTGCCTTGAATCAAGAGCAATACGATCCATACTGGAAAACCAACCAATGTGACCGCAAAGTAGCTGAGTCTCTTTTGCTGAATGGCGGTATAACGCCGTTTGAAGTCCAGACTTTGAACAAGGACCAAACTAGAGAGTTGATGGAGTTTTGGGAGGCTGCGGGAGTTTTGCAAGTACGAGACTACCCAAGTAAACCCGACCATCGCACATCCGAAGAAATTATCAAAGAAAGGGAAGAACGCTTGGCGTCAGAAATTGTTGATTCCGCTCCCGAAGAAGATGCCGAACAGCAGTTTGAGCGGATAGTCAACACCCATTATGTCATGAGTTCAGGCAATCCTGGACATCTTGTCAGGGCTGTGAATATAAGCTACTAAATTGTCTACACTATCCATGAGATATCGTGTTGACCCAAGGGCCATGTAAATAGCTAATGTACAACTACGTTAGGTGAACAAGGTGTCCTCGTCTCTCAAGTACTCTCCTATGTCTCCCTGTCTGAATGCAACGATGCCTGTAGGCGCCAAGTTTTTCGTCTCGTTGGTGGACTTCGCACTGACTCCAAATCCCAAAGGTACATCGTTCATCGAGTATACGATCACTCCAGCGTGCTCCGGGATGTTTTCTGTTATTCTTCCGATATGTGCTTTCAATACATGGTTACCATAAAGGAATGGCATTTCTCCATTTTGTTTGATCCATACTTTGAATTTGGCATATTGAGCCAAATACGTCAACGACGTTATATGTAATCTAAATTTTCCAGTCTTGGTGAACTTTCCAAAGCAAACACCCAACGACATAAGCTGGTGTCTTGATACTGAGGTTGCAAAGTTGGCAACGGTTTGAGAAACATAGTAAACCCTGTCTTTTTGGAGTCTGAAAACATGGGGATCAGTAGGGTTGTCGACCAAAAAAGTGATGTTTCTACCGATGTAGCTCGCTAGCTTTTCGAAAACAACCTTAGTTTCCTCCTCGGTAAGTGCCCTCATCGTGGTAGTTGGTAGGTTTACTGAGAAAGTTGGCTGGGATAATTTTTCAGTCGCGGCACGACCCCGATGAGCGATGAGATGGCCCTAGGGCCGGCGCTGCGACCGGAAGTGTTATGGACCCACGACAAGAAATCACCACAGGCCACGAAAACGCTAGCTCTGTCAGGGAAAATGAACAAGGTGATGACAGTGTGTACAAGCGTGGCCAGGCGAGCAAATGGACTCGCGGGCGCAAAGGAGACCGTCAGAATGGCGGCGATCGTAAGCGGGCCAAACCGGGCAAAGAGCCTCGAGTTCCGAGGGAACGAGAGAGAGACTACACTACGTAGGTATGTTCAATTGCATTGAAAATGGTCGTTACTAACAGCAGAGAGTATGTTCCTCGTTTAGACGAAAACGGCAATCCCATTCCCAAATCGGAGAGAAAACCAAAGAAAAAAGTGGCATGTATGATTGGATACTGTGGAACCGGTTATAATGGAATGCAGATTCAAAACAACCCCGATGTGAAAACTATCGAAGGAGATTTGTTTGATGCTTTTGTGAAGGCAGGGGCCATTTCGCCCGAGAATGCTGACGATTTGAAGAAAAATGCGTTTATGAGAGCGGCTAGAACCGATAAAGGTGTTCACGCAGCAGGAAACGTTATTTCTTGTAAATTGATCATAGAAGACCAGGATATCTTGCAGAGGATCAACAGTCACTTGCCAGACCAGATTCGGGTGTGGGGCATTGAAAGAACAAACAAATCTTTCGACTGTAGAAAAATGTGCTCGTCAAGAGTATACGAATATTTGTTGCCAACCTACAGTTTGCTTCCTCCCAAACCTAAAACTGTTCTTGCGGAGCTTGTGCGTAAGGCCAGGGAGGACCATCCTGGAGTCCTAAGAGAAGATACTGAAGGTTCCGAGTGGTGGAAAAATACTGCCCAAGCCATTCGCGACGCTGGGATTACTCAGGAAGATTTAGATGCTGCCCAGGCGGCTCTAGAACTGTCCAGCAGTCTGTCTGGAGAAACCAAAGTAAAGACACACAACGAGAATGGCGAGATTACTGATATGGGAAGACTTATTAAACTGATAAAGGCAATTGAAAACCAACAAAGAAGAGCCTATAATGTGTCCAATGAAAGACTCAACTTGTTCCGTGAAGCCATGAAATTGTACGAAGGTTCACACAACTTTCACAATTTCACCATTGGAAAACCATTTAAAGACGCTTCGTCCAGAAGATACATGAAGGAAACAACAGTATCAAATCCATTCATTATTGAGGGAACCGAATGGGTTTCGATCAAGATTCATGGTCAATCATTCATGCTCCACCAAATCAGAAAGATGATAGCCATGGCTGTTTTGGTGGTCCGTACCGGGTGTCCAATCACCAGAATCAAGGACTGTTTTGGACCTACCAAAATTAACATTCCCAAGGCTCCTGCTCTTGGACTTTTACTTGAAAATCCGGTGTACGAAGGCTACAACGGAATGTTGGAAAAATTTGGATATAACCGAATTGACTTTGAAAAGTACAAGCAGGAAATGGATGCTTTCAAAATGAAGTACATTTATGACAAAATCTATGCTGAAGAAGTGAAAGAAAATACATTTTATGGCTTTTTCGGGTTCATCGATACCTTCAAAGCAGGCGGAGATTCGAAGGAAGGAAAGCACATTTTTGACTTTTTGGGAGCGGTTTTTGAATCGGGTCTTGATGAGAACGGTAATGTTGTTGGTGGCTACGAGGAAGAGCAAGTGGAGGTAAAGGCGCAAGATAATGTAGATTAGGTAGCGAATTGATTCAGATTATTTAAATTTAAACATTGATTCTAGCAGTATTTATGCAATAACAACCCCATTACAACCAGAAATCACGATCCTCGTTGGATGTCTCCTTGGTATCCTTACGCCCCAAGATCCTAGGCTTGTTCTCCTCTTGAAACGATCTTTGGTAAGCAGGGCTGGCATACCCTGGCTTTTTCAGAACCATTGGAGAGAAAGCTTGTGGTTGAGTAGTAGGGTTCAGTTGTTGAGGCCGAGACAGAAAAGGTTGCGGTGTGATACCCTGCATTGGCAGACCGGTAGCAGGTATGTTCTGAGTGGGTTGTTGCGATATGATTTGCGATTGGTTGTGAACCTGTACCAGGGTTTGTGGCTGCATAGTTTGATTCGACTGGTTCTGTTGGATTTGTACTTGTTGGTATGCCTGGTCATCACGTTCTTCTTCTCCCTGATTCTTAACCATATCCCTCTGCTTCTCTTGTTGGAACTTGTAAAGGGTCCAGTCGAAAACATAATCGTAACGATAATTCTCACGCTTGAACAAGTCACGGAACAACTTTCTCAAGTAAGGGTAATCGGGCTTATCTTCGAACCGCAAAGTCTTGATGTAATTCATATAATCCAAAAATTCCTTGGGTAAACCTTTGGTCAAGATATCATTGGGAGTAGTCATCTTCTTTTCCATGATACGATCATACTTTTGACGCTTGGTAGCAGCCTTCAATCCTTGCCATGGCAACGACCCTTTGCAAAAGTAAATCAATACATAACCCAAACTTTCGAGATCATCTCTTCTCGATTGCTCAATCCCCAAATGGGTATTCACCGATGCATATCTTGCGGTACCCGTCAAGTTCTTGTTCTCTCTATAAGGAATATGCAAATGGGTTCTAGGATCTCTATATTTCTTGGCCAAGCCAAAATCAATCACATTGACTTGGGACCCCCGTCTGCCGATTCCCATCAAAAAGTTGTCGGGTTTAATATCCCGATGGATGAAGCAACGGGCATGGATATACTCTATGCGGCAAATGAGTTGGTCTGCAAGAAGCAACACTGTTTTGTAAGTGAATTTGCGATTACAATAGTTGAAAAGGTCTTCCAAAGAAGGTCCCAACAAGTCGATCACCATGGCGTTGTAGTCACATTCAGTACCATACCATCGTACAAACGGGATACCCACACCCCCACTCAAAGCCTTGTAAACCTTAGCTTCGTACTCTAATTGGGGATGTTTTGCCTTTGTGTTTTCCAACTTGATGGCAACTTCTTCGCCGGAAATGATGTTTGTGCCAAGGTAAATATCACCAAATGATCCGGATCCAATCTTGCGACCGATCCGATACTTCTTTCCTACCCTGAGGTCCATAGTGGCAGGATTAATAGTGAAAATCAAAAATTAGGGGTGTTCGTGGAATTTGTACTAGAAACCGATGACAGAAACAAAAATGACCACGGGATCAAAAAACGACAACCGAGGATATTGGGAGGCTCAAAAGTGGTTTTGCCTAAAGATGTGGTGTTACGCAAAAAGTATACCGAACGAAAAGCCGAGATCTATTGTCAAAACCTGACAATACGTAGAGGGGGTAACGTAATGGGTTTGTATAGTCCGCGCAAAATGGTGTTGAATTCGAAACGACGCAAAAAGAAACGGTGTCTGCAGGACGGATTGTGGGAGGAGACGGGAGCAGAATAGAGGAAGAAAAGAGAGAAAAAAAGGGAGGCAGATAGAGGGGCAGAATAGAGAGCAGAAAGAGCGTTAGGATAACTGTCGACCTTTAGTTTTTTATTTGGTTTTTGGTTACTTTTTAGTTGCTACGTTATTTCGGCTCGGTGTATCTCAATTCATTACGTACACGAAACATTAGAATATATAAATTAAATTAAGCTTTAGCGGCGGCTGGCGCGGGTCTCAACTTGTTGACGAAACGCTTGAAGAAGGGCACCTTTGGTTTGGACTCTTTAGCGGTAGCAGCAGGCTCTACGGCAGGTGCGGCGGTTTCAGATTCTGGTGCGGTTTCAGATACGGGCTCGGCCTCAGCAGCGGCCTCAGCAGCAACTGGTTCAGCGGCAACTGGTTCAGCAGCATCCACTGGCTCAGCAGCAACAACCGACTCAGAAACTGGCTCGGCAACTGGTTCGGCCTCAGAAGCGGCAACAGCCTCAGTTGGCTCAGTAGCCTCAGTAGGCTCAGCAGCCGCAGTGACACCTTCAGCTTGTTCAGTTGGTTCAACCTCAGCTTGTTCAGTAGATTTTACCTCCTCTGTAGCCTCAGGCACAGCTTCTTTGTCTTGTTTCTCGTTGATAAAAATCTTGGATGTTCTTTTCCACTTGTCTTTAATTCCCATTTTGCTGCCAGAAACTTGGGGGTCGCCGTCCTTATATAGTGGTGTCACGCGCAGCATACACAAACAATGCACACGCCGGTGGTGCCGGTTACTGTTGCCGCCGCGCGCTCTCGTCTCTAGATTGTTCCGAGATGAGGGAACGCATGGCAGTACAAGAAGGGTTAGAAATATTATCTGCCATATCTATATTATCACAATCATCCAATCACTATAACTATCAATTATAATTACAATTATCAATCACAATTACAATCATAATCGATCTAAACCTGACACTGGTTTAGTTGGTCATCGCCGGCTATTCAGCCGTATGGCTGCGCACGGCTGAGGCGCGACCGCGGCGCTGCGCCATACAAGCATCGGATTTGTATATCAAATGCACATCAAACGCATATCGGAATGTTGCAGCTAATCTACTATTGTTGTCACTCGTTGCTCCCTGACACTGTTATCTCTGGTATTCTCCCTGCATAGTTGCATGCGCTGATCTTTATCGGACGATTTGTGTTCGGGTCACGCGAAAGTATTTTAATCATGCGCACTGTGGCGGACAAAGGTCGTGTTTCGCGCACTGCGGTTGTTTGTTTGTTTGCATCGGTAGATTGAGACGAGAATCGATCAGACAGCACTAATTTGAATAAGTCACGAGCGAGACTACCAAAAATCTTAAAGGTTTGAAGAAGATTATCAGAAACTGTCCACAAGATTATTCAAAATCATCGTAAATTGTCCACAACTGATTATTTCTTTCGTACTAAGCTTGTGTTTTCATGGATGATCGCAGGCCCCTTAGGCCGTTTCTGACCAACGTTCCCATAACAAAGCGCGTGGGCAAAAGCCGAATAGTCCGTTCGAAACCGTATATAAGAACCCGAAATCTCAAGAATTCGGTTCCAAGTGCCACAGGTTCACGTCCTTCAGCTCCAAATTCAAATTCAACAAATGAATCGATCGAGTCTCTTCCAGCAAAAAACTTTAAATCTTTGTGTTTGGACGACTTTGATCTTTGGAAAAGTGCTCGGAAAAGGTAAACTCGGCAAGGTTTATTGCGTAAGACACAGAGAATCAGGCTACGTTTGTGCTCTAAAAGTCATGACCAAGAAAGATTTGGTGGAGCTAAAATTGGAACGAAACTTTCGTAGGGAAATTGAAATCCAGCTGGAGTTGGTTCATCCCCCATATTTCACGGTTGTATGGGTACTTTTACGACGATAAAAAATGTCTATCTCATCTTGGAGTATGCCGTTTATGGTGAGCTCTACCATCATCTCAAGTCCAGTCGCCGATTTGGCGATACCACCGCTTCATATTACATCTACCAGGTGGCTGTGGCATTGAGTTATTTGCATTCAAAACATATTATTCATCGAGATATCAAGCCGGAAAATATCCTCTTGTCTCTCAACAACTCGCTCAAATTAAGTGATTTTGGCTGGTCCGTCAAGCATCGTCCTTCCACACCTTCTTCACGTCGAACCACCGTTTGCGGCACCTTGGACTATCTTCCTCCAGAAATGATCGATACCAAGGAACACGACTACCTGGTTGATATATGGGCATTGGGGATTCTTTGCTACGAGTTTTTGACGGGTAAGCCACCTTTTGAAGAGCATGATAAAAACACCACATATAAAAGAATCTGCCAAGTTGATCTCCACATTCCTAGCTATATCAGTCCTGAAGCAGCCGACTTGATTATCCGTCTTTTACAGAAGAACCCACGCCAGCGGATCAGTCTTGCCGAAGTGATAGTGCATCCATGGATTGTAAAGAATCGGCCCCATTGGAACAACTAAAAGAGCTCAAACCAATCATTATATAGTACAGCTACTCTAGCATCTAATAGCATCTTCCATCTTGATCTCACTTGGCCTCGTTCTTCCTCATCATCTGCTGCATCTTCATCACCTGCTGCTGGAACATCTGCTGTTGCATCACATTATACTGAGCGGTAAGCCCAATTGCCCGCAGTGGTGCTCTGATTTGGTACATTTCTCCAGGAATCAGTGCGAACGACTGAGTGGGCCCATTGCCTCTATCGACATTGACCAATGCACACCGGCCCTGTAACCCACCGATGGAGCCAGATATAGCCTGGTTGGCAAGGGTAGAGTCGTTCTGGCCGCCCAGCAGTCCAGAGGTAATTAGTGCATTGGCATAGGCTTCTCGCATGTACAAAAACCGATGTCGCGATCGTTGCAGTACCATTACCTTTCGTTCGAGAGGCATAGGGTAATTCTTGGAGAGTCCTTCGAGCACCAAGTGGGTTTCTTCGTCGGCATCTAAGACCCTCAGGCTTACACCACCTTCATCCATATAATCCATTCCAGGTCCATCACGTCGCTGGGCTGCCAAGGCATTGGTTTGTGCCATTTTCGCCTGGTTTCGTTTCTGGTACTGCTGTAAAAGAACATCGTACGGAGCCAGCCGCCCGGGAACCGCACGTTTGGCGCCCATAGAGTGGGTTTTACAAGTAAGCAGTCGAGCACAGAATCCACCCGACGGTAACGGCACTCCACACTGACGTTCAACATCAATGGGACCCTTCAGTTTCGCCTGGGTTTTGCTCTTGGTGATCTTTTTACGCCGAGGACCATCACCGGCTGCCGCTGCTGCTGCTGCTGCTGCTGCGTTGGCGGCTTCTTTCTCCTTTTGCGACTGGCTCTTCTTGTACTTTTTCTTTGGTCTCGCCGGAGTTGTAGAGCCGGTGGGAGTTCCTGGCGCTGGAGTACCGTTCATCGGGGTGCCGGTAGTGGACAGGTCTGCCAGGGAAGCTTCTACATCGAGCAATCTGGGCATTCTTCCTCGTTTTCTTTTGGACCCATTGGCACTGCCATGGTCATCATTGGAACGCAGTTTCATTTCCACACAACGAGGATAATGGGAAGCAAGGCTCTTTTCGCCAATTGGTCGCTGGCACAGGTTACAAATCTGATATTTGACCACTTGCGAGAGAAGCAGCTCGTCGGAAGCACTTCTAAAATGGTGGGTGACGGCCGAATCGTTATGGGAAGTCGTGACTATGTCAACCTTCTTGTCCAAGTAGTTACCGAACTCCTTCCAAACAAGGGGTTTTGAGTCGTTAGAGAGCGCCAGAACACTAGAGAGTGTGACTACCTGGGAGGAGGGGTGCATATGTTGAGAGTGTTGGTGAGGATTGAAGAAATGAAGGGTGTGTGCAGGACCGCGAGCACCGAGCAGCGCCAGCTGCGAGGGAAGGTAGAGAGAGCTAGGGAAAGTGGAATGAAGTGCGGAAGGCAGAAATTTGGTTATTGAGGGTATTGATTGAACATTCTACTTTGCATTTTGTTTAAAAATTTTTGAAGGTTTTGAGTTTCAAATCTTTTCTTTATTTTCACATTATTCTCCATATCTGTCTCCCATTTTCTTCATTCAAAAAGTGACTAGTTTCCTGAACTACTAGTTGCCAGCACTTTTCTCTAAGTTCTTAGTTATCCCATTTTATATTTTCGCTCGCATTTTCTGCAAATCATGAGCGTCGCATCACTGCTGACGGCTGCAAACAAAATATGATGAAAAGAATTGAATAAAATATCAAAGAACTTCGAATCAGTCAACAGAAGTAAAATCTTTCAGCTTTTCTCTTCGATTTCCCAATTTAATCATTTTGCTAATTGATTCTTCTCTCCATTTTTCTCTCCATTTTCTCTCTTTTTCCTGCAGGCTCATCGCGAAATACTCTTCTTCAACCATGTTTGGCAAAGCACTCTTTTCCTTATGCTGTGCCTTATACCTTCTATCTGGCGGAAGATGGACATTTGCCTTAGCTGGTGGTATCATATTGACCTTGGCGTCCACGAAAAAAGCTAACGAAAAGGTAACTTTGCCACAAAAAACCACAAAGAAACCAAGTCCCATTGTGGCTGTAGATTTCACTACAACCTCAACAGCAAGAAGTTCTTCTAGAGCTACTCCCAGAACTGCTCCCAGACCCGTTCCCAAGAAGAGAACTCCCAAGATCTTCAAAGGATCTCGTCCTTCAGCTCAAGAAGCAGCCCCAACTGAATCTTCGTTGACAGAATCTACAAACTTATCCAATACCAAAATCCACATTTTCTACACAACACTCACGGGAACGTCTCTACGTGTTGCCCAGTCACTCCAGGAGGAGTTGAAGACTCTCAAACTCGATTTTCAGCCAAAACTCGTCAGTCTTGATGACGATGTAGACGACCTCGAAGAATACTTTTTGAGGTGTCCACCCAACAGTCTTTATGTTTTGGTCCTTCCCTCATATGAGACAGATTCGCCCATAGACTACTTCCTAGAACACCTCCGGGAAACCTATAACGATTTTAGGGTTGACAAATACCCATTACAGAAACTTGTAGGGTACGCTGTTCTCGGGATGGGAGATTCGGAATCTTGGCCAGAAAAGTTTTGTTATCAGGCTACTAGCGCTGATAAGTGGCTTGCGAAGCTTGGAGGGCGAAGGGTTTTCCCTTTGGGAAAAATGTCGATCAAGCATAATGGAGAGGAAAAAGCTCAAGAATGGATCAAGCAGTTTGCAAGCTTGGTGGCCGACCCAGAACCGTTTTATCTTGACCGAGAAATAGAAGACAGTGATAACGAGACTGGTAGCGACGATGCTGATACTTTGGTGGATGTGGAGGATATGGGTGATATTATACGCAAACTGGGCGATAAACCTGAAGTCAAGCAAATGGTAGCCCAGGATTCTCCAACCTACAAATCTTTGACCAAGCAAGGCTATACCATAGTCGGGTCTCACTCGGGAGTGAAGATTTGTCGGTGGACCAAGAGTGCATTGCGTGGAAGAGGTTCATGCTACAAGTTTGCATTTTACGGTATAAGGTCGCATCTTTGTATGGAAACCACTCCATCTTTAGCATGTTCCAACAAGTGTGTCTTTTGTTGGCGCCATGGAACAAACCCTGTGGCTAAGCTGACTTGGAGATGGGAATTGGATCCTCCAGAAAAGGTGTTTGAAGGAGCATTGGAGGGACACTACAAAAAAATCAAGCAGTTGCGAGGAGTTCCAGGAGTTCAAATGGACCGGTTTCAAGAAGCATTTACGGTTCGTCATTGTGCTCTTTCGCTTGTGGGAGAACCCATTTTCTATCCCTACATCAACGAGCTTGTAGGAATGCTTCACAAAAACCACATTTCATCGTTCTTGGTATGCAATGCCCAGCATCCTGACCAGTTGGCAAAGTTGGCCAAAGTGACCCAATTATATGTCAGTATTGATGCTCCCACAAGAACAGACTTGAAGAAGGTGGACCGTCCGCTCAACGCCGATTTCTGGGAGAGATTAATGTCGTGCTTGGATATCTTGCGGACGGTTCAGTCGCACCAAAGAACTGTTTTCCGGTTAACTTTGGTCAAAGGTTTCAATATGAACGATGTGGCTTCTTATGCCGATATGGTGGAAAGAGCTCGTCCTTCGCAGATAGAGATCAAGGGAGCCACTTTCTGTGGATCGTCAAATTCCAATGGGAACCCACTCACTATGCAAAATATTCCCTTTTACGAAGAGTGCAAATCGTTTGTCGAATCTTTGGCACAAGAATTGCAGTCTCGAGGACTGGACTACCAGATTGCAGCCGAGCATGCCCACTCGTGTTGTATATTGATGGCACATGCCAAATTCAAGATCAATGGGAAATGGAACACACATATCGACTATCCAAAGTTCTTTGAGTTGCTTGAACTGGGTCAAGATTTCGTGGATTTGGATTATGTCAAAGAAACCCCAGAATGGGCACTCTGGGGCTCTGACGAGGCAGGTTTCTTCCCTGACGATACCAAGTTCGATAGAAAGGCAGAGAAGTTGCGGCGCCGTTTGGAACGGGAAGAGATGGAGGCTTGATACTTTGTTCCTGTACATAACCTATATCGCGAAATATTTACCTCATTAAGTGTTGAGATTCTCATGGATTGCAAAAGGATCGCTTTTATCCATCCGGATCTTGGAATAGGCGGTGCCGAGCGATTGGTTGTCGATGCCGCTGTAGGACTCCAGGAGAAGGGCCACCAGGTCACAATATATACTTCTCATTGTGACAAGTCACATTGTTTCGATGAGGTCAAAAACGACACGTTGAGTGTGAAAGTTTATGGTGATTTTTTTCCCATTCATTTGTGCCGAAGGTTCCATATCGTGTTTGCGATCTTGCGCCAGCTATATCTCGTGATAAAACTTGTTTTGAGCTGCGAAATTTTGCAATATGATTATTTTGTTGTGGATCAATTGTCGTTTTGTGTTCCTCTACTTACTACTTTTAGCCGTCCAGAGTCCAGAATTCTCTTTTACTGTCATTTTCCCGACCAATTGCTTGCTGGGAAGGGCGGCTTGCTCAAAAAAGCTTATAGAAAGCCGTTCAATTTCATCGAAGAGGTGACCACTGGAACCAGCGATGTTCTCGTTGTCAACTCCAATTTCACAAAATCGGTGTTTCACAAGACATTTAAGCACCTCGGCGACGTAGACCCAACGGTTATCTATCCATGTGTGGATGTGGAAGGTCACAATAAAGATCCCTCTCTGGAAATAAAAGTTGCGAGTGAAGATGTACAGAAGTTTTTCGGTACAAACAAGTTCTTTCTTTCGCTCAATCGGTTCGAGAGAACCAAGAATATCGACCTTGCAATCCGCTCATTTGCGAAATTGAAGCATCGGGTCACAGACAGTAAACCCAGACTAGTAATTGCCGGCGGTTACGATCCTCGTGTGGCTGAAAATGTCGACTATTTGCGAGAATTAACCGAGTTGTGTAATGATCTCAAACTCCAGTCGTTCACCATGCGTGGAAAGTTGGTTGTGATGCCTCCTTCTACCGATATCTTGTTCCTTCCATCAGTTTCAGGACCTGTCAAAGAAGCTTTACTCCAGCATGCCATGCTCTTGTTATACACTCCCACATTTGAGCATTTTGGTATAGTTCCCGTTGAAAGTATGCTCCATAAAACACCGGTTCTTGCTGCAAATACTGGCGGTCCAACAGAAACTATCGAGGATTATGATGGCACTAATTTGTCTTCTGCGACTGGTTTTTGTCGTCCCACAAATCCTGATACATGGGGCGAAGTTATCATTTCCTATTACACAGACTACTCTGACGAGATGAGAAAGACACTAGGTGAAAATGGGTACGTTCGTGTGGCCGAAAAATTCCTGAGACAGGAAATGGCTGAACAATTTTCAAACAGTTTGATGGCCCTGACGAGTGTGCCAAAGAAGAGCAATTTCTTGGTGTTGATTCTCGGCAACCTCGAATGGATCTTGCTCTTGGTGGCAGTGATGTTGGCGTTCGGTAAAAAGGATATTATGTCTATGTATCATGATTCATGACCGCATCATCTCCTTTATAGATTTCCAGAAATGCAACGGTTGGGATTGTGTGGATGAGCTGGGTGAGCTCCCTGAACTAGATGGTCCAGACGACTTGCCTGCAGTGTCAAACAACAGAAACATGGATCGTGAGCTGTTCATCCTTGCACGAACTTCTCGAGCTCTGGCTTCACGCTCGTACCATGCCTCAACAGACTGTTCTAGATTCTCCATGGAACGCTTGAACAGGTTTCTGATCTCCAGGTCGAAAACAAGCTTGAATTTGTGCAAATGGGGCGATGGACACATCAAATTGTAGTTCCTGATGAAGGAGTTTATGTGCTTGATTTTCTCGTTGACATATGGCATTTGCTTCGAAGCAAACAGGTTATCGTAAGCAGATTTCGACAATGGACGTGCTCTGGCAAGAACGTCTAGCTTGGAGTTTGAACCTGGGTTCAACTGAGAGAGCATATTTTTTGTCCATAGATTATCCAAGTCTTCACGAAACAGTTTGATCTCCCGCTCGAGAGTCTGTTGCGACTCGATCCACGGAGGCAACACGTCCTGATTGCTAAGAATCTGGTTCACAAAGTAATTTGTATCGGTGGCATTTGCCAAATGTTTGGGATCCAACGGTTTACCGCGAACTGAGTCCATCAGAGGCGAGTCGAATTTGCCAGTTTTTCTGTTGATTGTCGAGTGAATCCTTACGTCTGCCATAGTTTGAGCTAGCCCCATAGTGGCTGTGGGCGAATTGGAGTTTATAAGCATTGAAGGACCTAAAAGTCTTTCTTTGTACAACTCACGAAAATTGTCTTCCTCAGAACGAGCCCCGGTTTTGTAGTCTAAACTACCTTCTCTGGCATTAACCATTCGAGTCTTGGGGTCCTTAGGGGGTGACATGATCCTATTGTGATTATTGACTGGTTTTGGAGGCGGCATCAGATCTAGAATCATACGATTATGAGCATCAAGGGGAGATTCGGAACCATTCCAAGCGGGTTTTGTGACGGTATCAGCAATATATTTTGCATGTCTGTTTCCATTTAAAAGATTTTCACGCTCTAATAGTGCCATTTGAGCCAGGTGTTGGCGTTTGAACTCCGAATCTTTTTGACTTTCAGAAGAATATTTGTCATAAAGTTCCTTTAATTTCGGGTTTTCATCAATAATTGATTTCTGTTGAGGTTGGTCTAGTTTGTCTTCAAGCATCTGCTGGAACCGCTCCGACAAAGCCGACTGGCGGGCGGTGGCCAGGGTTTGAAATTGATGGAGGTGGCAAATACGTTGCATAGTGAGAACTTACAACTGATTTCAAAAGTATACATTTGGTGTACTGGGTCTATAAGTGTCCGAGAAGGGACGTGATCTTGGTCTCATAAGCTGCGGGATGGAAGCGTAGGGTTTCAAGCGTACGAATATGTTCCTCGCAAAAGGATGGTTTAAACGTAGGGATGTGTTAAGCGAGGTTAAGCGGGAATCGCTTGGTGTTGGGTATTGGTCGTTACTGTTGGTTTTTACTGTTGGGTCTTTGTTGAGTTCAATTGGATCAGTGGTCGTTACAAAGCGTAGAACACCAACACACCCAGGCCTATCACTATCGTGGTCAAAAACAAAAGCTTGACCACAAACGCTGTGACATGTTCTCGTTTCCCGCCGGCAGTAATGATCATTTGTTTCTCGAGATCCTCGTCGTCCATCAACTGAATCTTGCCCCTCGAGGCAGGATATGGAACAGAAACATCCGTGTGACTGTCGTTGGATAATACCGACGAAATGGACTGGGAATGGAGCCGTTTTGGTGGAAGGTCGGACACCGTATTTATGGTGGGGACCACCGACTCGGAATGAGGTTTTCCTAGTGAAGGTTTTGTAGGTTTCTTGGTAACGGATACTGCACGTTCACGCGACATTATAAAGTTTTGTTGAATATTTGTGAAGGTAGTGAAGCGTAATAAATGTGTTGTGGAGGGGAATGCATTTATATATGACGTGTGCGGCGCGCGCGGGGCGTCCACGAGGCTGTACGTTTGTGTGCAGGCGGTGCCTCGCGACTAAAGGTACGGAGGAAATGAGCGAGATGAACCAAAATATAAAAATTGAAATTGGTCTAATGGATATGAGTAATAGTGTTAAGTGATTTAGTTGATCATAATTGCTTAGTTCTTTTTTTTTCTGTTTTTTGACCAGATCGGCACACGATGGTAGCCGTGCAATGCTCAAAACTGCTTCTATTTTTACTAATTGGGCGGTTAAAGTGCGGGTGCACGGGTGTGCTTCCTGTTTTAGCGAGCGGCGGTAATCACCAAAGGGTTGCAGATGAAAGATGACAGGCAACTCCTGAAAAAAAACTTGAGCGTTGACTGTATCGCATTATTGTATATTGAACTCTATATATCATAAATCATAAATTTTCAGCTAGTCTTTCGTCTGATTTCAGCTAGCCAAAGTAAAGTGAGCCCTGGCTAGGAAGCGAAGGAAAAAGGTACCGCGACACATTTGTGACGGTTCCGTTAATGTTTGGAGTCAAGTAATTGAGTTTGAAAATGTCATTAGTGACATTGTCAATTGCGTCAATTGCTTCAATTGAAGCGATTTCGTCAATTTCCTCATTTTCTACTTTCAATCTAACAGTTTCATCTTCTTCATCTTCTTCGTCTTCGTCTTCACTGTCTGTCCAATCTGAGTACATCGAACTGGCCTCGGAGTTTACCGGCGTGGGCCATGGGTCTCTTTCTACCGGACCAAATTGATCATAATCAGCAAAATAGTCTGAAGTCTTCTCACACTGATACACCACCATCGTTGCCTTTTTGCTTTTCTGCTTGTTACTTCGACGCTTGTTCAACCGACGAACCATACGGCCCCAAACATTATTCTCGGTGTGAAGCATGTCGAAATGATCAACTGGCACCAGATATGCATATATATATGCATCCGTGGTCGTTCCTCGGAACGGCTACCGTTATCTGTTGCTGCAGACAAACCACATGTTTCTCTGCAGAAAATGACCTAAAATGTCATCCTGTGATAATACAATTGACACATACGGCAAAACACATACGGCAGCACAGTACCAATGTTGTATCATCTGCAAGCCTCCGACGCGAATTACCAATTGAGCATCCGAACCAGGAACTGGTTCCGTCAAAAAAAGCGTCTAGGCATATGATTTGCATGTGAATGTGCTCCCCTCCGGAGCTTCTCCGAGATATACGGTAGTGGCGAGATCACGCAGTGGCGAGATCACAGTAAGGGGCTAGATGTGGTCTGAGGGTTGATGGCTGATTGTCACATGCAATTGCTTGGTCCGTATATATCTTGGCAAGTGCAGGAGCTACCAAGTATACGGACCAAGCAATTTCACAAGACAATGCCGAGAGCACTCCGGCGATGCGGCCTAGAAGCGAGGCTAAATATAATAACGGAGGCCAAGCGGATGTAGAAAAATTAAAGTCCAAAGAAATCAAAACAAACAAACAGACAAAAACGACCAGAAAGAAAAAACGTGTTCATTTAATTCATTGATCCGAATCCCTTCATCGAGACTAATTATTATTTCTTTATATTCAAGTCGTAATTTTTTATATTTCTGTCCATCCTCTTTACTCTTTTCTCTTTTCTCTTTATTTGCAGCCGTTCGTGTATATACCCCAGCCAAACACCAGCGTCCGATCCTTGAATTTGTCGCGAACTTTTCTTTGCTGTTATCATGTGGATTTTCGACTGGTGTAAGTAATAGCCATCCAATAATGCTGCTGCAAACTAACAAGTAGTCCAAGATGTGTTGGCCTCCTTAGGTCTTTGGAATAAACACGCTAAATTGTTGTTTTTGGGGTTGGATAATGCCGGAAAAACAACCCTCCTCCACATGCTCAAAAACGACCGTCTTGCCACTTTACAGCCTACGCTTCATCCTACGTCCGAAGAATTGGCCATTGGGTCTGTGAGATTCACCACTTTTGACTTGGGCGGCCATCAACAGGCTCGTCGTTTGTGGAAGGATTACTTTCCTGAAGTCAATGGCATTGTATTCTTGGTTGATGCCGCCGATACCGAAAGACTCGCCGAATCCAAGGCGGAATTAGAGTCGCTCTTCCGTATCGAGGAGTTGTCACAGGTTCCTTTCCTCATTTTGGGTAACAAAATCGACAAATCCACCGCCATTGGTGAGATGGAATTGAAGTCGGCATTGGGATTGTACAATACCACAGGTAAGGACGTCACTAAATTGCCCGAGGGCCAGAGACCAATCGAGGTGTTCATGGTGTCTGTGGTGATGCGCATGGGGTACGGTGAAGGCTTCAAGTGGTTGTCGCTGTTCATCTAACGTTATAATATTAATCGTCATCGCTATCGTCATACTGCACTGCTATTGCTACTGCTACCACTTCTACCTGCTACCAACTGCTACTGCTACTGCTTTTCATCGCTTCTACTTTACTACTTCTTGCTACTCCTGCTTTTTCTATGCTACTTGCTTCTCTTCTGTTACGCTCGCTCGTCACGTGACCTCATCTCTCATTTCTGCTTTTTCAGCTCACTCCACATCATGGATGGCTTGAACAAAGGTGCTCTTCACCCTGAACCAAAGAAGTTCAAGGTCCCTAAGGGACCCAAGCCGATTGCCCATAAAAACAAGAACTTGATCGGTTTAGGACGCTCGATCGCAAACAAAAGGAGAACTGAAAATGAAGTCCAAATTCTTCCCGATGGCGAAATGAGATTTACGACCGACAAAAGAGAGGCTGACTGGGTCAAGCTTCGTAGTGTGACCCAGGAGAATGCATTGGATGAGTTTTTGAACACGGCAGAAATGGCAGATACAGATTTCACGGCTGAGAAGCATCAGCTGGTGAAAATCATCAAGGTTGGTAATAATACTGTGGTGCCCCAAACTGGGTTGTTGAGCCCAGAGGAGGTTCTTGAGCTTCGTAAAAAGCACCAGGTTTTCGAAAACAAGTTGACGATTCCAAGACGGCCCAAATGGAACAAGTCGCAACTGCGTATCGAAATCGATCGTCAGGAGAACCTTGCTTTCTTGGACTGGCGTCGTGAATTGGCAGCATTAACAGAGAATAACGACTTGTTATTAACTCCTTTTGAGCGTAATTTGGAGGTGTGGAAACAGCTTTGGCGTGTGGTTGAACGATGTGATTTGGTGGTGCAAATTGTCGATGCTAGGGCTCCGCTCTTTTTCAGATCGGTGGATTTGGACCGCTACGTGAACAGTTTGAGCACAGAAGAACTGCCAAAACGTAACTTGTTGTTGGTGAACAAGGCTGATTTGCTTACAGAAACTCAGCGTAAAGCATGGGCAGATTACTTTAACGACGTGGGCATCAACTATGTGTTTTTCTCTGCTGTTCGGGCTGCTGAGCAAACTGAGGCAGAGCTTGCGGCTGAGGCAGCGGCTGCTGAAAGAGAGACCGACTCTGATTCTGAACCTGAACAGGATTCTGACGCTGTAATTGAAGATTCAGTTCATAAAGACCCAACCCGTATCTTGGGTGTCGATGAGCTCGAGGCACTTTTCCTTTCCGAGTCACCCAGATCTCCTTCTGACGAATCAAAGCTCCAAATTGGACTTGTTGGTTACCCCAATGTGGGTAAATCCTCCACGATCAATGCCCTTGTCGGTGCCAAGAAGGTTTCCGTATCGGCTACTCCAGGTAAAACTAAACATTTCCAAACCATCCACCTTTCTCCTGAAGTATTGTTGTGCGATTGTCCTGGTCTTGTGTTCCCCAATTTCGCCTATACCAAAGGAGAGTTGGTGTGTAATGGTGTACTTCCTATTGATCAATTAAGAGAGCATATTCCACCTGTATCTTTGGTTTGTCAAAGAGTACCCAAGTTTTTCCTCGAGGCGGTTTACGGTATACATATTCCCATTCAAAAACAAGAAGATGGAGGTAACGGAACTTATCCTACTGCGAGAGAGCTACTTAATGCATACGCTCGTGCTCGTGGATACATGACACAAGGTTTCGGTAGTGCTGATGAGCCTCGTGCCGCTCGATATATCTTGAAAGATTATATCACCGGAAAACTTTTGTTTGTGAACCCACCGCCGAAGAAGGGAACAAACGGTGAATGGGAGCTTGCCCTGGTTGAAGAAGGACGTGATTTTAATAAGGAATTGTTCACATTGGACCATCTTCCAGAGTCCAGACAGCAACAGATCGAGACGGCACTTTCACACAAAAACATGGATGTTAATGAATTCGATCTTTCTCGAGACTTGGCTAAGCTTACATTTTCTATGCATTCAGGAGGAGAAACGGGAGAGACCAAATTTTACGGGGGAAAACAAGCGGCATTGGAAAGTGCCGGTGACGATCTTGACCGGGAATTTTTCAAGATGAACAATGTCAATGGAAAGTTTTCCACTCCATTCCACAAGTTGGGATCGGGAAGTGGCAGCAAGAAGCATGGTAAGAAGAACAAGAAGGCGGAAAAGAAGAAACGGGTTACTGGATATTGATAGACAATACAGAAAAGAATCGTAAGCTACTAGAAACTGAAAAAGTCTCATCCTACAGTCACTGGTTACCAATCGTTCATTTAGTAGATTCTGAAAGAAGGACCCATGGTGGACTTGATGACCAAAGAACCAACGTTTTGCCAGTTCTTCTTCAACAAGGAAACCAAAAAGTTAGCAGCCATCATGATTTGGTTGGTCAAGACATCTTCGTCCATCTCAACGTTACCAATAGCAACAGCCAAACACAACACCTTCTTCAATTGGAACTTGATGGTGGACTTGACATCGGTAACCTTGGAGTACAAGTCATCGTTGTGCGAAACTGGAGTTGGGAACTTACCAGCCTTGGACAATTGAGGACCCAACAATCTTGGAACCTGCTTGATCAACACTTCGGAAGCAATGAAAGAGTTGTACTTCTTGGCCAACTTCTTGATGAGCTTCTTGTTCTTGTTCAACTTTTTCAAGTCATCCACGGACATGGCATCAACACCAACAGACTTGGCTCTGTCAACATCGAAAGCGTCACCAAAGATACAGATGGTCATGTTAGGTCTTGGGACCTGAGGCAACTTCAAAGAACCCGAGAAACGCTTGTCTCTTTGAGGGTCGTAGTTCTTCAAACCAACTTGCAACTCAACGGTTTCCAAAAAGTTTCTCTTCTTGGTGTCATTGGAGTAGGCCAACAACTTCTGGACGTTCTCACGGACGTGAGAGGTGGTGATCTTTGACATTTTTCGTCTCCCAAATTGATTTGGTAAATTAACTGATTCGACGAGGATGAAAAATTTGCAACAAAAAAAATTTGAGAAAAATGTCCAGCGTGCGCGAACCGCTAATGCGTGTGCAAACCAAGCTCGCTCTCGAGTTTCGCAACTTTCCACATCGGTGCACCTCTCCATATACCAACGTGGAGCCATGAAGGTACGCATATTTGTGCGCCATTATGCGCGCGGCACGGTAGTTGGCGATATAAAGGTTCCTGGCAAAAAGCCCACACGAGCCGACAGGATCAATCGTTCGAATATGGCGTCACATGCTAAATTGTATCATTTGGATAACCAATTTAAACTTTTCAATCCTCTGATTAATACTGTTTTGGATGTTGGATTTGTTCCTGGTAACTGGTCCCAGTTTGCAAAGTTTCGATTATGTCAGGTACATGGCTTGGAAGAGTCGCAATTTAGCTCAAAGTGCCATATACTTGGATTTGATATGCTATTTGGACAAGGTCCATTTGGAGTTTCAACCATGCAAGGAGATATTTATTCCAATTCCAGTCATATTGGTATACAAAATCACTTTCGTGAACAGTACGTACAAAGACTTCAGCGGAACAAATCGGCTGAGCCAGAAGCATACTTTGCCAAAGAACAACAGCAGGTAGAATTGGTATCTGAGTTGCAAAAATTAAACATAAATCTGGATTCTGACTGGAAACCTCAATTGATGATGTCGGATTTGGCAGCGCCGTTTCTTCAGGACCGTGGCTTTTTCAATAATACTCAAACAAGACCATATATGAGAACCGGGGCACATGCAAATCTCGGTCGACCGTCCAAAGGTGACTTGAAATCATATTTGGATCTAGCCGATGCTGCTTTGGTATTAGCATGCTCTACGCTTGCTAAGAAAGGACTGCTTCTTCTAAGATTAGCAAAAGTTTTTGATAATGATCCAGAATTGGCATTGTTGCATCAACGGCTTGGACGAGTATTCAAGCAGGTGACGCCATGGGCTTCTGAATCTGCTGTAAGACAGCATAATATTCAAGAACGTTTCTTTGTTTGCCAAGGAAAGTTGAATGATACCGTAGAGCCCAAAACCATTTGGTGACATTGGTAACAGTTGGTGACAATTGGTAACAAATGGTAACAAATGGTAACAATTGGTCTGTATAGAACCACAGTATAGAACTATTACGAGACACGACGATTCCGATTATCAATGACATTTACACTTTTCTCCTATTCTACTCTGCTTCTTCCTCTTCTGCTTCTTCTTCAGCTTCTTCTTCAGCTTCCTCTTCCTTTTCTTCTTCCTCTTTCTTCGTTTCCGTCTCTTCCTTCGCTTCTCCGTTCAAATCAATCAAACTTTCCGATAACGCACCGTTGGAAGCCTCGGGTCCAAGAAGCCTGTCGGCAACTTTTTCACGCCCACTACTGGCCAAAGTCTTTTTCCATTTTTCCAAAGCCTCGTCAACTTTGGAACGATCGCTGCCGTAGTTGACTCCCAAAAACGCAGCTTCAGTATACCTTTCACTCTTAAGTAACAAATCGACGCATGCATCTTTGTCCCCCGTGAGCCATCTGGCTTGCCAGGCAATATTATAACGACCTTTTTCTTCGCTATCAATAGCGAGTTGCGACAAAGCCTTGATATTATTGCTCGAAGAGAGCAACAAGAGCAACGAAGCATGGTCGTTCGCAGCAGTATAACAGTCCTGAGCAAGTTTAATGTTCCAGTTCGTGAGTGCGAGATCACCCAACTTTTTCCACTTTGTTGCATTGGCCAATTTTGTAGATGGGTTTTCTGTTTCGTACTTGGAGAGCAAACTGTAAGCCTGGGTCAAGTTCTTACTTGTGATGGAAATCAGGAACTTGGAGTCGAAATCTTGCGAAAGTGAATATGAAAGGGAAAGATAACCGAGTTTCTCAAAAAACCGTGATAATTGATTGAGTTCGGTCTTGTTGAACCCAGAAAGCAAATTGGCATAGTCTTCTGGGAGCTTATCTTCATGTACTGAAGCAAGATCTGGCACTTCTTCTCCTTCGTCATTGACGGTCTTTGTCGCTAATTGTTCCAAGTCGCCTCTCATGACCAAAGTCTGCAATTCCAACACATCGGAGTTGAGGAACCAAGATATCACATTGAATGACTTGTCGATCAAGTACAACTTATTTTCTGCAGTACGGTAGCCCACAATGAAGAACTTGTGATCAAAGTGACCCACGTTAATGACTTCACCACCCACGAAATAGTTGAGTCTGTTGGTGGTACCGGTGGTGTACACAAAAACATCACCAACAAAAATTCCCAGCAAGATTGGCTCCGAAGTTGGCAAAGTGTACCAAACGTCAAAGGCGTCTTCTGCACCTTCCTCTGGATCCAATTCATCAGCAGCGACCGCGGCTTCGAAATTTTCATGGTTATAGGTGAGAAAATATGTATCGTTTTTAGAGGCCAGAGAAGATTGTTGACCAGCGGATCCTGAAGAGGTTATGATGGCGACCAACTCTCCGTTGTCCAGCCACACAACATCCAAGATGTCGTCTTCGATATCGACCCGACGAACTAAGAGACCTTGTTCCCAATCATAAAACGAGATACAACCTTCCAGCTTGATACCCAAAAGAGCCCCAGCAAACAACTTGTCTGCTTGGTAGATGAGATCAAGAGCAAGGTGCTCTTGCAAGTTTTTGAAGATCTTTACCAGCAACTGAGATTCGCGGATTGCAAAGGTAGTTGCATTGGAAGCGTCATGAGAATTCCAACAGAAGTCAAGTGCCTTACCGTAAGTTTTGGAACGCCACGCCAAAGCCGTGTAGATGATGTATTCACCGTCACCACAAACAGCGGCGTAGCGGCCATTTGGAGAGTGTGAAAGCAGTTGAGGGTATATTTCAATCAGTCCCAATTCACGTTGCTGGAGCGGCAAAGTCTCGCCATCTTTAAAGCCTTCCAGAGTCGATGGCTTGATGACGGACTGGAACACATCGGAGTTTTTGGCGTATACCAACTTTGCGTTTGAGTCCATGGAGAAAAGTGGTTCTTCGTTACCCAACTTGATAAGCACGTAACCGGTGTCACAACCCACGGCGATCAAATTTGACTTTTGCAAGATGCCAATACACCATACTCTTTCCAACGAGTAGTTGACGGATTTCTCAAGCTTGAACGTGTTGGAGTTCCAGAACCGAACGGTGCCGTCTTCGGAACCAGAGATAATCACCGGCAGTTCAGGGTGGAAAATGGCAAACGAAACATTGGAAAGATGGCCCTCCAACGTTGCCACACACGACTTGGTTTGATAGTCCCATACTTTGATCGTCTTGTCATCGGACGTGGTTATCAAGTATGGTTTATCTGCCTGAGGATAGTAGTCCACGTAATTGACCCCCTTCGCGTCGTGGGCCACCAACGTGAAGTTTGGTTGCGAGGCGCCCAACAGCCAGATCTTGACGGTGCGATCAAGACACGCCGAGGCAAACGTGTTGGGGTCCTTAGGGTTAAAATTGACACTCATCACGAAATGCTGATGTCCCTCGAAAGTCTGCTCCAATTTCCAGCCAGTCTCCCAGTTCCACAACCGGATCGTCAAATCGTCAGACGACGTAAGAACATATGGCTTCGAAGGATGAACCGCAATGGACCGAATGTAGTCTGGGTGTGCTTCATATTGTGCCACTTTTTCTCCAGTATTGTAGTTGTACACTCGAAGATGGAAGTCGTCGGCACCCACAACAATCCAGTTCTTTCGGGCAATAAATTTTCCTGCTCTGACTGGCATTTCAGACACCTGAATGGACTTGACGAGAGTGTTGGTGGCATAGGACCAAATTTCAACCTTACCATTATAAAGCGTGGTAAGCACCCACGGCTCCAGCGGGTGAAAATCTATGCCTTTCACACGTTCTGACCTCGTCAGAAACTGTTTTAGCACGTCCAACTGCATGATGAAGTTGACACGATTGGACTTGTTTCGCGGTTGAGGGTGGAAATGTTGATGGGTGCACTGGGTGTGTTGTGTGCAGGAAGACTTGGAAAGAAAGAGAATTGAGATTGAGGCCTTGGGAAGGAGGGAATGGTGTGTATACGAGTGTATATGAGTTTGAGATGGTGCCTCTTGAATTTTGTGGATTTTTGTTCCTTAGTTGTGGATTGGTGGTGGATAAGTATTTGCATCCATACACCATGTATACCTGATTCAAAGTGGGCTTACCTACGATTTACAACTTAGTTGAAAAATTGAGATTAAAGTGTCTAACTTTGATTTTACTCTTCTCGCTGGTTGTTTTTCAAATTGCAAATTTTCAATTTTCATATTTTCATTTTTCGTAATTTTCACACTTTACATTTTTCACATTTTTCACAACTGGAATTTTCACTTAGCAAGTTTCATAGATTCAGTTTTCTACCATCAAGTCAGCTTACAGTTCTTACATCTGCATTCTTTTTCGTCTCACTTCACTTGTATAATTCTTCAGTACACTCTATGCACTCCCTCTCTTCTATCCTCTCTATACTGCTTTTCCAACACCTCAGCTTGTCCCGCATAATTATTCCACTTTTGCTTAAACACCTTGTCTGAGAACTTGTCGAGGACAAGGTTTCGGCCCACTTTGCGCATTTCGTCCAATTGTTCATTGTCCTGAAGATGTGTTAAAAGTTGCGAAAAAGTAGGGTATTTTATTTCACCAAATTTCAAAAATTCACCGTCGATTTCACCATCAAAGTCTGGATCCTCCTTGCATTTGAAGAAAAACCCACTGTCACTGCTCCAGCCCGAGGCAACACTGCCATTTTTATTAGTAGCCAAATCAAGCAATGGACCCGCAGAAGCATGCACCAACGGTATGGCACCCAGTGCCATATATTCCACCACACAAATGCCAAAATGCTCATTCCACATTGCGTCAATACCATACTTGGCGCTCGAGAGCCATTGACCCAATTCTTCATAGGAAGAGTCTTGAACAAACTCCACATATGCTTCGAGATCCAAGTCTTTCACTTTGGTTTTGAGAGCTTCAAGTGTAGCTGTATCGTCTTTTGTACGACAAGAACCAAGGAACACCAACGTAGGAAGCGATTTTAATGGCTGGTGAGACTTTTTGAAAGATTGAAGGTATTGTGCGTATTCCTCAAGTACCACCAGATGACGTTTTTCTGGGCGAAATTGAGCAACATACAAGATAATGTTTCGCTTTGTGTTTTGACCTTGAGCTGTAGATTCGGTGCCGCACGGAGGATACAAGATCTCCATGGCTCCGAGGTTCCATGACCATACCAGCTGAAGATGGTTCAACGTCCAAGTTCCATTAGTGAGAGTTATGTCCACCAACGATCCCAAATATTTATAAAGATAATATAAGGATGTCCAGTAGAACAACTTGGCAACTGCCAATGAGTTTTGCAACGATGGAGTAAAGGTTTTCAAATCAGCAAATGACTTGTACCGGAGTTTCCCGAACATTTCTGACTGGAGAACAGGGTAGTGAACATATGCCACAATTGGAATTTTGAGAGCCAGCGAAACAGCACTGTAACTTCCGGGCAACCCCATTGTGTCCACCCAAATATCAGGCGAAAGCTCGAACATGGCTTCGAGGGAAAGAAGAAACAGACCCAACATCTGCCCCACCAACGTGAGTCTAGGCCAAGATTTGTCATCTATCCACAGTCCAAATCGGCGCAAGTATATGAATACAACACGGGAAGAGTCAATTCCTCCGGTGTGGAATTTTGACTGAGCCTTTTCTAAAATTGCCAATGGCTCGGCGTCCAAATTGGTGGTGTAAATTGCAACAATATTTCTGCGGTCAGCAAGAAGCGTAGCCGCCACTGCGTTCCAAAGAACTCTTTCACCACCTCCACCATTGTTGGCGTACGGGTGGAAAAAACCATAGATAATTCTTCGATTGACATCATTTGTTTCTCTTCTGGTCATGGAATCCAAGAACAGATTGCCCTCGTTCTGCTTATCTTCCGGCAAGATCTTGAGTTTGTTGTTCACGTAGTTGGTGTAAAACGAAGGCTGGGCACTGGCAAGGATGAGCCGGCGACGATAACACAGTCGTTTGTTGCCAACTTTGAGATAAATCGCCATTGGATGATTCATCACTTTTTGGATTTTTTCCTTCCAGTCATGAGGTGGAACCAACAAAAATCTAGGGAGAGCTACTCCGATAGCCTGGTAGAGGATGTAGGCGACCACGGCCACAAACCCTAGGAGAGTGAGAAGAAGGGACATGGAGAGAAGAACAAATAAGTCAATAATTCGGTCAGTGCGATAATTCGGTCAAGTGCGCGATAGTTACATAAGCCATCGCGATACCGGCGATACGCCATCGATACGCCGCCATCGATACACCAGCTGTCAGGGCAATATGGCTTACCTCAGCACGTCCCATTTGGTTAAATTGTCTACGCGTTCGCAAATTATTCTCCTTTTCGAATGCACAAGCTTCGAGAGAAAAACACCGGTGTTTCTCCCTCCTCTGGCAATACTTCGCTGCCCACCTCAGAAATGGACGACAACTCATCCTCTTTGGCAGGGTCTGGAGGCGGAGCGGTGGGAAAACCAAAAACCCCCTTGCGCAAAGATGAGCTAGAAAGAATAGCCCAACAATTAAAAAGAAGACTTCTGAAAGCTTCCATCACCGCTAAGCAAGCCAAGACCCCAGACCGGACCGCGTCGGCCATCTCGTATGCCTCGTTGCACACGGGGGTGGCAAACGACGGGTCAGCAACCAGAACTTCTGCGACCAGCACCGCGTCGTCTGGGTCGGCAATTCGGTCCCGCCAGCACAAGTCGCCGTCAGTGAATGGTATTCTCTCGTCGTCACCCATAGACCTCTACTCGCCTTCGGGCAGGTCTCCTACCCATATGAGAACGCCGTCGGCGTTATACAACATGCGTCGCAATAATGGCAGCGATTCGTCGCTTTTGGGGTCGCCGTCGCGCGGCCGGACGGGAACGACTTCGGGAACAGTTTCGGGAACGGCTTCGGGAACCACTTCTGCAGCTACTACGGTTTCTGCTCCGGCTTCTGCTTCTGCTTCTGCTTCAGCTTCGGCCAAACAACCCCAGATGGTGCTCCAGGAGCTCGCACCGTCAACCCCCGGCAAACACCACGACGGGGCGCTGGACGCTCCCACCCTTGAGCCTTCGCCGGTGCTCAATTCCACCAGCAACCCGCAAACAACCCCGACTCTTCCCAAGAAACAGCTCGCAACTCTGTTGCTCCAGACCCCCACCCAGCCTCAGCGCACGCCCAGAAATGGCAATGGCAATTTTAACGACACAGAGGGAGCGGATCTTCTCATGTACCTCGCCACCTCACCGTCGCCAGCACGATCCTTCACCACCAGCTCCAGCAAGTACAACGGTGGAAACCACTCCGCCAACGGAACGTCGCACAACTTTATTGCCCCACCTCCACTCACTCCAAAACGGCCCCACGTAATCAACTCGAAAACCCCACAGCGCCTCACCCCGCTGGTGAATCTTCTCAGCACATTCAACGCAGCCGGATTGCCGTCGTCGGCACTCACACTCACGCCGGCTGGGTTTAATATGAACGATTATGTCAACTTTTTCACACCTTCTCCTGGAGCAGCGATGGCTGCAAAACCAGTGCCTAGAACCCCTGATGTCTCTGCCAAACAAGTTGACGGCAAAATGATCAATTTCGATCGCGTGGGATTGTTCAATGGCGAAAACAAGGACTAATTCAGAAACCGTATCAATTCTACATACTCTACATACTAATCAGAAAGCCCCTGGTGCACGGGTGTATCGGGTTTTCCGATTTTCTCATCATCCAAAGATGAGAAGCAACATGAGTCAAGACAAAGAGGCAAATGAAATTGCTGTGAACACTACGGAAACAGTGGTGTCGACGCCAACTGATGTTACCACTGCGGAGACAAAAACCGACGGAAGTCCAGAAACCAATGCCGCACCAGCAGCAGCCAAAAAGAAGAAGAACAAGAAAAAGAAAAAGATTACCAGCATTGACCTGCTGTATCCGGATGGGGTTTTTCCCGAGGGAGAATGGCAGGAGTATCCATTGGAAATTAACAGTTATCGTACCAGTTCCGAGGAATTGCGATATCTCGACAACCAGCGCAATAACCACTGGCAGGATTTCCGTAAAGGAGCCGAGATTCATCGTCGGGTGCGCCACAAGGCCCAGCTGAGTATTCGTCCTGGTATGACCATGACGGAAATTGCCGATTTGATTGAAAATTCGGTGCGTAGCTATGCCGCTGCCGATCACACTTTGAAAGCCGGAATTGGATTTCCCACTGGACTTTCACTTAACGAGATTGCAGCTCATTATACCCCGAATGCTGGCGATAAGTTGGTATTGGGAAAGGACGATGTGATGAAGGTGGATATCGGTGTGCATGTCAATGGACACATAGTCGACTCTGCATTTACCATGACATTTGACGACGACCACAAGTACGATAACCTCCTTAAAGCAGTCAAGGAAGCCACCAATACGGGAGTGCGCGAGGCAGGAATTGACGTTCGTCTTAACGATATTGGAGCAGCGGTGCAAGAGGTGATGGAACTGTATGAGATGGAGATTGGCGGCAAGACTTACCCAATCAAGTGCATTCGCAATTTGAACGGCCACAATATCGGAGACTATGTGATTCATCTGGGCAAAACCGTACCCATTGTTGCCAATGGAGACATGACAAAAATGGAGGAGGGTGAGACGTTCGCTATAGAGACGTTTGGTTCGACCGGAAATGGGTACGTGATACCTACGGGCGAATGTTCGCATTATGCACTTTCTGAAGAGTACAAACAGGCCCGGGTTGGAACCGACAGGGCCAAGCAATTGTTGAAGACAATTGAGAGTAACTTTGGTACTTTACCATGGTGCAGACGGTATTTGGATCGCGTAGGCGAAGAAAAGTATTTGCTTGCGCTCAACCAATTAGTACGTGCTGGAGCTGTTCAAGATTATCCACCCATCACCGACAGGGCCGGAAGTTATACCGCCCAATTCGAGCACACAATCTTGCTCCATCCACACAAGAAAGAGGTTGTGCTGCGCGGCGATGACTACTGAGACAGATGAAGTAAAAGTTGAAGTGAAAAGCGAAGTGAAAAATGAGTGAAAATGAAGTGGTAATGTGGTATAACAGCCTTGTACCCTTTGTTTCAGTGCTGGTTATGGTGATACTTAAACATTATGGTAAAGTACTTGGTTTAGTGTATGATGCACTGTACTTCTGAGTCAATGCCACTGATTCATAGCCAGTATATAATCTCAATTCATGTTCCATTCATATCCATACCTCTTGTCCTCGCCTCTTGTCCTTTCCCTCTTTGTATCTCGTCTCTTTCCTTTGTCTGCTACCCCCCAATCTCCATCACTTGCATTATCACCGTTGCCTTCCCGTTTAGGAAGTTGTCAAGTAGCTCACTCGCGACCCTTTATGCGCGCCACAACCGATCCTACCCTGAGTTCCGGTCTCCCTCAAATTTGTGCCTCAATCAAGCAAGTGCTCATGCGGCTGGCTGCACGTCGCCTTAGATGTATCCGCGGGGCCTCCACTTATTTCCCCTTTGGCCCCCACCCCAGATTTTCCAACCCCCATCATCGCTGTCTTCATGTGACAACCCCGCCCCACCAGGTCGTGCGCTTTTGCGATTCGCTGTGATTTCACTAATTACTATATATTAGTGCGAACATAATTTCAACCGGGTCAAAATGGAAGTGCAACCTAGTGTGTTGGAGTTTAAAGGTAAGTGTTTTGCGCAAAAAGTTGATATCGCTACGATGCTGTGATACCATTGTAATCACCAAATATGTGGTTTTTGATGGATTATTTCGAATTTTGGGAGCGGTAATTTTTCACAAAGGGAGCAATGCAATGGTGCGGTGGCAGATAAAAAATGGTTTAAAATACATTAAACGTTGTAGGGGAACCACCAAAACCCCCCTTAGAGCCTTTAATGTACACCATTGACCCCTAGATTGTCGAAACAACACTTTATTATCGATATCGATTTCCCCGCAGTTCTTGTGAGAATTTCATGTTGCTGTCATACTAACCACAGGCTCATTTACCAAGCCCACCACCGAGTATCTCACGCTTTCCAACCCTACTTCGCAACCCTTGGCATTTAAGGTCAAGACCACTGCGCCAAAAATTTACTGTGTCAGAACCAAATGCCAGTATTTTGGAGCCTGGTGCTTCGCTGAAAGTGTCGATTATTCTTCAAGGATTCTCGCAACCATTTGCCTGAGGACTACAAAATGTAAGGACAAGTTTTTGTTGGTGTCTGTGCCTTGTCCTGGGTTGTCGGACCCACTGAAGGTGGGAGACAGCTGGAGCTCATTGGAGAGCAAGAACAAGCTGCAACTCGTATCCAAAAAATTGAGAGTGTCGTATGTCATTGGAAAGGACCAAAACATTTGATTCTGAGCCTGCTGCCACCGTGCACAAGCCGGTTACCCAGGGAGGTGAAACCAATGGCCACGAGCGTGGTTCCGGTGCCGGTTCCGGTTCCGGTTCCGATGCCAATGGACATGGAAGTGGAATTACCGGTGGAATTGCTGCTGGAGCTGCTGGAGCTGCTGCTGCCGTGGGGTACAAAGGTCATGGAGAAAACGATCAAAACCACGGAGGCTACAACCAGAACCAGGGCTACAACCAAAACCAAGGTCAAGGCTACCAAAATCAAAACCAAAACCAAGGCTACAACCAAGGCTACAATCAAGGTCACAACCAAAACCAAGGTCAAGGCTACAATCAGGGCCTCTCAACTCAAGGGCTATAACCAAGGCCAACAAAGGAGGGCTACCAAAAACTCAAGGTTACGGTGGAAACTATGGCAACGGTTGAAGGGGTACCTCCAGTGCTGCGGAATCTGGCCAGCGGGAATGTATGCTGCATTCGAGATTGGACAAGTCGCAACCACAGAGCGATTTGCATAAGGGGAATTGGAGGCGTCGAACGCCCGGGATTGCCAAATTTGGCAGACAAATTGGACCGCTTTAGAAAGGCGGAAAGTTCGCGGTCGAAGCAGTTTCTGGTGGATGCCGTTCAAGGTGTTTCGCTTCCTGTGGCGATTCTTTTGGTGATCATTGCGTTCCTCATTGGATGGTTGCTCTTCTAGGTGTTATTTATTGCACTATATATAACGAATGATATTCGAGTACTATTTGCAGCCGACTGCAGACTATGCAACAGACTGCACACTGAACTGGCCTGCACACTGAACCTCACTATCGATCGCGAAAAACCAACTACAACACTCTTTATCATGACCACGGCCACCATTAGGTCTGGCACCATAAATCTTCTCAATACCATAATAGGCGCCGGCATTCTTGCCATGCCGTATGGTATAAAACAAAATGGTTTGATTTTGGGTTGTCTTTTAATAACTTGGTCGGCGTGTACAAGTGCATTTGGATTGTATCTTCAAAATAAAGTAGCCAAGTATGTTGATCAACGAGGCTCTGTTCTGTATTTCAGCTTGTCCCAACTCACGTATCCACATTTATCGGTGGTTTTGACGGGGC